TTTTTCGTAGGCCTGAATCTTAGGGGTTCTCATTTGAGCAGGCCTGAAATATTGCATGTTCTTGTTTTGGTCACCCTGAATTATCAGCCTTAGCGGATTTCCAGCTTGAAACAGAATCCTACCTGACTGGCCGAGGCGAGCTAGAGCAGCTGTGAGGGGCGTGACTTGTCCTTCGCCAAAATGACGCTGGTGACGCTGGCTGGAGAAGATGTGAGGGGCGTGATTGGTCATTCGCCAAAATCACGCAGGCCGTTTGATGCGAGCTGGAGCAGGTGTGAGGGGCGTGACTGGATGACAAAATGAGGCTAGTGACGCGAGTTGGAGCAGATGTGAGGGGCGTGATAGGGGCGTGATTTTTCATATACCTAGTGTAAGGAATTTCCATTCCTTACTGAGTCGTATGCTAGCGCGTGCACTCGAACTCTTCGACTCGTCACGTTCGGCCTCATTTGTCGGCCCAACCCTCTCCCGAGTCACGTCCGGCACTGTCGCCACATTGCCGAACCTACCCACGTTCCGAGGTTACCGCCCTAGCACGCCAGCCCCTATATAACCTCGTGCCTTCATTGCAATAGCGACCTTGGATTCTCACGTTGTATTTCATTGACACTTACTATATCATAACAGCACAGAAGGACAGCACAAGTGGTTCCAAGAATTCGGTGACGAAGACGGGGCAGATTTGTTGTTTGGAGCGACCCACATTCGCACGTGGGCAACGTGGTGCGCAGAGCTTCGCAAGCGGTTTGAGCATGCTCCTGACTTAGTTAAAATACGCGAAACTCTACGCATGTGGAAGCAGCTGGGATCTGTGTACGAGTATACCGTGTCATTCTTCACGTTGGTGGACAGATGCGGCTACATGCACGAGTTGGAGAAGGTCGACAGGTACATGGGCGGTTTGAAGCTCGAGATATACTGTAGTACCAGATAAAACTGCAACGCCCTGCGAAGCGGTTACACGACTACATCCAGCTCGCCAAAGCCACTGATTTGATCACGAAGCCGAGGACGAACTTCTACAATGGATGTTGCCCTCGAGAACAGTACCAGCGCGCCACGATAAAAGGGGTGGACGCAGCGGATATTTACGCAGTTGCTCCGCAAAATACGGGGCTATGCTACCACTGTGGCCGGCCGGGTCACATCCAACGCAACTGCCAAGAATTCATAGCCCTCCAGGATTCTATGGGGAAGAAGCTGGAGGAGCGACCGAGAAATGTGTTGCGTCAGTAAGTACCAAGCCCCTTACTAACGGGCAGGTTTCTTCGCCCGAACCACACAGTCCTCATCGGGTCGTGATCCCGATTGCTGCAATCCACCGGACCTGGACGAATATGGGGGACGAAATTATTGATCACCCTGTGTTGGTGGAGGGTAAAGTCAACGGAGTGTTATGGAAGATTTTCGTTGATGGAGGCGTGAGTCACGGTCTCATACAACTGGACAGGGCTAAGAAATTGGGTATACCCTTACTCAAGTGTCTACCCGAAATTGACGCCCAACTGGTGGACGGAATACCGCTGGCCATACGGGAACGAGTGGAGAACGCTGGTTTTACCTGTGGGGAGCATGTAAAATTTCGGATGGGACTACTGGCGACTACTCTTGACGGGGGCGACGTACTGCTGGGACGTGATTGGTTGCGACGGTAGAACCCCAAGATTAACTGGACGACGGGCGGATGCAGCATCAAGCTCGATGGGATCTCTCACGAGCTGCCCAAGTGGACGGGGCCTCGCATGCGAAGCACCCAAGTCCACGCGATCACTTTCAAACGCGCGATGAACGCTGGAGCTGCAGCGTGCGCCGTTGATCTTCGCGGGGTGAGATCGACGGTCAAAACTGAAGATATCGAGAAGCTGTGCAAGGCCGTCCCTCCAGACTTAGTGTACCTAATTCAGAAATACCCATAGATTTTCTCGGATGACCTGCCAGCTGGACTCCCGCTGAGCTGACCTGAGGACCACCAAATCGAGTTGGAACCAGGCGCCCAACCGACGGTACAGCACCTATTTCGGCTCAGTCATCCAGAATAGGAAGAATTACAGCAGCAGCTGGATTACCTTTTGACAAAAGGATTTATCCGGCCCAGCATGTCACCACACGCCGCCCCGATACTGTTCACGCTGAAGAAGGATCGAGGATTCATAATGTGTATCAACTACCGAGCACTCAACCGGATCACCATCAAGTCGCGTTACCCGATCCTGCAAGCCGACGAACTTCTCGACCAACTTCGTGGCACCAAGTTTTTCTCGAAAATCGACTTGCGATGAGGTTACCATCAGATTGGCGTCGCTATTGAAGATTGTCACAAGACGGCATTCTGAACCCGCTACGGCAGCTATGAATACCTGGTGATGCCTTTTGGCCTCACGAACGCGCCCTCGGCCTTCCAGATGACCATGAACGGAATTTTCAGGGAACTCTTGGACAAATGCGACATCATCTACCTCGACGATATCCTTATCTACAACCGCAGCTGGGAGCAGCACTTACAGGATCTTGATGCAGACTTCACGCTGCTGCACAAGAATCGCCTCATCACCAAAGGGTCTAAGTGCGAAGTTCTTAAACAGGAGTTGGAATTTCTGGGCCACATTGTCTCTACCGAAGGAGTGAAAATCGACCCCAAGAAAATCAAGACCATACAGGAATGGAAGCCGCCCAGCAACATCAAGGAACTGCTAAGTTTTTTTGGATTCGTCAATTACGTCCGCCGGTTTATCCCCAATATGGCGGGTTATTCGCCCCGCTAACTGACCGACTCAAGGATTACGATTGTTTTTGGCGGGGAGAGACGCAGGAAGCTGCATTTGACCAACTGAAGATCGCCCTCACGTCGCTGCCCGTCCTTCGCATCTCCGATCCTGACCGTCCATACAAAGTCATCACCGACGCCAGCAACATCACCATCGGTGCAGTTCTTCTACAAGATTTCGGCGACGGATTACAGCCGGTCGCCTACGAATCACGGAAGCTGCAGGGCGCAGGGAAAAATTATACAGTACACGACAAGGAAATGTTGGCGATCGTCCACGCGTTCAAGACCTGGCGGTGCTACCTGACAGGCGCTGACGTCACTGTGCGGACCCACCATAAATCCCTCAAGTACCTCAGAGCCCAACCAAACCTCAACGCGCGACAGATCCGATGGCTCGATTTCCTCGAGTAAAACTTCCACTACACCATCACCTACAAACAGGGCGCCAACAATATTGTTGATGCCCTGACCAGACGCATTGCCCATACAACCGCCATACTAATCGCCCAAACCAGCCCAGTCCTTACCGGACTATTTACTCACGGCTACAAAATCGACCCCTTCTTCCGCTCCGCCATCCACCAACAGCATACCACCGCTACCGGACACTACTTTAATAAGCGTGACACTTCCCGCATCTGGGTTACCGGCTACGATTTACTTCGTACCCTTCTAATCCAGGAATCACACGACAATCCTACCTCCGGGCATTTCGGAGTTGACAAAACCACGAAGACGTTGCAGCGCAATTATTACTGGCCCAACATGGCCGACGACGTGCGCAAGTACGTGTCCTCCTGCACCGCCTGCCAGATCATGAAATCATCCCATCAGCGAGCAGTCAGACTCCTACAGCCGTTGGATCCGCCCGAGCGACCCTGGCAACACGTCACAATGGACTACATGACAGGACTGCCAGCCGGTCCTTACGGAAACGACGCCATCCTCGTGGTCGTTGACTGACTCAAAAAAATGGCGCACTTCATCACCTGCCAACAGAAAATTGCAACTGAGCAAACTGCCCAACTGTTCATCGCCAACGTCATCAGACTGCACGGACTGCCCACTGCCATTATTTCCGACCGAGACCCGAAATTCACATCGAATTTCTGGCGCCACTTGTGGGACCAATTTTGGCACCAAACTACAGTTTTCCTCTGCCTGTCATTCATAGACCGACGGGCAGACTAAACGAGTCAACCAAACTATGGAGCAACTCATTCGGACTACCTGCACTGACCCACAGACATGGGAGAGATCCCTTCTGCTGCTGGAATTCGCGTATAATAACGCACCTTCCGCCACAACCCATTAGTCCAATTTTTCCTCAATTACGGACAGGACCACGTGGTACCCTCTACACCAAACATCATGGCACCCGTGCCCCGGTCCCAGCGATTTGCCGAAGACATCCTCGCAGCCCAAGAAAAAACAGCTGAAGCAATCCGGAAAGCCAACCTGGTCGCAAGCCGACAAGCCGATCGTCATCGACGTGACGTCACTTACAAAGTGGGAGATTTCGTCCTCCTCGACACTCGCAATTTGCGATCGCCGATCCCGAGCAGACTCCGACCCCGATTCTGTGGCCCCTTTCAAGTGACCAATATGGTGGCACCTGTCACCGCTCACCTCCAATTCCTGGCGGATTGGCGTCACCACCCGGCTTTCAACATCAGCCTCCTACAACCCTATGTTCCCATTTCGTCGGATTTGGCTCGTCAACGTATCGTACCGCAGCTGACGCCCCTGCAGGAACCGACGACCGAGCCCTTGAAGATTCTCGGCCATCGAGTCACAACGCAGCAGAACCGACGAATGGTGGATTTTCTCGTCCGATGGCGCGATCGGACGTGTGAGGATGACAGCTGGGTGCCCCTTGCTGATCTAGAATCACACCCGATTCTAACGGCGTATTATAAGCGTCGGAATGTTTCCGATGCCCGTGGCCTCGTTTAGGAGGGGGGGGTAGTGTAAGGAATTTCCATTCCTTACTGAGTCGTACGCTAGCGCGTACACCCGAACTCCTCGACTCGTCACGTTCGGCCTCATTTGTCGGCCCAACCCTCTCCCGAGTCGCGCCCGGCACTGTCTTCACATTGCCAAACCTACCCACGTTCCGAGGTTATCGCCCTAGCACGCCAACCCCTATATAACCTCGTGCCGACATTGCAATAGCAACCTTGGATTCTCACGTTATATTTCATTGACACTTACTATATCATAACACCTAGTATGCAAGTTAACCAACTCTAAACGATTGGCCCCATTGCTACGCTGGTTTTAGTACCACAACACGGTGCAACGCAGCACCGTTTTCGACTAGTGAGGTGAGCTTTGTTCACCATTTTTTCTCCATGGCCGACTGACTGACACTCGGGAAGATGAACCGGTACCACAATGCAACTGCTCCGAACAGGCCCAGCGTGCTTTGAGCGTTCACCCTTGCGCAACAGCTTCGATGATCCCCTTTTCTCCCGTTTCTGCTCAACAGCAGTTTTTTCTGCCAGAGCTCGACATCAGCAGTTGCGTAACCTACGCTGCACGCGTCACGATTTCGCGTTCCGATGTTTCTCAACGGCGACTCCAGCATGTCAGCTGTCGCCGTTCGACGGACACTAAGAAATCTCCGCAACTTGACACAATATAAGCTGGCGCTCTTTCCGTCTTCTCACAGGTACATCTTCAATGTTGTAAGAAGATGGCCTCTGCAAGAACCTGTCGGCTGGTTATATCACTGCTGCTATGTGCAGCAAGCCCCTTTATTCGTGGAGTCAACGCGCAGTGGATCAACGATGGCGGCGTGAGTCCCGGACTGAACGTGAACGCCAATATTATTGACTGCGGATGCGACCCATCGGGCCAAGACGTCTGCGGGACCAATTTCGTCACTTACCCTTCCTACTGCGACGCGCAGTGCAATAACGCCAGGGTCTTGACCAGAGGGCCATGCACCCGGGCTGTGATCTGCGGCCGTGCATGCCTGAACCGAGCAGGAATGGCTCCTGATGCGACCCTAGGGATTGACAACCTGGAGATGTTGTGTGGGGCAGTTTGCCCGTATCCCCTGCTTTCTGGGGGTGCTTTTAACTGTCCTGAGAGGTACAGAACAGTGTGCAACCAGGCGTGCCTGCAGTCAGCAACAACTGTATCAAGAAACGGAGGGAAATTCATTCCTGCGTATAATGCGTGCAGGTCTCAGTGTATGTACACCCGCTGTGGCATCTGGAACTAGCTCGAGTGAGAGGCTTGGGATTGGCTACGCGGAATGGCTACCTTGAATGGCTACGCGGATTGGCTTCCTGGGTTCCCGAATCTATGTAGCAGGATTGACTCAGTTCCAACTGAGTCCTGGCCTGACTCCTGGGTCCTGGGTGTGCACAGGAGGACACTCGCCGTTTGCATCACACCTTGTGGTGAGATGCTCACAATACTTGAAAGGGCAGACCCTGGTCGTTGTCATCTCCCATACTGAAATGATGCGCCTGGACTCCTTGTCAAATGTATATCGAAACAAATGGAGGCCTTTGAAAATGAGCAGTCAATTTCAATGACTACAACCACAGGACAAAGGAAGATTTCTGAATCTCACATGACGATGTTAACAGGTGTTGGCTATCAGAAATTCAAGTGATAGGTGATAGAGAGAGAGTACACACAATATAGCTAAGTGTTGTACCCTCTAAGAGGCTACCCTATACAGTCTATACACACATAACAAATAGACATGTTTGACATTGGCCAAGGGTTTAGCTAGGAAGTTGACGAGAGTGTCGAGAGAGAAAGGGAATTAGATTAGGAAGAGAGAGAGTACAAGGAGGGGTTTGTACCCTCTACAGTAAGGTTCGGTAACCTACCAAGCCTAACAATTATATTAAAATATAATTTGAACACACCCCCTAGGCTTGGTAGTGGCAAACCCACACAACCCACACACACACCCCCTAACCCCGGACACCCTCATTCTCGTGAGCAGCCGGGTATCGACCCCTCGTGCTAGGCTATGACACCCCCGGTCGAGAGGCAGCTGGCCACATCTGGGCGGCCTCAATGACGACAGCGGCGGAGCTCGTGCTCAAGGCGGCTGTGTCGATGAGGACAGGCGGCGACTGCGGCGACTGCGGCGGCTGAGGGCTCTCGGCGGTGTGGCACGGGCTGGCGACGACCGAGCCGAAGACAGCAGCTACGGCAGGAGCAGGAGGAGATGCAGGGGAGGGAGAGGTGGTGGGGCTGCTGTGGTGGGGCTGCAGGACTTCAGCGCGGCGCCATAGGCGCGGCGCTTACTGGCGGGAGGAGCAGGCGGGACGGGGCCCAGGAGGGGCGCGACTGGGCTAGGAGGCACGGCAGGGCCCAGGAGGGGCGCGACTGGGCTAGGAGGCACGGCAGGGCCCAGGAGGGGCGCGGCTGGGCTAGGAGGCACGGCAGGGCCCAGGAGGGGCGCGACGTGGATAGGAGGCACGGCAGGGCCCAGGAGGGGCGCGACTTGGATAGGAGGCACGGCAGGGCCCAGGAGGGGCGCGACGGGGAGGTGGAACGGCGGAGCCGCCACGTCAGGGCGGCAAGCCCAGCACGGCTGCTCGACGTGGCAGCCATGCGACATGGCCGCCACGGCGGCACGGCAGGAGCGACGAACGCACGAGAACGCAGCGGAAAGCACGGAGGGGAGCAGGCCCAGGAAGGGCATCCCGCTCTGATACCATGTTAAAGTCTGAACTAGGAAGAACAGAGGAGGCCGCCATGAAATGGCGGCCAAGGGTTTAGCTAGGAAGTTGACGAGAGTGTCGAGAGAGGAAGGGAATTAGATTAGGAAGAGAGAGAGTACAAGGAGGGGTTTGTACCCTCTACAGTAAGGTTCGGTAACCTACCAAGCCTAACAATTATATTAAAATATAATTTGAACATCAAGGACTTAAGCGTTTCTGAAGTGTAACACCACACTCGAGAAAGATCGTAACGAGTACGCGAGTCAACGGAGGTTACACGAGGGGATGGACAAACAACACGAAAGGACTCGAAGGGTCGCAACTGGAGGTTGCGACCGACAGTTACAGCTGCAAAGATGGTAACCGAAGCGACAATCGAGTCGCTGTGCGACTCGATAAACCGCCCTTTTTCAACTGTATTTTACAACTGCTTTACTTTCCTACTTTCTATATATTGCTGTATGCTTGATCCTTTAATCAATCACTTGTTCTCATATACTAGTACAAGGGTTCAACTACCTCAACTTCCGCTGCACTACTCAAGTCTTTTACAACTGGGACTTAGTCTCTGGAAAGATCCTAAGGGCATTTATGAGCCCAACATGGTATGAGAGCTGGTCAGAGACCAAACTCCCAAGCAACTACGCTCTATCTACAATCAGCACACCAACGACTTCATTGATTACAAGTCATGGACAGCAAGGGCAAGAAAACCTCTACGGGCTCACCCAGTGCCCAAGATACTCAACCCGGCAACTCTGGACTGCACACTTCAGGACTGCAAACCGAGACCGGCGCTGCTCAAGAAACAACAGGAAGAGCACCAGAAATGGTGACCCCATCACCCTCTTCAAGCGTGGACCCGAACCTTATGGAAAGGTTCTTCAGCTTCATGTCGCACTTCGACCAGCAGCAGCAGACAAGGACGCCTGCACATTCAACACAGAGCAACAGAGGAAACATGGGATTAGCGCCGATGAGCCTCGACAACTCATCGTTCGGACGACACAATCAAGCGCCTACCTTCGCGCCTTATCACTCTTCACCGGGGACGTTCGAGTTCATGCCGCCCCGTGCCCAACCAACAGCAGCTGCATCACAACAGACACCAAGCGAGATACTTAGTCTCCAGGCGCAGTTTTCACACGTCATCAAACTGCAGACATCCTCACCGTTCAACGGACACGACTTTTTTACCTGGAGCTTTGAGTTCGAGCTGCTGATGGAGGCTGCGCATCTCTTGGAATACTTCAACGGGTCCCTGCCATTCCCAAGCAATGGCACTGCAAAAGAACAAGAAATCTTCACGTATTAGTCGCTGCTGGCGTACACAGTTCTCCTACGGAACCTGTCACCACAAGAACAGCAAAGCATCAGAACGTATAGGAGCTACGGAAACTCCGCGGAACTCGCATGGCATCACCTCAAGTGCCTCTATCAAGCAAATGACACCGTGACACAAAGCAGACTCATGCAGCAGCTGACAACAATACAGATGAAGACCGGGGAAAAAGCGATGCAGTATATGAGTCGATGCCAGACACTCCGCGACCGCCTGCTTCGGTGCGGAGGAACAATCACTGAAGAAAGCTTCGTAACGCTTGTCCTCGCCGGACTCGGGCCAGAATGGAGAACCACCCGCTCGCTCCTTCGCGCCCACGGACGAATCTCGGAGATGCACCTCTGCGCCGAGCTCCATGCTGAACAACAGGAGATGGACCTGTTCGAAGAAAGGCAACCAAGGAAACAGCAACCATTAGTCTTCTACGCTCAACGAAGGAACGACAACAACTACAACCGACGCGGCAAACAAGATCAACGCGACAACAGAGGACTCACCATTGTGCCGCCATTCTGCCACAACTGCCAAACATCCGGACACTCCAAAGTCCACTGCACACGTCCCCGAACTTATCGTCTAGTAGACCCACAAGTCGCTTCCACTCAAGAAAGTCCGCCGAGGCGCTCTTCCACATCTGCACAAAATACACCGAATATCATCAACTGCATGGTACACATCGACAACTGCGCACCCGGATCACCGCCAACTTACGCTCCCGATGAAGAAGAACTGTCGCCGCCGCGCTCACAGGGACTTCAGGTCAACCCAACGTACGCTGCAGTCGCCAACTCCGAACCCACCGGACGCAACACTTGGTTCTTGGACAGCTGTTGCGGCCAACACATGTGTTCTTCCGGGCGTTTCGTGCAACGAGAACGACGTCTCAACCGAGACGTCATCATCACCGTCGCCAACAACGAGAACCTGAAGACAAACAGACAAGGAGTGGTTCAGTTACAATCCATGGAGACAAATGTTATACTGCAACTCAACAAGGTCCTCATCGTCAACAACTTGGGATACAACTTACTAAGCGTCAGCCAGTTAATGGCAAAAGGCATTCACCTGGAGTGCGACTCGGACTCCAACGAATTTCGCCTATACCACGGGAAGGGCGGTCTCTTCATCGGTCGCGCTCTACTGAAGTCTGGCGTCTTCGTGTTGGACTTCGTCCCCGACCGCGGTACCGCCGATAGCGATGGCATCGTGTCATTCGCCGCATGGACACACCCACCGGACCTTGACCCCGACTTCAACCAAGATGGATACTGGTACTCCAACACCATACCTGCAGCAGAGAGAACACGGGCGTTAGCAGTCATTCGACAAGAAAGACAAGTACCGGCAAGCGTCTCTTCATCGACATCACCTGAAATCACAGCAGCAGGACCTAGCAGAGTATCACCACCAGCAATCCAAGGACCGCCAACCGAAGCAGATCAACTCATGCCCACCACACGCGAAGTCTGCCGAAGTCCCGCCACCGTCGTCGCGTTCTTCTCCAACGCTGACATGTATCACCGATCGCCCGGCCATCAAGCTCCCGACGACATCTGGCATCAACGCCTTGGGCATTCTGTAAATAGCACAGTACTACAAACCATCCAAGTCGAAGTGTTAGAACGAAACGCTCTCCTTACAACAAGCGGACAGGAACTTCGACGACCTCGCGCACGGTGCTTCACATGCCCCGAAGCAAATCTTCAACACCAACCTTTTCCGTCACATCACAATCCAAGCATACGCACCGATGGAAAAGGTTTACAGCGACATCTTAAACATGCCTCGAGACGACACTGAAGCCGACTTCAACTATGTCATCACGTTCATCGATGCAGCAACAAGATATGTATGGCACTACAACCTCAAGACGCGCAATCAAGCTTTCGAAGCCTTCACGACGTGGCTCCCCATCGCTGAACGAGAATCAGGAACGAAGCTCAAGAGCTTCCAGTCAGACGGCGCACTCGAATACCAGTCACAACGCTTCAGGACCTACTTGGCGGAAAGAGGAATCAGACGCTTAGTGTCCCTGCCCTACGCTCACCAGCAGCAGGGGGTCGCAGAACGAATGAACCGGACTTTGCAGACGACGATGCGAAAGCTGCTCCTTGGGATGAGACTGCCCAACACACTGTGGCCAGACGCGATGACACATGCAGTCCACCTGCACAATCTGTTGTCATCGTCATCGCTTCCCAACAACGCATCACCGCACCTGCTGTGGACACGAAAAAGGGGCAGCACAAAATTACTTCGAGTTTTCGGCTGCATGGTACAGTACAGACCCCATACAGCCCGAGCAGGACGCTTCACTCAACGAGCACGGTGGGGATTACACCTCGGCATCGCCAAACATTTTCACGCATGGAAAATCCTCGACATACAAGACAAAAATACGGTGGCATCACGTGATGTTATCTTCTACGAGCGTCTGACGCTGCAGCATTACCTGGACAACATTGCCAACACACACGACCCCACCGACGGCCTCGCGGGCCTTCGTTCCTTCGCCGACCGTGCTGCCGAGGCTGACGCAGCAGAAGAAGACGTACGTGGAGCCTCGGAAGCTGTCGGACCACTCCCTTTCTGTTCCGTACCTGTTCCACTCGACGAAGACAATCCTCTCGATAGCAATAACCTCGACACCCTCTACCACTTCGCTGACCAAGGTTACGCTACACCTCACCCGGTCGACACGAATATCTCAGAACGCATCGGCCCCAACTTCTTACCTGATCCAGAAGATGGTGACGAAGCAGCCTATTCCGGGAATGAAAATTCCCCTCGACACACACCCACGGGATTGCAAATCCTCGGCTTATGGGTCTCCATCCAGCACCCGCCGCCGCCATCTCCGCGCGAGCCAACAACTCTGTCGCAGGCTCTGGAGGGGGGAACATAAGGCGAAATGGAAGGAGGCAATGGAAAAGGAACTGAAAGCTCTGCAAGACCGAAACACATGGAAGCTGGTACCTGCAACGAACGTCAACGGGAAGAACGTTCTCTCGGAAAAATGGGTGTACCGCATCAAGACCAATGCGGACGGCTCCATCGAACGATTCAAAGCTCGCTGGGTCGTACGAGGATTTGATCAACGATACGGAACCGACTACACAGAAACATTCGCCCCAGTCTCTCGTCACACCTCCTTGCGCATCTTACTCGCCGTTGCGGCCACAAAGAAACTACCACTGCGCCAGATCGACGTCGCAAATGCCTTCCTGTACGCACCTGTGGACGCCGAAATCTTCGTCGAGCAGCCCCACGAATTCATCGACGACCCCACAAAAGTATGCCAGCTGATAAAATCCCTTTACGGGATCAAGCAAGCCCCGCGGCTCTGGCAGCAGCATCTTCACGGTCGCCTCGTCAGAATCGGATTCCTACAGCTGCCGCATGACCAAGGCATGTACCGACTGCAGAAGAGAAGAGAGTATATTCTACTCATCGTTTACGTCGACGACATGCTCTACATCGGTTCCACTACCGACATCGCCACCTGGTTCGAAGGGGAGCTGAAAGGGGACTTGACACTCACGGTGTCCGACACAGTGACCCAGTACCTGGGTCTGAATGTCGTCGAAGACAACTCGGCCTTCTACCTATACGCTGGGAAGTACGCAGGCGTTGTCGCAAAGAAGTTCGGACTAACACCAACTACAGTCGCGACTCCCTACCGCTACGGGAACAACAACGACACCTCCGAAAAACTCCCCGTGAAGCAAATCCGGGAGTATCAGCAGAAGCTCGGCTGCCTACTATTCGCAGCAGTAACCTGCCGACCTGACCTATCCTACAGCGCAAGCCAGCTGGCGACGCATCTGAAGCAGCCGGAACAAGAAGATCTCGAAGAACTAAACCGGGCACTACTCTACTTCGTCTCTACGCCGACGACCGGACTTACCTACAGCAAAGTAACAACACCATCCGTACAACTACTCGGATACGTCGACGCCGACCACGCGGGGGACAGGGAAAATCGACGATCGAGAACGGGCTACATCTACCGACTAGAACCTATCGGGACTATCTCCTGGCAGTCGAGCAAACAGGAACTAATCGCACTATCTTCGGCTGAACATAATATATCGCCCTCTGTACTGCGACCAAGGAAGGACTCTACCTGCGAGAGTTGCTCGAGGAAGCGAAGATTGCGACCCTGCCCGTCTTCTCACTCCTCTACGACAACCAATCTGCGATCAAAATCGCGAACAAGGACGGCTTCGCCAACCGAACCAAGCACATTGCCCTGCGGTACCTTTTCGTCAAAGATGAAATCGCGAAGGGGAGACTTCAACTCAGTTACTGCCCTACGACAGAAATGGCCGCAGACTACCTAACGAAGAAACTGGCGAAGGCAAAGTTCGATTACTGCATGCTGCTGACTGGGCAGACAAACGTCACCGGATCTGAACACGTCAGCACTCCAGAAACGAAGGGGAGTGTTGGAAATACCTCAAGGACTTGAGCGTTTCTGAAGTGTAACACCACACTCGAGGAAGATCGTAACGGGTACGCGAGTCAACGGGGGTTACACGAGGGGATGGACAAACAACACGAAAGGACTCGAAGGGTCGCAACTGGAGGTTGCGACTGACAGTTACAGCTGCAAAGATGGTAACCGAAGCGACAATCGAGTCGCTGTGCGACTCGATAAACCGCCCTTTTTCAACTGTATTTTACAACTGCTTTACTTTCCTACTTTCTATATATTGCTGTATGCTTGTTCCTTTAATCAATCACTTGTTCTCATATACTAGTACAAGGGTTCAACTACCTCAACTTCCGCTGCACTACTCAAGTCTTTTACAACTGGGACTTAGTCTCTGGAAAGATCCTAAGGGCATTTCTCAGCCCAACAACATGCTAGAGGAAGAATGATACCTACCACTATTCTGCTGCCACATATTGCAGGTGTCCCACTGTTTTCAACAGAGAATCCATCTGCTAACTCCTGAGACTTCCACCAGCAAGTTCTTGGATTGTACAATCATACAGCTTGTCATCATATACTGTATAGACATTTTCCTATATCCGTAGGGTGTACTTTCCCAGCTGCGGATGTGCCCTATCTGCTACTGTAACTCCATGCTACAGCAACTCTGCTATCTCACGTAGCCCTGTCCACCCACCTCTCTGCCATCACCAAGCCCCACCACTTGCCTTCTCCTTCCCCTCCCAAGGCCCCTTCCTCTCCCTTCACCCCTCCCTCTCCCATCACCCCTTCCTCCTGCTCCTCTCTCCTTCCCCTTTCCTCCCTGTCTTCCCATCCGCTCTCCTCCTTCAACACCCTCTCCCTCTCCTGCCCCACCCGCTGCTTCACCGCCTTCCGTTCCTGCCTCTCCCCCCTCCTCAACAGCACCGCCCATGCGACCCCCCTCACCCTCTCCCAACATGCCCCCCTTTTTCCTCCCTCTCCCACCCTTTCCAGCCATCTCAGACTCACCCTGCCTCTTCCTCGGCTCTCCACTCTCCTCTACGACTGCTGCCCCTTTCGCCTTCTTCACACGATTTGAAACTTTTTCCGTTGGCGCTGCCCGCCTCTTCCTCAAACCTGTTGGAACATTTTCTTCTTGGTCAGCCCGTCTCTTTCTCGGTCTCTTCGGGAGGGTTGATGCATTAGCCACCCCATCAACATCAGCCGCACTGGCAGCATCACCATCACCAGCACCGTCACCATCATCAGCAGCGCCATTGCTAGTACCAGCAACCCCACCATTTGCACCGCACCCAACCCCTCCAATGGCAGCACCAAAGCCATTCAGATTGCCGTTTTCAGAAGCGACAACGGGCATTCCTCCCCTTCTCGCCTGCAACCCTGCCCCATCCCGAACCTCTCCCGAGCCACCTCTGCCGAACCTGGATCGCCGCACCGGTACACAGCTCCGAGCCTTCTGCACTCGAACCTGGGGCCCGCTCAGCAACGCTGCATTCCCCTCCCTCCTGCCACCTGCTGCCGCAGGAAAAAGTGTCCCTGCCTCCGAAACTCGCACCCGCTCTACCACCGGACCTGTTTCCTCCGCCACTGGTCCGTCCCGAACCTCTGACACAAGAGAACGAGCTTCTGCTTCTGAATCTTGTGTCTGCTCTTGCAGTAGAGCCAGTTCCTCCGCCTCTGGTCCATCCCTATGCTGTCTTGGTCCATCTCCTATCACAAGAGAACAAGCCGTCTCCTCTGCCTGGGCCTCAGAACCTTGTACCTGCTCCTGCAATAAAGGATGTTCCCCCGCCTCTTCTTCTCGTTGCTGCTCCATTTGCTCTCCTCCTCCACCGCCCCTGAATGCCCCATATAGCCCCTCACCTTCCTGTCCCCCTCTGGCCTCTTGTACCTGCTCCTGCAATAAAGGACGTTCCCCCGCCTCTCCTACTCTTTGCTGCTCCTCTCTGCAACCATTACTTCCTTCCTCCACTTGCTCCCCTACTTCTCCACCACCCCTGAATTCCCCACCTTCCTGTCTCCCTCTGGCCTCTTGTGCCTGCTCCTGCACTAGCGTCCGCTCACCCGCCTCTCCTTCTCTTTGCTGCTCCTCTCTGCAACCATTACTTCCTTCCTCCACTTGCTCTCTTCCTCCTCCTCCACCACCCCTGAATGCCCCATTTACCCCCTCACCTTCCTGTCTCTCTCTGGCCTCTTCCCCTTCCCCATCCACCTGCCCCAGTTGAGCCTGTGATGTGATTCTTCCCTCTTCCCCACACCCTACCCCTGAACCCTTCTCTCGCCCTTCCGTTTCGTGTCTCCTTCTCACTCTCCCCCTTCTGGCTCTCCTGCCTCTCACTCTTTCTTCCCCCCTCCCAACTTCCCCACATTCCAGTCCTCCCCCTGGTCCCTCTGGTGTGACTCTTCCCTCCTCCTCACCCCCTACCCTTGGTCCCTCCTCTTGCCCTTCCACTTCTGGTCCTCTTCCCACTCTTCCCCTTCTTCCTCTCCTGCTTCTCACACCTTCTCCCCCCTTCACAACTCCCCCACATGACAGTCCTGACAGTCCCACCCCTGGTCCCTGTGATGTGACTATTCCCTTCTCCACACACCCTACCCCTGATCCCTCCTCCTCTCGCCCTTCTGCTTCGCATCCTCTTCTCACTCTTCCCCTTCGTTTCTTCCTTGCTCTCGCACCTTCTTCCTCCCTCATAACGTTTTCAACTTCCAGTCCTCCACTCCCTCCCGTTCCTCCCTCACTCACTCCCTCACTCACTCCCTCACCAACTCCCTCCCCTCCACTCTCTGCCCCATACCTAACTACCGGCCTTCCCCCTCCTCTAATCCAGTGCAGGAGCAGCATCTGCTGGAGGTTCCGAGCCTGAGCCTCGGTCCGAGCCTGCTTGGCTCGGCGACCGAGCCTCCTGCCTGCTGCTGCCCGAACCTCTTCGGTCCACGGCCGATCCAGGATGCTCCAGCCAATGGGAAGAAAGGGAGGCCGTAACGAGGGTGGACGTAACACGGAAGGGTGTAGCAGAGGAGGAGAAGCGAAGTTGGGATGGTTTGGGAGAGATGGGGGGAAGAGGAACGGTGGGTGGGGAAAGGGAGGAGGAGGGAGAGCGTGGTTGAAGGTTAGGGGATGGGAGGCAGGGGGAGGAGGATGGGGGGCAAGGGGCCATGCAGGAGGGAGAGCGGGAGGCTCTGGTTGTCCTGGTGAAAGGGTGATGCGGGGGGAGGATGATGGCATCTCTGCAGTTACCCCTTCTCCTTCCAGAAATCCTCCTTCTCCTTCTCCTTCTCCTTCTCCTTTTCCTTCTCCTTCTCCTTCTCCTTCTCCTTCTCCTTCTCCCTCTCCTTCTCCCCCATCCCCTGCCTCCTCCCCCCTCTCCCCTTCCCCCTTCCCCTCTCCCCCCTGACTCCTTGTGCCCCCTTTCTTCCCCTTCCGCCCTCCCCCTTCCACCGCCTGCTTCCCCTCCTTCCCCCCCCCCGCCTCCCCCCTGGCCTTCTTCCCCCGCCCCCTTGAATCCCCTGGCGCTCTCAGAAGGCGACGGCGAGAGAGAGGGGGAGGGGGAGGAGGGGGAGAAGGGACAGGAGCAGCAGGGGCAGGGGCAGGAGGAGGGGAAGCCGGAGGTGCAGCAGTAGGGGCAGACGCTGGGCCGACCAAAGTAGCAGGAGCAGCAGAGGCTGTAGGCGCCAGAGGACATAATGATGGCGGAAAGCTAGGAGTGCGAACAGGTGGTGCTGGTGCTAATAGTGCCTGTGATATGGTTGGTGGTGTTGCTGCTGCTGCTGCTGCTGAAGGTGGTTCTGCTGCTGGTGCTGGTGGTAGTGTTTGTGTTATTGGTCCTGCTGGTTCTGCTGGTGCTGCTGTCGCTGCTGCTGGTGCTGCTGCTGGTACTGCTGCCGGTGCTGCTGCTGGTGCTGCTGGTGCTGCTGCCGGTGCTGCTGCTGGTGCTGCTGCTGGTTCTGCTGGTGGCCTTGCTTGAGTTGGTGATGGAAGTGCTTCAAGCCCCAAACTAACACCAGATCGTGATGGTTCCCTTTCTGCTGGTGAGCTTGTTTGGGCTGATGTGATTGTACTTGTTCCTGGAATCGTGTGCGGTGGTGTGACTGTATGTGGAGCTGTTACTGTACGCGGTGCTGGCATAAAGGGTAGTGCTCCATCCGTCCCCTCTATAACGTCATCCAGTCGCCGTCTCTTCCGCCGCCCGCCTTTCGGATGCATCTTGAACCATTGTCTGCGCGGCAAGAACAAGACGCAAAAAGCAAGTTGGCTCTTTGAGGCGGCTCAAAACCTCCTTAAGATGCTTCTTGAACCATTGCCTGCTCGGCAAGGCGAAACAAGCAAGTAGGGCAAGAAGGTTAGAGAAGCAGTAAACCGTGGCAAAGCAATCTGCACAAGCAACGCATCTGCCACAAACGTCCAGTTGAATTCTACAGCCTTCTTGTGAGAAATCTACAACTTATTGAACGAATACGTATATTCTCCTATTGTCTTAGCCTCTTGCACTGGCTGCCCGTTCTAGGCCAGCAGACATCAGCCACATTCGTCCAGCTTTTGACTCTCTACAAACGCTAGAGGAGATTCGTCCCCACCTTTCCCCTTCGCTCCCCACCTTTCCCCTTCGCTCCCCACCTTTCCCCTTCGCTCCCCACCTTTCCCCTTCGCTCCCCACCTTTCCCCTTCGCTCCCCACCTTTCCCCTTAGCTCCCCACCTTTCCCCTTCGCTCCCCACCTTTCCCCTTCGCTCCCCACCTTTCCCCTTCGCTCCCCACCTTTCCCCTTCGCTCCCCACCTTTCCCCTTCGCTCCCCACCTTTCCCCTTCGCTCCCCACCTTTCCCCTTCGCTCCCCACCTTTCCCCTTAGCTCCCCACCTTTCCCCTTCGCTCCCCACCTTTCCCCTTCGCTCCCCACCTTTCCCCTTCGCTCCCCATATCCCCATCCCCTTACCTCTTACACTGGCTATCCGTTCTAGGCCAGCAGGCATCAGCCACATTCGTCCAGTTCCCCACGCCAAACCTCCCCACCGCCTCGGTCAGCCGCCGAACCTCCTCGCCGGACCATGGACCGAACCTCAGGTTCGGATCCAGCACGTTGCACCAGCGCTCCCTAACCTGCACCTCGGTGCGGTTCGGCACCAGTGCTGCGATTCTCCGCCAGTGGGGCGTTCCAAACACGCCCACGGCCAATCGCAGCCTGTCGTTCTCCTCGGGCGTCCATGCCGCCCTGCTGACGTGGCGCAGATGATGCTGCCAGCTGGCATGGAGGAAACCGGGAAGGAGGTGGAGGAGGGGGAAAGGGGGGAAGGGGGAAAGGGGGGAAGGGGGAAAGGGGGGAAGGGGGAAAGGGGTGGGGGAGTTAGTGGGAAATAGCTGAGGTGGAGCAGATGATTCTGACAGCTGGCAAGGAAAATAATGGGGAAAAGGACAAGGCGGGGGGGGGTGGGGAGAGGGGGGGTGGGGATGGGGGGGGTTTTGAGATAGTACAAAAGAGCTGACTCGCTGCCAGGGGTGCTGGCAGCAAAATTACCATGTGATATCACATAGAATTCTTCTCTGGTTGGAACCTACTAGAAATGTGCTTGCTCAACAAGTATATTGTCAATGTAAGGAACGCATGTTATGGGTCTGCTTTTGAGTCGACTCAGAAGTGATATCACATAGAATATTCTTTAGTGACCCAAATAGAAAATTGCTTGCACCACTCAACACCATGTTGGCCAATCCCGCTACCGACTGGGTTAAAAGGGCATGTTTCTGTGGTGGATGACACACCCATAACCCCCCAGGACGGAGCTATGGCCCTCCCACACTCAACCAGTGCCTCACCAACAATATCCCCCTCGCTAGGGTCGTCTCGATTTTTGAGGCGCCTAAAAAATCGTCTCAATATCCCCCTCGCTAGGGTCGTCTCGATTTTTGAGGCGCCTCAAAAATCGTCTCAATATCCCCCTCGCTAGGGTCGTCTCCCCCTCGCTGTGGCTGGTAGTGGATGCGGCACCTCCTCCGTGCACACCGGGCTTTAAACTGGAACCATCCAGGCTCTAATACCACAGTTGGCCCAGTCCGCTACCGTTGCCACCATTGCCTACCTCTCGCAATGGGAGGATGAAAGAATTCTGTTTGAGGGAGAAGAGGAAACCCTATACCTTATGGGGTATGCCGATGCCTCACATGCATCGGACAAAGTGACGGAGCCTATGGGTACGTCCACCTTCTCGGAGAAACGGCCATCATGTGGCGAGCAAAGAAGCTGACGGACATCGCTCTATCAAGCGCGAAAACAAAGTATATGGCGCTGTTTTATGCATGCCACGAGGGTGTGTGGCTGAGGAGCATACTGCTAGACATGGGGATCAACATCAACAAGCCTACAACGATCAAAACGGACAGTCAATCGGCCATCAACTTTGCAAGGAATGACAATTGGCAAGGACGTACCAAACACATGGATATCGAGTACCATTGGGTGTAATGAGCTGTGCGTAATGAGCTGTGTGTAATGAGCTGTGTGTAATGAGTCGATTTTTGAGTCGAATCAAAAGTCACCTCGACTCAAAAATCGACTCATAACACATGGATATCCTCGCACGTTACAGCAAAACATTGGGTGTCCTCAAAAATCGAGTACCATTGGGTGTGACAGCTGCTACAGAAAAAAACATTCCGTGCACGTGCGGACAGAGGAGCAGCCCGCGGATTTCCTCACCAAGGTGTTGCCAAAAGCTAATCATGACCATCGCAAAGACCTTGTGGGTATTCGTACCTTCAAGGAATTGCAGGGGAGCGGCTGAGCAGCAATGAAGACCACGAGCCCAAGTGACGGAAGTGGACAAGAGACCAAGAAAAATCCAGGTTACATGGTAACCAAGGGAGTGGCCGAGACGGTCAGCTAGCGAACCACAGGGGAGGTTGTTAGGGTGGTTCGCCGCTGCCCTACCAACCTAGAGCTAGCCCTAGCAGTGGGAAGTCAGCACTAGGGGCAGCGGACATGGGCGGCGATGCTGTGGACGGTGGGAGAAACCGTCATGTCTCTTTCCAAGGAAAACGGCATTGAAATGGTGCGACGATTGAAAAAGGAGAGAGCAGCGACGGGGAAGAAAAACGGGGAACCCCAAATGCAGCGACAGAAGGAAAGAAATGTCATGGCTGAAATTTGGTGGAGCAAGGAAAATCGATGACAAATAAAGAGAAGAATTCGGTGGAAGAACGAATTCTTAGTCTTTCTCAACGCTGCAAGCACTCCCGGCTGCTCCTCCCCTCCACGGCCAGAGCAACCGCTGCCCTGTTCGCCTCCCCGTGCCCTTTTGAGCTCGCTATAACCTCAGTTTGTTTGCACTGCCCATCACACGCACTCACCGCGGCCAGCACTCCCTGCAGCAAGCACTCCCTGCGGCAAGCACTCCCTGCTGCTTCTCCCTGCAACGGCCAGAGCAACCACCGCCCAGTTTCACCTCCCCGTGGCCCTTTGAGCCCGCAGGACCCTTAGCCCTCTACTGCAACCATCACACTCCCCCAATGTTCCTTTGTATTAGATAGACAAACTCACCGCTGCAAGTTTTGAGACGTCTCAAAACTCCCCGTGGCCCTTTGAGCCAGCAGGACCCTTTGCCCACCATTGCAACCACCACACTCACTCACCGCTGCAAGCACTCTCTCCCGCTCCTGCCTTGCACGGCCAAAGCAACCGCCGCCCAGTTCACCTCCCCGCTACCCCCTTGAGCCCGCTCTAACCTCTGTTATCTTGCACCGCTCATCACCGTGACTTACCGTTGTAAACACTCCCTGCCGCTCCTTCCCTCCACAGCCAAAGCCACTGCCGCCCAGTTCACCTCCCCGTGCCGCCGCACCGCCGCCGCCAGCTGTCTGTCCTCTTCTGCAGACCAATGGCGTCGCGCCACGTGGGGGTTCCACCACTTCTGATAGCCCATCAAGCACTGCAGCGCCGTGCGCCGCTTCCTCTCCCCTCCTTCCTCCCACTCCACCTCCTCCCCTTCCTCCTCCTCCCTCACTCTCCTGTTGACCTCCTCTGCTATCCCCTCCCACCCGCACAGCCCCCTGCTCTCAGCCACCTCCTTGAGTATCTCCTCCTCCCTCTCGCTCCACTCGCCCCACGTTATACTCGGGTCGTCCACATTCAACCACCTGTGGAACGGAGAATCAGCCACCTGAGAGAGAGATTTAACACAATCAGCCCGCACAGCCCCCTGCTCTCTGCCACCTCCTTTAGTATGTCCTCCTCCTCCATCTCGCTCCACTCGCCCCACGTGATGCTCGGATCGTCCACATTCAACCACCTGAAAGTAAGCGAGGGAGAAGGAACACCATCAAACCACATTGAACCGCATTAAACCACCTCTTTTAGAATCTCCTCCTTCCCTCTCACGCTCCTGTTGACCTCGTCTGCTATCCCCTCCCACCCGCACAGCCCCCTGCTCTCTGCCACCTCTTCTAGTATCTCCTCCTCCCTCTCGCTCCACTCACCCCACGTTAAGCATGGATAGTTTGGGAAGATGTGACAGGCATGTGCGGAATAAGAGAGCTGCAAACCCAACTGTACCGCACTGAACCACGACTTCTCCTCCCATGCTCTCTCCACCTCCGCCCTTGCTGAATATTATACTCGGATGCTCCACGTTCGACCATCTCTCAAACCGCGCTTTGCCGCACTTCGCTGCACTGAACCCCCCTCACTTAACCCCCAATCAACCCCCACTCAGCCCCCCCACCACCACATTACCTGAGCTTGCACTCCAGTGCTGTTCGCCGCAGGTGCAACCCCTCCCCAGGTGCAACCCCCCCAAAGCCTCCCATCGGTCGGATTCACAAACGCAGCTAATAATTCCGAGGCATCATGCCTGACCGCACTTCACCGCACTCAACCCTTTGTTACCTGAGCTTGCACTCCAGCGCTGTCCTCATCAGGTGCAGGCCCCGCCCCCGCCTCCTAGTGGCTGAATTCACAAACGCGGCAAATTATTCTGAGACGTCTCAAAGACCATACCTGACCACACTTCACCGCACTCAACCCTCATTTACCTGAGCTTGCACTCCAGCGCCGTCCTCCTCAGGTGCAGGCCCCGCCCCAGCCGCCTATTGGCCGGATTCACAAACGCAGCCGCCACGGTGGACCAATCAACACGCGGCATGGCGGCATGCATGGCCTCTGGTGTGAGCTCGCGGGCTCTGATACCTGCTATGGTGCGCTGGAGGAGCGACCTGGAAGGGAAGGAGGAGGGTGGGTGGGAGAGAGCTCTAGTAGAGAAGTGGAAGGGGAGAGGCATGGCGATGGCCTCTGGTGTCAGCTCGCGGGCTCTGATACCTGCTATGGTGCGCTGGAGGAGCGACCTGGAAGGGAAGGAGGAGGGTGGGTGGGAGAGAGCTCTAGTAGAGAAGTGGAAGGGGAGAGGCATGGCGATGACCTCTGGTGTCAGCTCGCGGGCTCTGATACCTGCTATGGTGCGCTGGAGGAGTGACCTGGGAGGGAGAAAACACAGAGGGGAAGGGGAGAGGCACGGCAACATGTATGGTCTCTGCTGTGAGGTCGTGGGCTCGGATACCCACAATGATGCTGCATGAATCGGGGGAGACAAGGGACAGAGGGAATGACTCACCACGCAGCAGAATGACACGCAGCAGAACAGCACCATTTTTTAGGCGCCTCAAAAGTAGACTCCGCAGCATGACAGCACCATCGGCAGAAAGTCATATGTTCTCCACTATTCCCCCCCCCTCCCACCCCCCCCCCCCCTCACTTGCCTATCAAGAGTAATCTCTGGCCCTTCCTTAACCGACTCTTCCACCATCCCCAGCAGCACTTGCTGCTGCCCCCCCTTTCCTCAACTCCTCATTCAATCACTCACACCCTCACTCACCTGTTGAAGGTAATCGGAAGCAACTCTTTTATAGACTCTTCCACCATCCCGTACAGCACCTGCTGCTGCTGCCCCCCCTCCCCCCAACGCCACCACCTCCCCCTTCCCCCACTCCCACTCACACTCTCACTCTCACTCTCACTCACACTCTCACTCTCACTCTCACTCTCACTCACTAACACCCACCACTCTTACCTGTCAAGAGTGCTTTCCAGCCTCTTCTATATCGCCTTTTCCCCACCATTCTCAGCAGCATCTGCTGTTGCCCCCCTTTTCTCAACGCCTCGTTCACTCACTCACTCACTCACTCACTCACTCACTCACTCACTCACTCACTCACTCACACCCTCACCTGTTGAAGGCAATCAGAAGCCTCACCCTCACACTCACACTTCCACTCTCTCTCACTAACACCCACCACACTCACCTGTCAAGGGTGATCTCCGGCCTCTCCTTTATTGCATCCTCAATCATCCCCTGCAGCACCTGCTGCTCTACCCCTTCTCTCAACGCCCCCACCTCCCCCTTCCCCCACTTGCGCCCTCTAAACACCAGCGGCATCACGTCCCTTAACTGCTCAAACACCGGGTAGTCCTCGTTCAAAGGCATGTCTCGGGAGGAAGCTTCCAGGTTGGAGGGGTCGTGCGGCGACGGATCGAACCCAAGCGAGCTGTACTTGTGTTTTCGGCCTCTCTTTTGCCGCCTCTTGGCCCAGTTCACCAGCAGCATCTCTGTTGCATGGCCCCCGTAGGTTCGGATTCCCTCCCCTCCCCCCCCTCCCACCCCACCCATACCCCACGCTTCTGCTCCTGCTCCTGATCCTGCTCCTGCTAACCCTCCCTCTGCTCCTCCCCTGCCTCTTCCTCCTGCCCCTCCTCTCCCTCCTGCCCCTCCTCTCCCTCCTGCCCCTCCTCCCCCTCCTCCCCCTCCTCCTGTTTCGGCTATTACCCCCCATCCTGCCCCTCCCACCATTCCTCCTATTACTCTCTTGGCTGCCTTCCTTGCCCGGGCCTCGAACCCAGCCACGGTTCTGACGCGCCGAAGCAGCTCCCGAGCCTGCCCCTCTCGGGCCTCCACAGCCGCCAGCAAATCGTGGAGCGCCAGCTGGCAGCGACGGTTGGCCTGCAGGGCGATTCGGACTGCTGCCACGTCAGCAGAAGAGAGGAAGGAAGGATCGATGGGAGGTTCCGAAGCAGGAGGAGGAGGAGCAGCAGCAGCACCAGGAGCAGCAGCAGCACCAGGATCAGCAGCACCACCAGGAGCAGCAGCAGCACCAGGAGCAGCAGCAGCACCAGGAGCAGCAGCAGCATCAGGAGCAGCAGCAGCATCAGGAGGAGCAGCAGCAGCATCAGGAGCAGCAGTAACATCAGGAGCAGCAGCATCAGGAGCAGCAGCAGCACCAGGAGCAGCAACAGCACCAGAAGCAGCGTCATCACCAGCAGCATGGACTTGTTCACACAATTCTGTTGCTTTCTCCTGGCCTTTATCCTGGCCTTCCACTGGCCCCAGAGCACCCCCCTGACCCTCTGCTGTTTCACCTGTAGAGAACCTGAGAGGTCCGACTGATGTTTTTTTCCACACTGCTTCTCCTGCCACCACTTCTGGCACTACTCCCAACACCATTGCCGCACCTGCTCCTGCTGCTCCTGCTCCTGCTGCTCCTGCTCCTGCTGCCACTGCCCCCTCCCCTACTGCACCGCCCATACACTCGTCAGCTTCCCCAACCATCACTGCCGCACCTCCAACTCTCATTTGCTCTTCCCCTGGTAGGGCTGACGCTGGCAAAACTGGTGCTTCTACTGCCGCCCCGTCCGCTGCTCCTGCCTCCACTTCTGCCGCTGCTGCTTCTGCTGGCTGATGCTGCTCGGCCTGCAGCACGTGTGTGCGTGCTGTGCCGGGATCCAGAACAGTGGCAGCGTGTGCAGCACCAATAGGAACACCAGCAGCAGCTGGAGCAACACTGTCAGCCTCAGCAGCAGCAGCAGCAGCAGCAGCAGCACCAGCAGCAGCACCATCCAGGGTGGCAGTACCACGTGCATCATCACCAACAATGGCCATACTAACACCAGCATTAGCAGCAGCAGCCTCCGTTGCAGCGGGCACTTGCGCTGGATCGACATCAGCTGAGGCAATATAAGCTGAGCCAACAGCCGCAGCCAAGTCAACTGTAGCAGCAGGGCGGGCATCAGCAGCTGGTGCCACGTGGCGGGAGGAAGGAGGGAGGAAGCTTCCAATTACTCCCAGCTGTCGCTCCAGCTGCCTCCGTGCCTCCGTCAGCTTCTGCAGCTCTCTCAGCTGCGCCACGTCAGCATGAGGCAATGCCACATCATCAACATCATCATGTTGCATCGCAGCATCTCCCCACTCTCCTCCCCTTTCGTCCTCATGCCACCCAAGCATCCCCATACTATAACCAACACCATCACCCACATCATCAACCACATCATCACCACCCCCAAGGCCACCAGTAGTAGGCAATGCCTGGGGCAGGTGGAACCCGCCCACCACCACAGCTTCCCCCACCTCCTCTTCCTCCTCACATCTCTCTTGCAATCCCTTCTCTCCGGCCCCACTCACTCCGCCCTCACCTGACGCCCCTTCCTCTCTCTGCCCCCTCCCTCTGCCCACAGCGCCCCCTCCCTCCCTAGCGCCGCCGGCACCAGCAGGGGTAGCCCCATCAACGTCATCACCAGCAGCAGCAGCAGCATCGCCAGCATTAGCCCCAGCACCGTCCCCTGCTGACCTCTGAGCCCCTTCTAGCAACAACTGCCGGCCCCCTGCTGACGTCTGCCCCCTTTTCCCACCAGTCACGTCCCCTCTCCCTCCCCTTCCCCCCTCTCTTCCCCCTCCCCTGCCCCTTCCGCCTTCCGCCCCTCCTCTCTTTCCCCTGGTCGAGGTTCCTCCCCTTCCCCGTCCCGGTCCTCCTGCTACTCCCTCCCCCCCCCCATCCCCCTCTCCGCCCCCCCTCGCCCTCTCATCCCCAGCAACCGATGCCCTCCCCCGTCCCCTCCCCCTTCCCCTCCCTTTCCCCCTCCCCCCAGCGTTTTCACTTACCTGTTCACCCCCGGTCTCTCCCCCAAACCCCACTTCTTCCGCACCTCCCCCCTTGTCTCCTCTTCTCGCTTCCCCACTCCGCCCTCTCCCTCTCCCCCTGCTGCCCCTTCCGCCCCCTCTTCCACCTTTGCCCCCCTCGCCCTCCTCACTTCCCCTCCTCCCCCCCACCCCTCTCCTCCCTGCCCCTCGTTCTCCTGCCTCCCCCTCTGTGTTTCCTCCCACCTTTCCTTCTCCTACCTTCCCTCCCCCTCTCTCTCCTCCCTTTCTCTTTCCTTCTCTCCCTCCCAGCAGCCCTTCAAGCTCGTTAAGCAGCCAGTCGTCCCCATCCCCATTCATACCACCGTCCTCCCACTCCCCATCCCCATCAACACCACCCCCCTCCCACTCCCCTTCCCCATACCTATAATCCTCTTCTCCTCCCGCAATCCTTGCGTCTCCTTGCGCCAGGCCTGCCCGCCCAAGCCCCTTCTGACCTCCCCTCGCAAGAGCCCTTCCTGACTCGCCATCTCCTCTCTCTACCCCTCGGCTTGACCCCACTTGCCGCACTCCTAGGCCCGACCCCACTTGCTGCCTTCCCTGACTTGACCCCACTCGCTGCACGGACAGGCTGCATATTTGCCGAGCAAACTCCAACAGAGCATCATCCTCCGCCTCCTCCCCCGCCTCGTCCTCCGTCTCCTCCTCCTCTTCGTCCGTGCCCCCTCCTCCCCCTCCTCCCCCTCCTCCCCCTCCCCCCGGTCCTTCCCCCCATTCACCCTCTCTGCCCTCACCTTCCCTCAACCCCTCAGCTTCCTCTGATCCCTCACCCCCGGATTCCGCCCTCACGCCACCCACAGATGCCCCTAGCACTCCTTTTCCCTTCGCTTTCTTCTCCACAAGTCCCGACCCCTCTCTCACAACCCCTCGCCCCCTAGCCCTCCCTCTCCCTCTCCCCCTCCCTCTCCCTCTCCCTCTCTCCTCCCCTCCCGCTCCCCCCCCGGACCCACTACCCCTACCTTCGCCTGTGCTTCTACCCGCTCCTCTCCTCCCCCTTCCTCTACCACTCTTCCCTCCTTCCTCTAAGCCCCTTTCCACCAAACCCTTGCCTCTCCCCCTCCCTATCCCCCTCCCTCTCCCCCTCCCTCCCCTCCTCCCTCCCAGCTGCGCCTCGTTCTCCGATACATCCCCTGCTCTCTCACGCACGTCGCATCTCCCATCTTCCCCCATTCTGTCCTCTGCAGCAAATACTGTACTTGCCGCCCGAACATCGCTTGCCGGCCGAACATCACTTGCCTCCCGAACATCACTCGCCGCCCCTGCCTGCTTCGGTTGCACGTTTGCTGCTTGCTTTTGACCTGCCCTTGACGCCTTGTCAACCTGTCTTGCAGACGTGGCAGGCACAGTTGACGCGGCAGGTATTGCTGACGTGGCTGCGGCTGCTGACATGGCAGGCTTCACGACCATCATCTGACGCACCAATTGGAGCAATCTATCATCCTCATCCTCCTCTTGCCCCTCCGCCTCCTCCTCACCTTCCTCCTCCTCTTCCCCTTCCTCCACATGCGCCCTTCTTCCAACTTCTACATCCCGCCTTCCCCTCTCACCGTCCCCTTCGCCTTCCTCCCCATCCCCCTCGTCTTCCTCTTCCTCTTCCTCTGTCTCTTCTTCCTCCTCCATTAAACCGCTAACCTCCCCACCTGTCAGCAAGAGCGGGTGTCTTCCCTGCAATTGTGAGTGTACCGGGAGAGCGCTTCTTTCTGAGAAGGGCACGCCGAATTCGCTCTGAACTGCCGCAAGAAGCGCCTCATCCTCCTCATCTTCCCCGTCTTCCTCGTCCTCGTCCTCGTCCTCCTGCCGCTCGTCCAATCGGTTACTGCCATGTGTCCTCTGGCCAAACATGACGGTCCTAGATCTCAAGACGCAGTAGCGACAGGGACGGGAAAAGCGTGGTAGCTTTCTTTGCGAACCTTATAAATGCCCAAATTTCGTGGATCAACGGGAGAGGAATGCGTGTCCTAAATGGCTTGACGCGGATTATCAGGCATGCCTGATAAATTTCACGTTCACTGCACTGACGAAGCACATGTGAGCAGAAGTTGCCAGAACAACGCAGAACGTCGGTTTTGCTGAGATTTGGAGGTCGCAAAGAAGGTTGTGGGTTTGACGGGTTTCTTAATGCCACGTGGCGGTGCTGGTTGGCAGAAGTCGGTGCAAAAAGTATTACTTATAGCGGATGTGACAGAAGCGAGGGTGTGAGGTGATACGACAAAAAGCATCGAGCACTGAGAGATTCGAACTCTCGCGGGCAGAGCCCATGTACTTAGCAGGCACACGCCTTAACCACTCGGCCAAATGCTCTTGCATCTATAATGTGTTTTACTAAGACAGTTAAAAATCAATTTTTCACCGCAATGTATCCTACTCAACCGTGATTTGTGTACAGAAAACGTGCGCGCTGGTCACGCCCTATCTCTTCTCAATTCTTATCTTCACTGTGACGCTTTTGCATCCCATCCTCATTCCCAAGGTTGTCGACCTGATCAACGCCATGCGACGAGCATCAGTGCCGCTATCCTCGCTTAGCGGTGGTCGCTGGAAGAGTAGATTTAATTATAATTCTGCCATCAGAAGTGACACGTCGGCATCTTATTGCCTGGCCGAACCGTCACACCCCTTACGGCAAATCAGGCGGGATCGTGAGGCAGCGAGCCTTTCCCGGCTTGATGGAATAACGGAGGGTCCTTTAGCTAAGCCATCGATACTGTCGGATTCTAGGACTGTCACACAGAACGGTCGACGTTTCGTGAATAAGTCGCAGAATGATATTGGCGACGAGGGTTTCGACTCCTCCCTCGCACTGTTTCGCGACTGCTTCCTGGACGAGTCGCAGAGCGACGTGCGACGAAACGGCGACCGCTGTGCGACGTCGCACGGGTGTGCGAAGCGAGCAGCAGGAGAAGATGCGTGCTGCGATCTTGGGTGCGAGAGGTCAGCCAGGAGAGTGAAGATCGCTGAACCGAGTGATGCTCCTGACACCATGATGGCTGTAACAGTTCACAATCGTAGCAGGTCCCATTATGATGTCGGTAATTACAATTATGATAACCTAAACTATGATGTCACGAGTGCCGAAATTGACGTTACTGGAAGAACTCAGGCGCGGAACCCGGCCAATCATGTGGAGCATTGTGATGGTGGTGACACCGATGGTGGTGGCTGTAATGTTGGTGACTATAACGAGGCCTTGGGTTCGGAAGAAGACTCCTACGACGACCATGACGAGATATCCGGGATGATGACTCAGCACCATGCCGACGTGACGTGGCAGACCGAACATCTCGATGCAGCAGGAAGAATAGAGGAGGCTGAAGCAGGGGGGAGGGAAGATGAGCCTGCTTTTGAGTCGAATCAAAGGCAGATTGACCATTTTCCTGCAGCAGAAGATACACAAGGGGGGTCTGAAGCAAGTTGCAGAGACGGTGAGGGTTCGGGAAGGAAAGCCGAAGCTGCAGGTCAGGTGTGGGGTGGCAGTGATTGGGTGGAAATGAGATCCTGGCGGAGAGAGAAGCTGAATGAGAGGAGTGTGAGTGTATTAGAGGAGAGTGAGAAAGACGTGAGTGTGAGAGTGGTGAGTGAGAGAGGAGTGAGTGAGGAGAGGGATGACGATCAGCCAGAGGAGGAGGAAGAGGAGAAGAAGGATGTGGTGGTGTTGGGAGAAGAGGAGGCGGGTGATGATGTGATCGAGCTTACATGGACGGATGACGAGGATGAGGAAGAGAGAAAAGAGGAAGGAGACGAGGGAGAAGGGGAAGGTGAGGCGGAAGGTGGGGAGGAAGGTGGGGAGGAAGGTGAGGAGGAAGGTGAGGAGGAAGGTGAGGAGGAAGGTGAGGAGGAAGGTGAGGAGGAAGGTGAGGAGGAGGGAGACCTGGTAGAGGAGGTGTACGGCAGCGTGGAAGAGCCTGACGTGGACTGCCCAATCTGTGGCTGCCACCTGTCCGACCTGGAGCCAATCAAACGCGAGCAGCACTCCAACACATGCTGGGATTCCTTGGCAAGGGATGGTGGGAGACGAGAGGGGACGGAGGCGAGGGGGGTAAGGCAAGAGGGGGAGGAGGAGGAAGAGGAAGAAGCGGGGGGAGACGAGAATTCAACAATGGCTCGGGTGCTGTGGATGAAGATAGAGGCGGGAGGCATGGGGCCATGGAGGAGGAGAGGAGTGGGGGAGGTGAGGGAGGAGGAGATTGAGAAAGAAGGGGAAGGAGAGGAGGAGAAGGAACGGGGAGAGAAGGAGACAGAGGAAACGAAGGAAACTGAAAAGGAAAGGCAGCAAGTGGGCGGAGCGTCAGGTGGTGCGTCAGGTGGTATGTTAGGTGGTGCGTCAGGTGGTGCGTCAGGTGGTGCGTCAGGTGGTGCGTCAGCTGGTGCGTCAGGTGCTGTAGCTGCTCAGAGGCGGCTCATCACAGACTTCTTTGGCGGCAACAGTGGGCACAGACCACCGCCCCAACCACAACAGCAGCAGCAGCAGCAGCAGCAAAGAACTGGTACAAAGCCAGCGACTGCTGCTGCTGCTGCTGCTGCCTCTAGGTCTGCTGCTGCTGCTGCCTCTAGGTCTGCTGCTGCTGCTGCTGCTGCTGCTGCAATATCCGGCAGGCCAGAGCGAGTCAGTAGAGCCGTGACGTGGAGGCGACAGGTCACAGGAAGGCAAGAGGGTGGAAACAGTGGAGGAGGGGGTGGTGATGGTGCAAGGGGAGCTGGTGCAACTGAGCTTGCCGGTGGGCCAGAGCGAGTCAGCAGGGGCGTGAAGTGGAGTGGACAGGGCGCAGGAAGGCAGCAGGGTGGAAACAGTGGCGGTGAGGAAGGTGCTAGAGTGGGTGGACGAGGGAGCTGGAGGGGCGGAGGAGGGAGAGGAGGAGGGCGGGGAGGAGGGAGAGGAGGAGGGAGGGGAGGAGGGAGAGGAGGAGGTAGGGCGGGAGGATCACTAACCGAGCCTTGGGAGATGATTCCAGGCACTGATTTCCTAGTGGTGAGTGCAGCGTGAGGAGTCTATTTTTTAGGCGCCTCAAGAATTGATTTCCTAGTGGTGAGAGCAGCGTGAGGAGTCTATTTTTTAGGCGCCTCAAGAATTGATTTCCTAGTGGTGAGTGCAGCGTGAGGAGTCTATTTTTTAGGCGCCTCAAAAATTGATTTCCTAGTGGTGAGTGCAGCGTGATAGCTGTGATGTCTTTGTAGGGAGCTAGTTTGGATGCCAGGGTAAGTTGTTTTTGAGCCGACTCAGGAGCCACCTCGCTGCCAGTGGCTTAGGAGATGATTCCAGCACTGCTTTCCTGGTGGTGAGTGTAGTTGTATCCTAGTCTTAGAAACTCTTTGGTGATGCCAATGCGGCCTGTAGAGTTTTCTTGCAGAGGTCCACCTTTCTCCGTAATTTATTCTCAATTAATTCCCTTGGGGAAGGACCCGGGCCGGGGCTGACAGTGTCTGTAATTTATTCTCCTTTTTTCGTATTTACGCCGTGCTTTTCACATCTGCATGTCATAACATTTGTATTTACATCATAACAATCTTGCCCTGGTTGCATGTCTGCTTGGCAGGATGCGTTCAAGCGCACTTCTCCCTCGTGTCGCCACTGGTTCCTCACCCACTTCCATGCTGACCGTACGTGCCTTTCCCCTTTCCCCTTTCCCCTTTCCCCTTTCCCCTTTCCCCTTTTCCCTTTCCCCTTCCTCTTCGCTCCTGCTGTTTCCCACTCACCCGCTCCCATGCAACATGGGGGGTCTACTTTTTAAGGCACCTGAAAAATAGACTCCTCACGCATGCTTTTTCCCACTCACCCACTCCCCTGCAACATGGGGAGTCTATTTTTGAGGCGCCTAAAAAATAGACTCCTCACGCATGCTCCCGCTCCCATGCAAGATGGGCCATGCTGACCGTATGTCGTCCTTTTCCTCCTTTTCCTTCTTTCCTGCCAATTCTCGCTCACGCACTCACTCACTCACTCAATCACATGTTGACCGTACCTTCCTTTGCCCTTCCACCTTCCTCTCCCTTCTGTTTTCTGCCTCCACCTTCTCCTGTCTATCTGCCCTCTTCTTTGTCGTCTTCCTTCCAAGTCAACCTCCCATTTCACCCTTCTGCCTCCACCTTCTCCCGTCTATCTGCCTTCTCCCCTAACAATTTGCCACTGTTTCGCCTCCCCCTTTCTACCTTTTTGGCTGCTACCCTAAACCCTATACTTCCTTTCTTCTTCGTCTTTTTGCCTTTCCCCCTCCCCTCTTCTCTGCTTATCCGTTTCTCTCCTCTGTGCCTTCATATCCTGCCCCTTTCCTCTTTTTGTTTCCGCCTGCCCGCAGATTACAACGGTCTGACCAAATCTTTCCGCTTCGGAACAGTCTATTGCTCCCCAGTCACTGCCCGGCTCGTGAAACTCCGTCTCGGCCTGCCCGAGGAGAAACTTTGCGAGCTGCCCGTGGGCGAGCCGGTAGAGATTGCTGGGGTGGGCGTGACACTAATGGATGCGAACCACTGCCCGGGGGCAGTCATGATTCTGTTTGAGCCTCCTAGCGGACAGGTGAGTGAGGGTGAATCCGTAGAAAGGAACGAAGCTCACTCACCATTGTATTTTGATTCGACTCAAAATACACCTGTGGGGCGCTGCATCGGGGAGTGGCCATGTCTCTGCTACATGCAAGCGGAGGAGGAAGCATCAGGCAGTGGTGGGGTGCGATGCGGTCACCAGTGCTTTGGGTGGGGATTCATCCTGGTGAATGCAAACCATTGCTCGGGGCAGGGCAGTTATGAGTTCCGTTTGAACCCTCCTAGTGGACAGCAATGTGAAGAAGAGGCGAAACGTTGTGGTTTCTTTCTTTTTTAACCTCCATATGGAGAGGAAAAAGGGAAGCTAAGCTTTCTTTCTTTTTTAACCCCACTCCACTTTCTTTGCTTTCCTATTTTCTACAGGCTGTGCTGCATACTGGCGATTTCAGATGGCATCCCTCCATGGCTGCTCTGCCCTGCCTTGCTGCCACTCGCATTCACACGCTCATTCTCGACACCACCTACTGCCACCCCAAGGTGATCCCAATTTAATGTAGGTCCAAGGCATTGCAAGGGAGTGCCCTGCCTTGCACTGCCCTAGAGGGCTGCTCACACCCTCAAGGCTCGCTGCTCGGCCGTGCCTTGCTGCCACTCGCATTTACATGCTCGTCCTCCACACCACCTACTGCCATCCCTTGCCACCACGACATGTTACCATGATGTTTTTGAGGCGCCTCAAAAATTATGTTGTGTACTTAGGCACCTCATAAACAGGCACCTCGAGAATTGGCGCCTAAAAAAATAGCCACCTCAGCATAGTCCCATGCTGCTGTCTCAACCCAACTCTTCGGGCTATTTTTTATAATTCTCCTAAATACCCTGCGAAATCAGCATAGTCCCATGCTGCTGTTGCAACCCAACTCTTCAGGATATTTTTTATAATTCTCCTAAATACCCTGCAAAATGAGCATAGTCCCATGCTGCTGTTGCAACCCAACTCTTCAGGCAATTTTTTATAATTCTCCTAAATACCCTGGAAAATCAGCATAGTCCCATGCTGCTGTTGCAACCCAACTCTTCAGGCTATTTTTTATAATTCTCCTAAATACCCTGCAAAATTAGCACAGTCCCATGCTGCTGTTGCAACCCAACTCTTCAGGCTATTTTTTATAATGCTCCTAAATACCCTGCGAAATCAGCATAGTCCCATGCTGCTGTGCAACCCAACTCTTCAGGCTATTTTTTATAATCCTCCTAAATACCCCGCAAAATCAGCATAGTCCCATGCTGCTGTTGCAACCCAACTCTTCAGCCACTCCTTGTCTTCTCCTGAGTTCGCCACTAGTTGTCCCTCCCCCAACCCCGTCCCTTCTCCCCCTCATCTCCTCCATCCCTCCCGCCCCTCCTGCCTCCGATTCCAGAACGAGTTCCTCCCTAAAGCAAGCAACGGCTCTGCAGTTTGTGGTGGAGTCCATTCGTGCAGATACTCGCAGTGACATGGGTGTCTTACTCTCCCCACCCCCCTCTCCCCTCTCCCCTCTCCCCTCTCCCCACTCCCCATGGCAGTACGAGTTCCCCCCTCAGGAGACGGCCCTGCAGTTTGTGGTGGAGGCCATACAGGCAGAAACGTTCAACAGCAACGCGCTCTTTCTCATCGGCACCTACACTATCGGTGCGTGTCTTACTGCTGTTATGCTCCATGCTATCCTGTGCTCTGTGCTCCTCTTAGTCCTAGTGGCACAGGAGCAGGAGAAGGGAAACATCTTCTGACTCCTTGTACCTTTTGTTTATTTCCCAAGCAGTCACCATTCCCAGGCGAGGAGACGGTGTTCCTAGAGGCAGCAAAGGCTCTCAGACGCAAGGTGTGTGTGGGGGCGGTCAAGAGACACCTGCTGGCATGCCTTGGTACGCCAGACGACGCCATGTTTTCATATCCTTTGCGGCCTTCCTTCCTCTACCCTCCCAGCACACTTATCGACCACTGACCCAAGGCAAGGAGAAGGTGTTTCTCGAGGCTGCAAAGGCGCTCAAGCGCAAGGTGTATGTGGGGGCGGTCAAGAGGCGCCTTCTCACATGCCTTGGTCTGGCAGGTGATGACGTGGCATGGGTGGCTGGAGATGGCGAGGAGTCTCCTGCTTTCATGCCTGGGACCGTCGTACTCATGGCAAACCTTTGAACCCCTTGTCAATGTGTTACCATCTTCTGACCCCAGGGAAGGAAAAGGTTTTTCTAGAAGCAGCAAAGGCGCTCAAGCGCAAAGTGTATGTGGGGGCGGTCAAGAGGCGCCTTCTCACATGCCTTGGTCTGGCTGAAGCGGACATGGCATGCGTGGCTGGAGATGGCGAGGAGGCTTCCACGAACCTTCACGCCGTGCCGCTCTGGTCGATCTCCAGCTTTAAAAGGATCGAACACATCGCCAAGTTCCACAGGGTAAGTCCTGATTTACACCCACTGATAAATTTCAAGCAAGACTTTGTTGCTCGTGGTTCATAGGATGTATCAAGCCTCATGAGTCGTGGCGTAAGTTGTGGTTGTTACATGCTAAATTAAATGTGATCAGTTTCTTTCACCATCCTCACTCCCTCAACCTTCCCATTATTCCCCTTATTCGTTTCTGGCCAGCATCGCTATTCCACCATAATTGCCTTTTCCCCGTCCGGGTGGGCATTTGACAAGTGCAAGAAGGCACGGCCCATCCGGCGAATGCAACGGGGCACCATTGTCAGGTACGATTGTTCGCCGCGGACCTAAGGAGCATGTGTGAGGCACGACCTCAAACATAGAGAGCTATTCCACTAGAAGGAAATATTTTCAGGAATGACTGTGTAAGAGCCAGTTTCCCTGAAACCTCCCTTTTTCTATCATCGGTCATCTTACAGCCCTTCCGTTCCCTGTTCTAGTTCTACCGGTTCATTCAATCGTTCTACGCGTTGCCCCCCTTTTGCTGCCAGGTACGAAGTACCCTATAGCGAGCACAGCAGTTTCTACGAGCTTCAGGAGTGTGTGAAGGCTGTCGATCCGGAAGTCATTATCCCAAGTGTGCACAATCACGGGCAGGGAGCAGCGCAAGCCATGGTAGCATTGCTAGCCGAAGGAGAATCAAGCCAACGAAGTTGAGGCGGATTAAACATCTCCAGAATGACGGTGTTTGATCACTCCTATGTATTTCCGTTTCCGAGCATGTGGGCATGTGGGCGTGTGGTAATGTTTTACATCTATGGAAATTGGGCCATTGATTCTGCCTGGGGAAAAATCATTCTTGCCTTTCAGGTAGCCCGCATGTTAGGCCCTTGTATATCCCGTTTTCATTATTATTCTTGATTATCTTCTGAACATCATACATGTTAAGCATAACATAACCTCTATGCGTGAGTTGATTCAGTAATATGAGAGTAAAAACAAGAACTTCCTCGATATTGGTTTCCCACTGTTCCCCGCCAAACGCTTCCCGTCAGGCGCCCGCAAGCCGCAGCCTGGCAAGCTTCAAACTCCGCTTTCCCGCGGGGTTTCAAAATCAGTCAGGGATCGCGGCTCGTCATTCACCGTCAGATGTGCTGGAATCGGCAATCTCTGTGCAAATCTGCACCATACGTTCAACAGAACCGCCCAGACCAAACAAATCCCAATGGGGATGGAAATGCTGGCTGATGATCCCTGGGAATTCCCTTCTCCTTTCCCCTTACCACTTTCTCCCACCTCCAAGAATCCTGAACACCAATTTCCTCAGAGCATTTCAGGCAGGAACCAGGACTCGGAATTCAGGAATGCTCAGGTAGAGTCTTCCACACATTTTAGACTAAGCGCTACAGTTGTTCTCCACAGTTGGCCCTGTCGTCGTAGATGGTTGTCATTTAGGTTCTCCTGTCCTTCCTTTAGTAAGGTAGGCTCCTGTGTCCTTTCTTTGGTCAGGAAGGCTCTCGTGTCCTTCCTGGCGTAAGAATCACCCTGAAGTAGGAGGTATCTGAGCAACCGTAGGCTGACACGAATTGCCTAGCCATCGGACTGCGAAGCTACTTTGATCATGCAGATTAACGGATAAGCTTGCAGGAGCGTACTTAGAAATATCTGGAGGAAGCTGTTGCTGCTATAGAACTTCGCCAAGATGTCGAGCTGGCTTTTCAGTAACCCGGGATCGGGTTCTAAATCTCCGGAACCGAAGCGAGAAAGGAATCCGGATCAGATCATTCAGTCACTTGAAGCGGAGCTTAATGCGAAAGATGTTAAAATCTCGAACCTGGAGCAGCTCTGTACGAGGAAATCTCAGGTCAGTTGTCAACTGCCTCCAAGTTCCTTACTCTTCCGTACATACATACTACTTTCGCGTCTTGACTCTTTCGCATGGCCTATTATTTATAATGCTAAACATTTTACCACTCCCGCTTACTATTCTGGATTCAGGAATATAACGATCTCAAGTCAGAGCAAGATGCTGTCAGCCAGGTAAAGGACTACCCATACGTCTCAAAATTACTGGTTTCCTTTTTTCATTTTTGTTCCAGCGAATAATGAGTGCCTCACACCAACTGTTTTGGATTCTTTTGCAGCAAATGAGTGGGTTCGCCGACGCGATAAGGACCATGAAGGAGGAGTCTGCTCGGAGATCTCAGGTATTGACTTTCCATGCCTCAGCTGGACTGTTCTATTTTCAGATGAAGACACTTATCTTCCATCAGGTGTCGTAACCCGCTTCCCCTCGAGCGAAAAATGTCTCATCTTGTTTAAATATTTTCGCGTTCTCTGTTCTTTGGCTATTTCAGGAGCTTCAGACCTCGGAGCGGGAAAAGGTGGACCTGATGACGCAGCTCCAGCGTCGCAACGTGGAAGTGAAAGACCTTCAAGACGAGCTTGACGAAACGAAGCGGCTGATGAGAGCGGCACAGGAGGAAGCCAACGCAGCGTTGGTTAAGGCGAAGCAGGTATCGATCAGATTGCAGCCTGAAAGCGTTGACCATTTCGCAGTCGCCTGCAGTTCCTGTTTGCTTACTCGCGTTTTTTTTTTTCAATGCGTGCTGCGTGTTCAGGATGTGGAGAGCGAGCACACTCGTTATCTTCAGGAGCACAAGAAGAGTGTGGAGAAACAGCGGGAAGCCGCTATGGCCCAGGTCGACTTGGAAACCCAGTAAGTAGTTCAATTCCAGACGCTACGCCATCGTTCCTTCTACAGCGACGGTGTCTTATTCATCAACGGTGCCTGTGATTAGTCAACGGTGCCTGTGTTAGTCAACGGCGCCTGTTATTAATCAACGGTGCCTGTGATTAGTCAACGGCGCCTGTGATTAGTCAAAGGTGCCTGTGATTAGTCAAAGGTGCCTGTGATTAGTCTAAGGTGCCTGTGATAAGTCAAAGGTGCCTGTGATTAGTCAAAGGTGCCTGTGATTAGTCAAAGGTGCCTGTGATTAGTCAAAGGTGCCTGTGATTAGTCAAAGGTGCCTGTGATTAGTCAAAGGTGCCAGTGATTAGTCAAAGGTGCCTGTGAATAGTAAACGGTGCCTTTGATTGATCAGCGATGGCCAACGTGTTTATCGACTGTCCATTTCTTTGCGTTTCTGAATCATCCAGGATCGACGCCTTGACCCAGCAGCTGAAGGATCTGCAAGAGCAGGAGGAAGCGAAGGGTTCTGAGAACGCGGAACTGACCAAGAAGCTGAACGATGCACGCACCGGTGAGCCCAGGATACATCTCCTTCTCCGCCTTCCGTTCTCTTTCGGGGCAGCTCTTTGCGAGACCATGATGTCGACTATTACCGTCAGGGAGACTCTCCTCCGCTTGTCTGGAGCTTCAGACCGGTCAACTTCGGTGCCAAGTTCAACACTTGAGCGTTTCCGTTTTTCCTCGGTGGCCATGCTAATGCGTGTGTCTTGTGTGTGTTGGGCTGCTGCGTCGTGGCGTGGGTGTTACCTGCAGAGATCGAGCGGCTGCAGCGCAGCGAGAAGGAGGCGAAGGCGACACGCGGCTTGCAGGTGGAGGTGGAGGACATGAGAAGAGCGCTGGAAGATGCGGAGTTCACGATTCGCAACACCAAGCAGCAGCTCGCTGCTGCTGAAGCCAACGCTTCGCGCCTCAAGGGCCAGGTCAGTTCGGAAAGCCCTGTCGCTTCAATCAAAGTTTGGTTGTTGACTGGTTGTTGACTTCCTGCGTGAGAGCTCGCTCGCTTCCAAAGCTGTGTCCTTTTTCTCAGATGGCATTCGTAGGCCAGAGAATCATGATTTGTTTTTTCGCTTTTCACACTTCTCGTCTTTGTTGACCTTACTTATTTCACTTCTTTTTCGTCTTCGTTCTTCACTCTCTCTTCTCTTTTTTTTGACCTCTCAGGTGGCTCATCTGACCGTCAAGCTCCAGGACGAGCGTCAGGCGCGGGAGAAGCTGGAGGCGCAGATGGAGCAGCTCGGCGCGGGATCCGGCAGCGCGGAGCAACTGGCGGCAGCACTGCGGAAGGAGAACGAAGAGCTTAAAGCCCGGGTCTCCCTGGCCGACGAACGGGTTGCGGAAGCTCGTCGACAAGTGGTATCGTTCGAGACGACGATGGGGGAGCGCGCGGACCTGGAGCTGAAGGCGGAGATGGCGCGCGCGGAGAAGGTGAATGCGGAGAAGCGGGCGGCGGAGGCGGAAGCGGAGGCGAAGGCTGCGGAGGATGAGGGGAGGCGGGCGGTGTGTGCGGCGGAGGAGAAGCTGAGGGGGATGCAGCGGGAGAAGGAGCAGCTGGTGGGGGAGTTGGAGGCTGCGGTGAAAGGGAGAGACGCGGAGAAGGGGGAGCTGGAGGGGAGAATCGCGGGCCTGGAGGCGGAAGTTGCGGAGATGAGGCGCGAGACGGGGAGACTGCATGAGGCGGCCAAGGAGGCGGCGAGGCAGAAGGAGGCAGAGATGGATTCGCTGCAGAAGGAGCTGAATACGAGCGTCACTGCACTGGAGGAGGTGAAGCTGAGGTGCGCGGAGGCGGAGGAGGCTTTGCGAGCGGAGAAGGAGCGGAGGCACGCGGAGGTGGCGGCGGCTGTCGGTTCCGTGGAGAGGCGATGCACGGAGTACGAGGAGAAGGTGGGGGGACTACTGAAGGCCGTTGAGGGGCTCGAGTCTGAGAAGGCGGAGCTGATCGCGAAGGTGGAGCGCGGTGTGGAGGAGTACAGGAGGGTGATGAAGCAGGCGCACGAGGCTGAGTTGAAGAATGGAAGGATTGAGAAGGAGGTGGGGAGGTTGGAAGAGGAAGGGGAGAGGACGCGGAATGAGCTGGCTGTTGTGCGCGCGGTTATGGAAGATGCGGAGCAGCACATGCAAGCGCAGGCGGAAGAGGCGCGCGCGCAGCTGCGCCAGTCGTCCGACGCGGCGAAAGAGGAGGCGCGGAATTCGGGCGCGGAGCTTGAGGCGCTGCGGCGGGAGGTGGAGGTGCGGGCGAGGGAGGTGGCGGAGTTGTTGCAGAGGGCCGAAGAGGCGGAAGCTATTGCGGCGAAGGAAGCGGAACGGAGGTCTGCGGAGAGCAACGTGGCGGAGAATGTGCGGGCGAGGCTGGAAATCAAGTGCGGAGAGCTGGAAGAACAGGTGGTGCAACTGCGAGGAGTGGTGGACGGGGAAGAGGGCGAAATCGCAGCCGTGCTGGAGCGAGTGAGCGTGGCTGAGGCGGCTGGGAAGAAGGCAGAGAGGGACCTCTGGGAGATGGAGGAGGCGAAGGGGAAGGCAGAGAATGAGCTGGCGAGAATGAGGGAGGAGTGCGAGAGAATGGAGCAGGAGATGGGGATTCTGAGGGAGGTGGTGGAGGATGTTGAGGGGCGCGTGAAGAGGGAGGCGCGGGAGGCGGCCGGGCTTCTGGCGAAGCTGAATGTTGCAGAGGGGGAGATTGAGGGGCTGAGGAGGGAAGCTGAGGAGGAGAGAGAAAGGGCTGGGGGTGCTTTGAGGGAGAAGGCGGAGGCGTGCAGGGAGGTGGAGGAGGAGCGGGAGAAGGTTGCTGGGCTGGAGCGTGCGGTTGAGGAGATCCGAGAGACGCTTGGTGCTGCGACAGAGGCTGCAGAGAGGGAGAAAGCAGCGAAGGAAGAGGCGGAGGCAGAGATTGGACGCATGGAGAGGGAGATAGCGCGGGAGAGGGAGGATATGGTGGGGAAGGTTGCGGAGCTGCAGGCGCAGGTGGAGAGGTTGAGTGCGGAACTGGATGCTGCGAGGGATGAGCAGCAGGCGATGCAGGCCCGAACCGACCAGCTGCTGTGCGACGTTTCGCAGCTGTTGCACGCCAAGTCTCGCCTGGAAGCGGAGCTGCGCGAGGCTCAAGCGACGGTCGCTGAGAAGGAAGAGGCGATGAGCCGCGCGGAGGAGCGGCTGGCGGAGATGGCGCAGGAAGCGGAGGTGCTGCGGGGGGAACTGCGGAACGCGGAGGCGGATGCGGAGAAGGCGGAGAGGGAGGCTGCGGAGGAGAGAGCTGGATGGAAGGAGGCGGAAGCGAAGGTGGGTGAGTTGGAGGAGAAGGAGCAGCGGCTGGTGGGGCGATACGACGAAGAGATTCGATCGCTTCAGGAGAAGATGGAGGGGTTGAAGTGGGAGCTGGAAATAGCGCAGGAGCGCCGGCGCGACGAGGCGGAGCAGCTGGCGGAGAGGCTGGAGGAGACGAGGGTGGCCCTGGAAGGCGTGAGAGCGGAGGAAATGAGCGCTAGGGAGGAGGCTGATAAGCTGAGAGGGGAGCTGGCTGCAGCGGTGCTGGCCACTGGAGCTGCAGAGAGGGAGCTTCAGGCGGAGAAGGCTGCGCGGGAGGGAGCGGAGGAGAGGGTTGAGGCGATGGAGAGGGAGAGGGAGGCGATGGTGAGTGAGCACGAGGATGTGGAGGTGGGGCTGAGGGAGGCGGTGGAGAGTGGGAGGGAGGAGGCGGCGAGGGAGAAGGCGTGGAGGCAGAGCGAGGTGGAGGAGGTGAGGGGAGAGATGAGGTCGATTGTGGCGGAGCTAGAGGCGAAGGTAGCGGAGATGGAGGCGAGGGAAGGGAGGATGGAGGAGGAAGTGAGAAGGAAGGAGAGTGAGGTGGAGGGGCTGGCGGGCAGAGTGAAGGAGATGGAGTGGGAGATGAGGAGGCGGAACGAGGAGCAGCGGCAGGGGCTGATAGCGGTGGTGCAGCAAGGCGTGGGCAGTGGGCAGGTGGGGGATGCGCTGGTGGAGCGGGCTCGGGAGCTGCTGCAGAGGCTGGAGCAGGAGGGGGTGCGCGCGCAGCAGGTGTTGGAGATGGAGGAACGGATGAGGGAGCTGGAGGCCAGGCTGAATGACGCAGATGAGCAGGTGAGGGTCACTCTCCCACCTTCTATCAATGATTTTGACAATCTTACCCTGGTTTCTAGATTCACATGCTTTTGGAATTCTCGTTGTTCCTTCTTGAGGCTGGTGTTCCCATGATCGGGAGTTCCTGTTCCCACGTTTTGACTGTTCTCTCACTTCTGCTTCCCTCTGACTGTGCTCGTGCAGCTTGCTGAGCTGGCGGATAAGGAGGAACAGCTGTCGGCGTCTGAGTGGACCATTGAGCGGATGGGCGAGGAGCTGAAGCGCGCCAAGGAGGTGAGTCACATCCTGAGTCCGGTTTAGAGTCGTTCCACCCTCCATGCGCCCCTCTACTTTCACTTCCCCCTCTCCCCACGCGCCCTACCAAAGCGTGCCACCATTTTCGTCTACTGTGCACTACTGCATCCCTATGATTCGCCTCAATCTTTGTGAATATCCCATCCCAACCCTGCCATGCAGAGCACTGAGACTCGCAAGGCTGAGCTGTCGCAGCTGCAGCACCAGCTGCTGTGCGCCGAGGCGACGCTGGAGGAGCGCGAGAAGGACGTGGATGCGCTGAGGCGGATGCTGGAGGAGTCCAACGGCAAGCGCTGGCGGCGAGCGCGGCAGATCAAGCGCATGGAGAGCGAGATGATAGCTCTGAGGGAGGAGCTGGGGCGGGAGAGGAAGCGCAGGCGGCCGGAAGGCGGGGAGGGCAGCGGAGAGGAGCAGGAGCGTGGGGGGACGCCCATGCGCGTGGCTATTGCAGGGACGTCCACCCATACCCACTTGGCGATTGGAGAGACGCCCCCACGGCTGGCGATTGGAGTGGAACCCACACTTGGAGTGGCACCCCCACGGACGGGGGTGAACGAGACGCCGGTTCGCCTGGCGGTGAATCCGGGGCAGAGTGGGTTGTATGCGAGGAGGTACAGGAGCAGGGCGGCTGCTGTGGCTGCTGAGGGCAGGGAGGGGGTTCTGGAGAAGTGTGACACAACCGGGGGTGAGGGTGGAGGCATGGAGGGAGCTGCAGTGAGGGTGTTTGAGTTCAAGTCTCCTGGGCGATCTCCTGCTGCTGCTCGTGCTGCTGGTGTTGCCGCTGCTGCTGCAGCTACTCCTGCCAATGCTACACCAGAAGCTGGTGCTCGAGCAGTGATAGTAGCGGGCGAGGAGGAGGAGGATGACGCTCCCAAGGCGCTGAACTTCGATCAGGTGGAGCAGGAGGTGGCTGGCGCTGGGGTGCTGGAAGGCGGGAAGGTCGCTGCTGTGAAGAAGGACGAGGGTGGGGAAGTCGCTGTGGACAATGATGTGGGCGCGAAGGACGCTGGCGAAGCACTGCTTGCAGCCATGAGGACCCAGTTCGAGCAGGAGGTGATTGGGGAGGTAGTGGAGGGATTGCATGCGGAGGTTTCACGGCTGCAGAGGCAGCTGAGCGAGGCTGAGAGCAACAAAGCAGAGGTGGTGGAGGGTGAGAGGGAGCCATCAATGGTTATCACGGAGCTTCAGCAGGAGATTTCGCGGCTGGAGAAGCAGCTGAGCGAGGCTGAGCGCAGCAAGGCAGAGGCGATCAAGGGGCTCCATGAGGAGATTTCTCAACTGCAGAAGCAGGTGAGCGAGGCTGAGGGCAAGCCTTCGCTCAATGAAGAGATTTCACGGCTGCAGAGGCAGCGGAGCGACGCTGAGAGCAACAAGGCAGAGGCGATTGAGGGGCTTCAGGAGGAGATTTCCCTGCTGCAGAGGGGACTGAGCGAGGCTAAGCAGACGCAACCAGATGGAGAGGGAGAGCTCGCTGAGCAGGTTTTCCAGCTGCAGCAGCAGCTGAGGGAGGCTGAGACGAAGCAGGTTGAGGCGGAGGAGGAGGCGGGCAGGATGGGGCTGAAGCTTAAGGTGCTTGAGAAGGAGCTCGCAGCTGCTGAGGGGGCGGTTATGCAGGAGAGGAGGGGTGCTGCTGCGGTGAGAGCTGAGGTGTCTGGTTTGACCAGTGAGCGTGATGGTCTGCTGCTCAAGGTGCTGGGGCTGGAGGAGCAGATGCGGGCTGTTGGGGAGGAGAAGGGCGGAATGGATGGGAAGAAGGGGAAGGAGAGAGATGCTGCGGAGAGGGATGCTGCTGCGTTGAGAGCTGAGGTGGCTGCCTTGGAGAGTGAGCGTTATGGTCTGCTGCGCAAGGTGCTGGGGCTGGAGCAGCAGGTGCGGGCTGTTGGGGAGCAGGGGGAAATGGAGAAGAAGGGTGTGGAGAGTGGTGCTGAGATGCAGCGGCTGGTGGCGGTTGTGGAAGAGAAGAACGCTGAGATTGCAAGGCTGGAGGCTAAGTTTGCTGAGATAACTGAGCGAAGCACATTGGAGACTGGGGAGATTGCTGTCGGTGAAGGGAAGGATGAGCACGTGGGGGCAGGAAAGGAAGGGAGTGAGGACGAGGAGGCAGTGAGCAGCGGCGTAGTGGCTGGAGGTCAGGGCTTGGAAGGGGAAGTGAGCAGGCTGAAGGGGATGGTAGGTGAGATGAAACAGAGGGAGGAATCGGCAAAGAAGACTGCAGCAGAGAAGGCTGCTCTGGCCCTGCGGCTGGAGGGGAAGCTGAGGAAGGTGGAAGGGGAGCTGAAGGAGAGAGAGGGGAAAGAGGCGCTGCTTAAGAGGCAGTGCAAGAACGCAGAGGGGGGGATGGAAGCAGCGGAGCAGGAGGCGAAGGCTGCAGTGCTGGCGAAACAGCAGGTGGAAGCTCAGGTGAGAGCTCAGGTGGGGGAGATTGCGACGCTGAAGAATGCAGTTGATGAGGCTGAGAGTGGGCGCAAGGAAGCAGAAGCAAAGCTGGCTGAAGCAGTCGGGCAGATGAAGAGGCTTGAGGAGGAGCTGGAGGAGGTCCGGGCAGCAAAAATTGTTCTGGAGGGTGAGAAAGGCGAGCAAATGCAGCATCTGGAAGCAGAACGGGAGCAGCTGAAGGCGAGGGTTGCTGAGTTTGAGCAGGAAAAGAAGGTGACTGCAAGCAGGGTGAGCCAGCTTGAGAAGGAGGTGGAGAGGCGCAAGCAGGGGGAGAAGGAGCTGAGGAAGGACATCCAGAGGCTGGAAGCAGAGAAGGATTTGAACAAGAAGCTGCTGGCTGCTAAGGAGATCGGCGAGGGGATTACGGCGCGTGGGGAGGGGAATCCGAGCATGGGGATGAGCGGCAGGGCTGCGGCATTTCAGCGCCCTGTGAGCGAGCCTGCTGTGGAGGAAGGGATGGGTTCTGGGCGCTTTGCTCTGAAGTCCAGGGCAGGGGGCAATGTGGTGGGGGTGGAGAAGAGTGGAAGGGGGGTTGCTGTGAACAAGAGGATTGCTGATCTCTCTGTTAAGTTTGGTGGTACCAGCCCTACCAAGCTTGCAAAACAGCAACGCCTTGCCTCGGTGACACGTGTGGAAGACTCGGTTGACAAGGAAAATGCGGGGGTGTAGACGAGTGACGAGGCCTGCATGTGAGCATTGGGGTTAGGGTCAGTGGAGGGGGTGTGTGGTGGGAGGAGTCGGGGCAGACGGAGTAGCAAGATTAGTTTGAAATGGGAGTGGTTTGAGAGTCCAACATGCAATGGTAGGCGGAGGTCGTCGCGAGCCTACGATGGAACATCAACAAAGGTGGGTCTGGATGGGGATAAGCCACTTTGTCCCGAACAGGAGCTGCATGGGTGTTGCTAGGTGTTCTTTGTGCCTCTTATGCTGTTCTAAACATTAACTATCCACATGTTTTTGTGCATTTATCAGTGTAGCATTGGTATGATCTCATATAAGCAGTTACACGTCCGCTGGATGGGCCTCATTTTACATTACCTCTAGGTTTTATAATTAGCCAAAAGAAATGCACATTGTGCAGATCATTATTTGCCTAGAGAAGTTACTTCAGCAAATTGGTGTGCTGTAAGAGTAATACCTGTAAACCTTCCTGCGAGGAGCTTAGTGTACGGTACTGCACTGCACCTGATGCCAAGGTTTCCTGGAGATAAGATTGTACGATGGGGCCACTGGCCATGGCTGGAAGAACCTGACGCTCGTGTCCACAGAGCAACGCGGCACAAGAGAAGGATTTTCCGAATCGGATGCTGGCTATTTTGTTATCAGGGTACCCCGCTCCGGGCATGCTAAAGGGTAATGTGAATATCCGTGAATCAGCACAGCAGGTTATTAAAAGGGTAATGTACTCTCAATTTAACTCTATCATAACCCAGCTTGAGGCAAGTTAGGAGTGAAGAAGGTTCGAGAAAATTGCCCGCGGAATTGTTGGGACTCTGGCCGTAGGTGGATTGCATGAGGTCCATTTTCTTTGGCATGAGGCATGCATTCCGGATTCATGATTGAAGAAGACGCGTCGTCTTCCATTGTTACCCGTCACGGAATCTAACAAAACTGTCACCAGCTTTCGCGAGCTCATCGCCAGCTCTCGCTACTGCCTGTAATGGGGAGCGTATTTCCTCCCGCCAAAAGAATCGTGGGTTACCACTGGGTGAGAATCAATCACAGCCAAGCATGTCTCGCCGGACTTCGCTGCGCGACAACCCCAAGGCCCCCCCTCCCCTTCACCCCCAGCTCTATTGTGGCTCTCTGCTCTGCAGCATCCACTCATCCTCGCCGTCGTCTCTTATTTCCGAGTCGCGTCGCCAACCACACACGATCTTCCTCGAGGTAGCCTTCCCCACTCACCAGGGGAACCAAATCTGATGCCCCTCCCTGGCTAAGAGCTAAGCATGCCACCACCACCATTCCTCGAGCTGATCACATGCTTGTCATCCTACAGCTCATTCCTCAGCTCATTCCTTCCATACCATAGTACAGTACTAGAAAGAACTGCTGTACTGTACTAGGCTCGGTTTGATAGGAACTACAGTGCTAATGTAGTTCTGTACCGTATACTGTACAGTCATGGTCCGTCTGCCAGGCGGACAGCGTCCTTGAGAGAGCCTAACGTCCTTTTCCGTTCGCCCACGCGTCGTCCTCGCGTTCACTCTTCCCTCCTCAACCGTCCTCGATGCACAATGCACGAACCTGGCCAATTTCGCGCTGGCCTGTGTACGTGGCGGCCCAGATTACTCCAACACTCAGAACGCGCCGGTCGAAATCACAGATTGCACGCCTAGCAAGCAGACGGGAAGACGCAGATTGCACAGACGGGTTAGCATGTAAGTCTTAGCACCTGCCACTAAGTCGCTTTCGGGAAGTGCGCTAGGTACAGCAAGCAAGATTTTTCTCCTTACCGCACTTTTCTCGTCGTCTGGAAAGGACAGACGACCTCGTAGCGAATATGAACGGGAGTGACTGTAACGAAGCCAGTTCGTCGTTATTAGCGCGTCGTCATGCGCGGAACCTTCCGGAGCTTGGTACAGCCGCGCAAGCTCGGAGGGGAGAAGCTGGCGGGAGTAAAAACGGTGGGCTCGAAGGCGGCGACTATAGCGGATGTGATTACACCGAAAGCGGCAGCGGGAATGTGACAGAAGCGAAGGGTAATGATGATCCCAGGTATGGCGCGTTCGACGTTGATTGGCTGAGCCAGCCCCGACACGCGCCCGCGAAGCGGCTTGAGCGGCGGTCGTCTCTTTCCCCTCTGGCGCAACTTCAGGAGTTTTATCAGATGCAGCAGGCGCAGGAACACGGACAGGGGCAGGGGACGGGGGAGGGGGAGGGGGAGGGGCGGGGGAAGCAGCTAAGGCAGCAGCAGCAGCAGCCAGGTTGTCGGGAAAGCAGCATCGCCAGTAACGGCAAGGCTAAGCGCCTCGGCCGCCGCGCGTCTATCGACTTAGCGGATGTTGCGGCGGCCAAAGCGGCGGCAGCTGCGGTGGCAGTTTCAACCTCGGCACGCGGTCGGGAGGCTTCCAGCAAAGGCGGCGGTCCCGCTGACGGCGGCGTGAGGAGGCTCCATCAGGCGAGCCGCCAGATGAGCGGAGATTGGGCGGCTTATGCTACGCAGGGGAAGAGCAGCGCGCAGAAAACGCCCGCGCACGCGCAGTATCGGTCGGTTTCTCCGCGCGCCAATGCCTGCGGCGGAAAAGAGCACGCGTTTCCCCGCTCGCACGAGGACGGAGGCGGAGGCGCAGGCCCAGCGCATGCGCAACACTTTCCGCTCAAGTCTCCGCGAGCTGCCCGCCTCCCCCTCGGTTCCCCCCATCCCTCCGCTGATGGGTCCGCTGGTCCCCCTATGTCCGCGCTTGACCCCACTCAAGCGGGGATGCTCTTTTCCGCCATCTTGCACGGCGGAAAAGCCGCCGGTTCTCCCGAAGCGGCGGTATCGGCGGAAGCGGGGCGCACTTCCGCCGCGTCGGGGCACAGGCGGGGTCATCGGCGCGCCGCTAGCGCGCAGCTGAGCTCAATGGACACCGCGGCGGTGCTTTTCGGGCGGGCGGCGCACACTCAGGCGCAAACGGCGGAGGCGCAGGCGCAGGCGCAGGCCGAAGCTGAAGCGGAGGGATTCGGGGAAACGTACACACGCGCAAAGGCGCAGGCACTGGCACAGGGGCAGGCGCAGCACAGTCCCGTGCGGGAGAGGGGGAGGGAGGAGCTAACCGCCGGCGACGCCGCCCTTCCAGCCGCAATTTCCGCGAAAACCAGAGCCGCCCTTATCATGCCGAAATCCCCCAGCAGCGGCAGCAGCGGCAGCCGCGCACGGAAGCAATTAAGCAATCCGCTAAAATCGGCGAATTCTACGGGTAGGCGGGAGTTAATCTGGACTGGCAGTAGCAGCAGCAGCAGCGGTGGCGGGAGCGCGAGCGAAAGCAGGGAGAACACGATATCCAGCATTGGTACCAGCGGTAATGGCGGCGATAGTAGCGGCAGGGCTGGCGGCGAAGGGACGGAGGTCGGGAGTAGGACGGGTAGCACAGGTGCTAGCGGGCCTGGTGCATACGCCGCCGCAGGCACAACTGGCGGAAGCGCAAGTGGCGCGAGTGCGCCCTTCCGTGCCGAGCGCGATCGGTCGCCCCCTCTCTCGTCCCCCCTCTCCCGCCCGCGCCTCCTCTCGCACGTGTCCCTTGGCCCCGCGATTAGCGCCGAACTTCGCACCGCCGCGAGCGAGGCCGCGGCGAGAGAGGGGGGAGAGGCGCCCGGCGCGGGATGCGCGCAAGGAAGGGAAAGCGGCGCAGGGGGAAGCGGGAGGGGACGGGGCGGAAAGGGGGAAGAGGGTGGAAGGGAACTGGCGGAGAGAAGGAAGGCGGAAACAGGCGGGCGACAGGCGCTATCGCTGGGTTTGACCTTGGGGGGAGGGAAGGAAGAATCGATCTCGGGTTTGGGTTTTGGGGGTTGGAGCGCAAGTATGGCTGCATTCGCTGGCGGAGGGGGAGGGGTAGGGGGAGGCGGGGGAGGAGGTGCGGGGGGAGGGGGCGGGGGGTTTGTCCAATCGCCGAGCAGGAGACGCGGAACCCAGGATTTCGCGTTTCAACCAACCGCGTCTCCTCTCGGGGGGACTACTGTAGCTTCTACAGTAAACAATTATAATTCGGATAAAGATATGTTTTCACTAGGGTCAGTGTATTCTTCCGAGGCTTCCCCCAAGGGGCGTGGGGGGGTGGGAGGGGGTGGAGAGGTGGAGAGGAGTGTGAGTTGGAGGCGGAGGAATGAGAGGAGAGGATTTGCCATGTCAGCAGGGGGAGAGGAGGAGGTAGGAGGAGAAGGGGAAGGAGGGGAGGGTGGTGGAGGGGTGTTGGAGCGGAGTTTAAGTGCTAGGAGGCGCGACCAGGGGAAATTGGAACGGACTCTAAGCGCGAGACGGAGAGAGGCTGCTTCAACAGCTGCTGCTGTAGCACTAACCGGTGGTGCGGAAGGGGGGATAGTAGTAGTAGTAGGAGGGAGTGGGAGAGGAGAAGAAGGACAAGGAGAGGGGGGTTTGGAGCGAACGCTGAGTGCAAGGAGGAGGGATCAAGCGGAACTGGAGCGAAGTCTCAGCTCACGGCGACGGGAGCATCGAAGTACACATGCTGGTGCTGGCACTGGCATGCGCCGATCCCCTAGCGAGAGTGCTTTAAACAAGATGGGAGATGAGAGTGCAATTGGTGATTATAACGAGAGGAGGTCTCCTTATGCCTCCATGTCGCCGTCGTCATCAGTTTCCGGGTCTCCCGTTCTGCTCTCTCCCATTGGCTCGTCCGCTCCGAACCAACGCCAAGCCTCTTTGCAAGGCTCGGGAGAAATGGAATTGGAAGGGGAAGGTACAGATGAGGAGGAGGGGGAGAGGGAGAGGGAGAGAGAGAAGGAAAGGGAGAAGAAGCAGGAGCTGAGAAAAAAGCAGGAGGAGCTGCAGCAGCAGCGGCTGGCGCTTCAGAAGCAGCAGGAAGAGCTAAAGCGGCAGCAGCAGCTGTTGCTGCAGCAGCAGGAGGAGTTGCGGTTACAGGAAGAAAGGTTACAAGCAGAACAGGAGAAACAACTACAGCAGCAGCAGCAGCAGCAGCAGCAAGAGAAGGAAAAGGAGAAGGAGAAGCAGGAGAAGAAGAAGGGGCCAGTGCAGCAGCCGCAGCAGCAGCACCGGTACTCCAGCCGATCCGGCCGAAGACCGACTTTATCGAAGATATTGTCAGGGAGGCACGGTCACAAGCAAGAGCTGAAGCAGGAAGAGAGTGAGAAGGCAGAGGGCAAGGAGGAACAAACACAGTCACACGTGCAGCAGCAAACACAGTACCAGTCGCAGCAGCAGCAGCAGCAGCAGCAGCAGCAGCAGCAAGGGGGGAGGACCCACCAGCCGATTTCAAGGTTCCTATCTGCCGCTTCTGGTACTTTGAAGTCCCTTATTAGTGGCAGCAGCAGCAGCAGCAGTGGTGCGGGTGCTGGTTCTGGTGCTGGTGCTGGTGCTGGTGCCGACAGTGCTGCTACTGGTTTGGTTACCGATACTGGCAGTGCAATCCACAATAACAGCAGCATGAGCAAGAGTCCTAGATCTGCTAGCGTGAAAGCGTCGTACTACCTACCTGCCATTCCTGTCTCTCCTCGCTCATTCTCCGTCTCGTCTTCTTATGATGCAGCGACTTCAGTCACTGCTGAGCCTGCTTTCCCCACAGGCTCAGACTTACGAGACAAGAGCAGGACAGTAGGAACGGACACAGCTGCAGCCACCGCTGCCGCTGTCGCAACAGCAGCAGCGTCGTCACCATCAGCGTCGGCTACAGCAGCCGTGAGTAAGCCAAGCCGGAGGCCGTTCCTTCAGCACCAGCTGAGCTTCGGCTTCAATCGAACCGACACCAGTGAGCATAGGGATACAGCAAATAGGGAGATGGGGCATAGGGGCACAGGGCACAGGGCGTTGGTGAGCGGGGTAGGGCCTCTGGGATCTAACCGGAGCCAAGGAACGGCTTCTCCTCTTGCCTCTCCCGCACTCTCACTCTCCCCCGCACTCCCACTCTCTCCTGCCCTCTCACCCTCCTCCTCGCTCCACACTGCTTCGCACACTGCTACTGTTGCTGCTGCTGTTGCTGCTTCCGACGCTGTTGTTGCCGGCCCTGCTGCTTCGGGTTCCAAACCTGGTGCGATGTTGGAAGCGGGTGATGCTCCTGGTGCGGAAACAGCAGGCTCGGCAAGTACAGGCTCAGCAAGCACAGGCTTGGCAGCAGGCGTGGAAGCGGTGGCAGCAGCAGGTTCGGAAGCCACTTTTCGGCTCAACATACCTGGGGATTCTCCTGATGACGTGGCAGATTACCTCTCAACCTTGAAGCAGCAGCAGAAGCAGGCCAATCACAGCACTAGGCGCATGTCATGCGGTGCTGATGGTCACGATGCAAGGGAGAGAAGACCCAGTGCCGCCGCTGCTGGTTCGTTTGCTGCTGATTCTTTTTCTGCTGTTGGTGGTGGTGGTACGGCTGCTGCTGCTGCTGCTGCTGCTGATCATGCTGATTCTGCTGGTGTCGGTGCTGGTGGTGGCAGTGGCGGCGCTGGTGGTGGGGGCGGCGATATTTGGACTCAGGCTTTCGGTGCTGCTGCCACTGCTTCTGGTGCTGGTGGTGGTGTGGGGATTGGTGGCGAGTCAAGAATGGCCATGAGCCGCCGGCCGCGGCGGCAAAGTGCCGAATTTGTCAGCCCGAGCATGCTAGCAGACGAAGAAGAAGACATGTATCCTGACACGCATGAAGACAAAGATGGCGATCAGGAAACTGACATGAACAGTGACGTGAACAGTGACGTGAACAGTGACCTAGGGTTCGACTCGCCGGACCGGCCCGGCAGATTCGTCAACCACTCCGACCGGAGGGTCGGCGCCCGAGGCAAAGCCAGGCTCGGCGGAGGCCCGTTACCGCACCAAACCGCAGTGCACGAGGGCCGGGGGGTGCGGGGGGGAGGGGGGGACGGGGGCTCCGGCGCTTTTGCCAGCAGGAGCTGCAAGAATGGTGCGGAGGCTGATCTAAGTATGGGTTCCTCCTCTTCTTCTGTGGCTCTGCTGGCGGGGTTTCAGCTGAAGGGTATTCCCAAGGAGCAGCTGGGGCTGCTGCTAGAGCAGCAGGCGGAAAGGCGAGCTGCTGCCGGTGGTGCCAAGGCTTCTGGTAGTGCTGCTGGTGGTGGTGGTGGTGGTGAGGGTGGTGCTGCTGCTGGTGGTACTAAGAAGTCTGCTGGTGCTGCTGGTGTGGGTGCATCAGGTGCAGCAGCAGCAGCAGCAGCAGGGGTAGCAGGGGCGCGGAAGGGGAAGGGGGGAGGAAGTGCTGGTGAGAGTGAGCTCTTGGGGTATCACCGCTCTGACCAGCAGCAGCAGGAGCAGCAGGAGCAGCACCAGCAGCAGCAGCAGCACCACCACCGAGGATACTATCACGGCACGGCAGCAGCAGCTGCTCCGGGCTTCTCCAAAACCTCAGTCGGTAGCTCCTCTGGTGGGCTCTTTTCAGACTGGCATCATCAGCATCATCAGCAGCATAAGCAGCAACAGGGGCAACAAGGGGGAAGGTCAGGAGGAGGAGGAGTGGGTACAACAGCTCTGGACAAGATCTCTGGAACAGGCAGCCATAAGGCCGGCGCCTTCCGAGGTGCTGCTGCTGCCGCTGCTGCCGCCGCCGCCGCTGGCAAAGGCAGTGGCGGCGGCGGCGCTGGTGGTGGCAGCGGTGCAGGTGGTGCAGGTGGTGGAGGTGGTGGGCGTAGCAACCGGGCCGCAGCAATTGGACTAGGAGGAACAGGAGGAATAGGACCCCTACCAGGGCGGGCGCTGGGGGTGAGCAGCTTCAAAGAACAGCACCGGGGAGCGTACCCGAGCCTCCGGCCCACGGACTACATATTCGAGAAGGCATATGAGGATCTGAGGGCCAAGTACATTCTGCACAACAAGAAGTTGGGCAGCGGGCAGTACGGGGTGATCAGACGGTGCTTGGAGATCAGCAGCGGGCTGCAGCTGGCGTGCAAGACAGTGAAGAAGGCCGAGATCAAGGTGAGGGGCGGATGGAGACGAGGGGGACGGGATGAGAGACGAGGGGGAAGGGTATTTTTGAGAATTCTCAAAAATTTGCAGGGTATTTTTTAGAATTCTCAAAAATTTGCATGGTATTCTTTAGAATTCTCAAAATACCCTGCAAATTCGAGGGGGAAGGGATGAGAGACGAGGGGGGAGGGATGAGAGATGAGAGGCCCATGCCTTTTTTGATTCGACTAAAGGTAACCTCGTTACAACAATGTCACAGGGATGAGACATGAGAGTCCCACGCCTCTATTTTCCCTTATGTCTCAATCGCTTTCCTGAAACCCGCTGAACATTATTTAGGCGCCTCACTGACTGACAATCGCTTTCCTGAAACCCGCTGAACATTATTTAGGCGCCTCACTGACTGACAATCGCTTTCCTGAAACCCGCTTTCCTTGAAACCCGCTTTCCCTGAAACCCGCTGAACAACTGTCCCTGCCTGTCTCCCCCCATCCATCCCCATACGCCTCCCCCATCTCCCCCGTTGCAAACCTGAAACCGTGTTCCCCTGGCCCCATCTCTCCCCCCCTCCTCTCCGAAACACTGTACCTCTGCCCCCATCTCCCCCATCGCCCCCATCTCCCCCATCTCCCCCATCTCCCCCATCTCCCCCATCTCCCCCATCTCCCCCATCCCCCCCCTTTTCCCTCCCCCTTCCTCCCCCCCCCTTTGTAACAGTCCCTCGAGGAGGCCCAGGATCTGACGAAGGAGGTGGCAACACTCTCCATGCTGCAGGGCCATCGTTTCAGTCTTCCCCAAATGCGTTCTTTCCTTTCGCTCACCCCCGTACCACTGCCCCGTTCACCCCCGTTCGCCCCCGCTCACCCCCGTTCATCCCTATCTCCCCCAATTCCGTTGCCCCCCGTATCTCTCAGTCCCTCGAGGAGGCTCAGGATCCGAGGAAGGAGGTGGCGGCCCTATCCATGCTGCAGGGCCATTCGTCCCTACCGGGTCTCCCATCTCCCCCCTTGCATTCCTGAGACCGTGTACCACTAACCCTATCTCCCCCATTGCAACCCCCCCTTTATCACTCCCACCTGTAGGCTCTGGACCTGAGGAAGGAAGTGGCGATGCTATCCATGCTGCAGGGCCATCCGTCCCTATCTCCATGCCTTCCCCCACTCTCTCCCCCATTCCCCCCCCTCTCTGCCCCCTTCCCCCCCCTCTCTCCCCCCTTCCCCCCCCTCTCTCCCCCCTTCCCCCCCTCTCTCCCCCCTTCCCCCCCCTCTCTCCCCCCTTCCCCCCCTCTCTCCCCCCTTCCCCCCCCTCTCTCCCCCCTTCCCCCCCCTCTCTCCCCCCTTCCCCCCCCTCTCTCCCCCCTTTCCCTCAGTCTCACGAGGAGGCCCTGGATCTGAGGAAGGAAGTGGCGACACTATCCATGCTGCAGGGCCATCCCTTCATTGTTGGCCTGCATGACACTGTAGAAGACCGCAAGGTACAGTAAATGATGGATAAGAGGGTACAGTAGATTGTTAACATAAATATTCTCAAGTGAATGGTTTATCGATGATGCAGGGCCATCCATTCACTATTGGCCTGCATGGCACAGTGGAAGATAACAAAGTACAGTAAACGGTGGAGAACAGTGTATGATTAGCAAATTGCTGGACGTTCTTCAAGTGAGCGCGGCGCCTTTCCTCTTCCCCTCCCTTCTCTTCTCCCTCCTCCCCCCCCCAAACTCCCCCACCCCCACCAGCACGCGCACATGGTCATGGAGCTGTGCACCTGGGCGATCTCTTCGACCGAGTCACTAAAGAGGGGTCTGTACAGCGGCACCATCGGCATCGCCCAACTCCCTTTTTTGAGTTGACTAAAAAATAAACTCATTACACACGGATTATACACTTGGACCGACTCACTTAAGAGGGGTCCATACAGAAGCAGCATCAGCATCGCCCCATCTCCCTACACTCCCTCCCCTCCCCTCCTTTCCCCCCTCCTCCACAACCCCCATTCCCAGCATGTGTACATATTCATGGAGCTGTGCACCGAGGGTGATCTTTTCAACCGAGTCACCAAGGAGGGGTCGTACGTACGCTGATCCACCTGGAGCCCGGCTCTGCAGGGAGCTGATAGAAGCCCCGTGCACTGCCACCCACCGCCACGGCATCGTACACCGGTCCAAGTCCACTGGACGTGAAGCCCGAGAACATCCTCCCCAACTCTCCTTCCCCTCCTTCGCCCCTCCCCCATCCGTCCTCTCCCCCCTTTCCCGCCCCTCTCCTCACCCTCCCCCTTCCAGCACGTGCATATAATCATGGAGCTGTGCACTGGGGGCGACCTGTTCGACCGGGTCACCAAGGAGGGAGTGTACAGTGACGCAGCTGGCGCCAAGCTGTGCAGGGAGCTGATAGAGGCGCTGTTGCACTGCCGCCCACCGCCACGGCATCGTGCACCGGGACATGAAACCCTCAACTTCCTCCCCACCTCTCTCTTCCCCTGTCCGGCGCTTCCCCCCCCCACCCCATACCAGCACGTGCACATAACTATGGAGCTGTGCACTGGAGGTGACCTGTTCGACCGAGTGACTAAAGAGGGCGTTTATAGTGATGCAGCTGGGGCGAGATTATGCAGGGAGCTGATGGAGGCGCTGCTGCACTGCCACCGCCACGGTATCGTGCACCGCGACGTGACGCCCTGATTCTGTTCCCAGTGCCACCCTCTTCCCTTGCTCCCCCCCCCCCCCCCCCCCCCCCACACACACACACACACCAAACACCAGCACGTGCATATAATAATGGAGCTGTGCACCGGAGGCGACCTCTTCGACCGAGTGACTAAAGAGGGCGTTTATAGTGATGCAGCTGGGGCGAGACTATGCAGAGAATTGATGGAGGCGCTGCTGCACTGCCACCGCCATGGCATCGTGCACCGCGACGTGAAGCCTGAGAATATCCTCCTTACAAGCAGGCACCTCGATTGCCACATAAAGCTGGTGGATTTTGGGATTGCGACGTTCTTTCAAGAAGGTGTGTTTGAGATTGTGTGTTGGGGGGAGGGGGGAGGGGAGGAAAGAGGGAAAGAAGGGGAGGGGGGGGGGGGGCTGGTTGTTTCGGGTTCAGAGGTGCCTCAAAGCACATCACGTGTTTGTGCCTCAAAGCTCCTTCTGACTCTCCCCCTCCGACCACAGGCGAGCGACTGAAGGAGCTGATGGGCACGCCCCAGTACATGGCCCCAGAGCTGATAGCAGGGGAGTACGGCCCAGAGGTGGACGTATGGAGCGCAGGCGTGGTGATGTACATCGCCATGTGCGGCGTGCCGCCCTTCTGGGCGTCGTCCAATCGGTCCCTGGCGGAGGCGATCAGAGGGAAGGAGGTCAGCTTCAAGAGCGCCAAGTGGGCGGGCGTGCCCGACGAATGCAAGCACCTCATTGGCCGCATGCTGGATAAGGATCCTGCGCGGAGGATCGCACCTTTGGAGATTCTTGGTGGGTTATGCTTGTCTTGTGTGTGTGTGTGTGTGTGTGTGTGTGTGTGTGTGTGTGTGTGTGTGTGTGTGTGTGTGTGTGTGTGTGTGTGTGTTTGTGTGTGTGTGTGTGTTTGTGTGTGTGTGTGTGCCCTTTCTTATCTCCTTGTCACGTTCCCACTTTTCATCAGCACTATCGCTTATTCTTCTCATTCGCACCTCCCTTTTTCTCACCTTCCCTCCCCTCAACACACCGCCCTCTATGTCTCTTGCAGGACACCCATGGATGCGTAAATATGCACACTGATCGCAGAGAAGTACATGCCTCTAACTTCTACTCAGCATTAATTGAATGCCTAACTGCACCAGAAGTAGACAATAAGCTACATTGTTTTGTTTCGCATGAGATGGACAAGCATGCCATCGCAGCGCTATGCACCCCACGTTCACTGTTTTCTTCCAATTGTTTGGCTTGACTTTCCTGAAATCGTCAGCCATGCTGCAAACATGGTTGGATTTGAGGAACAGCACTGGAAGCTGACGAACATGAATAAATTGATAATTTCAACCAGACACTGCAATGAGACCAAAAAGAGACAGCTAGATAGAGCCATTTGGTTTATGGTATGTATTTTGAGCTAGCAAACCTGGTAAGTTGCACCTATTTGTAACAATTTGAGCATCCAGAATTTACAGTGCAAACAGGTGCGAACGCAATTGGACCGCAACCTGTCGTTGGCCGTCAATAGAAGTTCGTAGGCCGTCAACTGAGCTGCTCCGGCGGAACGACTGTTGCCAACTACTTCCCTTGGAAAACCTCTTTTGCTAGGACCAAGCCTGTCGTCGTTGCCTTTTTGTGGTCCACATTTGACGACTTCCGTCCCCACCAGCGATATTGTTGCCCACCAGGGACTCCCGTCTCCACAAAGCTAACGACCTCAGTCAGTTCGCCCACCCAACCGTCTCCCTCTCCCCCCACTTCATCCGTTCAGCTCGTCAATCTCTAGGCAGTGTTCCGTCCTGTCCTGGGTTCTGACTTACAGCCTACACCTCAAGCTGCTGCAGCAGTTACAGTTCCGCCTACAGTTGGATCCCGTCTCGTGCTGCCCCCCCCACTTCCTCCCGTTCCCTCCTGTGTTCCTGGAGGTTCCCGCCCTGCAAACCCTAGGCTGTTGTCAGTCACCGCCATTGTCCGCATCTCACGGGAGACGGGGTATTGTTTCCTAGGCGTGACTGGATCTGTAGGCTGTAGATGGAGAAGGTTAGGGTTTCGCCTCATGGCTAGGGAGCTGCTAAAATTGGCTTTGGGGTGAAATATTGTAGAGGACAGGGCACAGCGGCTTACATCGACACTGTTTTTTAAAGCTTTTCCGAAAGTTAGCCGGTTCCTCTTTAGTGTCAGTTTCCGAACTATCGAGAGCCGGTTGAGCTCGAGGCAGCTGCTCCCCGTCCTGTTCGATACACTTTGTCCTCGTTATGGCATCCTCGAGTGGAGGTGTGTTCCTGGGAGCAACTAACACCTCCGGAGCTGCCGCCGCTTCAGGAAGCAGGGCTGCGAGGGCAGGAGGAGGCGGAGCAGAGCAATTACCAAGGGAACTGAAGGATATGACTATAAGAGACGACGATCGGGTGAGCCTCTAGATTTATCATCGACCGTATCGTTTTTCGGTGGATTTTTATGAGCGGAGCTATTACCGAGGGAACCGACGGACGTGGCAATAAGAGACGACGACCGGGTGAGAAGCAATCGAGAACCGACATTTTTCGCATTGTCAGTTTCGCTTTCGTCGGCATCTCCTTGTATTCGCTGGTCGCGATGAGTCCTTAAGGCGTCGTTTATTCTTAGAGTCTGGCTCGTGATTTGTTTTTTCCTGACGCCTCGCTCGTCCGTCAATAACAGCAAATGTGCAACAGCTGTCATTATACTGACTTTCTCGTCGCAACCTATTGTACGGCGTTTGCAGGACATGGACGCGGCAGTGGTGGAGGGAAGCGGGACGGAGACTGGTCACATCATCACGACCACGATCGGAGGAAAGAATGGTCAGCCAAAGCAGGTTCGTGTATTTTTCCTCCCCGACCGGAAGCCCGCTGTATGCCATTGATGCCGTAGCTGCGACGAAACGAGGAAGTCTTGTCTTCGACATCCACAGGTAAACGTCTTATCGCAAACACGTCGTGCCGTTATCCGTTTGCCGGTTTTCCACATTGCTTTGCCATTGCGCGGTTACCAGCGGAGTCTTATCAGCCACACGCGCTTTGCCTCGTTTCTGATCAATGAGTCGCAATGACGCTATTTTCGGCGTTTCCGTCCCCTTCCCAGCCGCTTTCGCAAGCATTTTGCCCTGTTGTCGGCGCGTTCTTCGTCGAACCTTCGTTCCGTTTTCTTTTTGGCATCGTATACGTTTTTCCTCCAACCGATCTCACCATCTCCATGGTTTCACCCATTTTGCTTTTCCATGGCGCGTTTCGCTTACTTAGCGTCGATGGCTTTTATGCGCCTTCTTGGCATCTGACGAACTTTGTTTGATACATTATTTTCGTCAACATTTTTTTCCCCAGCTCGCTGTTGTGTAGTGTATCAGTATTTGGGGATGCCCTTACTTTTGGATTTCTCTGCCGCTTCGGGATCCCTCTTTGACTCGCAGGCGATCAGCTACTCAGCAGAGCGTGTGGTGGGGAACGGGTCGTTTGGAGTCGTATTCCAGGTAAAGCCCCTAATCAGTCCCAGTCCCGGTTTCTTTATTCGCAACAGTGTTAACACACAAGCACGTTAGTGGACAGATATAACGAACAAGGCGAACCACCTCTTGACGTTCACATGCTGTTTCCGAGTTTCCAAGAGCCCATTGTTGTGCACTTCTCTCCTTGCGCGTACATGCTTCGCCCATTGTTGTGCACTTCTCTCCTTGCGCGTACATGCTTCGCCCATTGTTGTGCACTTCTCTCAGTCTTCCAGGCGTCGTGTCTGGACACGCGTTACAAAAATCGCGAGCTGCAGATCATACATGGAGGCGTCTCAGTCTCGGATCAATCTCTTCCCTAGATTCCACATGCTTTGCTTCCCTCCCAATCCTCCAGGCGTCTTGTCTGGAGACGGGCGAATCGGTGGCGATAAAGAAGGAGTTATAGGACAAGCGTTACAAGAACCGCGAGCTGCAGATCGTGCATTGAGGCGCCTCAAATCAATCTCTCCCTCAACCGTACTTGCTTCCCTTCTCTCCCACCCTGCCAGGCGTCCTGTCTGGAGACGGGCGAAACGGTGGCGATAAAGAAGGTGTTACAGGACAAGCGTTACAAGAACCGCGAGCTGCAGATCATGCGGCTGCTGGAGCACCCGAACGTGGTGGCGCTGCGGCACTGCTTCTTCTCGACGACGGACAAGGACGAGCTGTACCTGAACCTGGTGCTGGAGTTCGTGCCCGAGACGGTGTACCGCATCACCAAGCACTACACCAAGATGAACCAGCGCATGCCGCTGCTCTACGTCAAGCTCTACACCTACCAGGTGGTGGGGGCGGTCGGGGGAAAGGGGGGGGGCGAGGGGAGCGTACGACGTTTCCTCGTTCATATTGTATTTTGAGTCGACTCAAAATACAACTCGTTCATATTGTGTGACATTGTAACGAGGTGACTTTTGAGTCGACTCAAAAGCCACCTCGTTTCCTCGTTCATATTTCCCAGGTAGTTGCCATACCCTGCTGCTTCCATGCCGTCCTATAAGCCGTGTGTAATGAGTCGATTTTTGAGTCGACTCAAAAATCGAATCATTACACACGTTTCCTCGTTTATATTGCCCAGGTAGTTGCCATACCCTGCTGCTTCCATGCCGTCCTATACCCCCTTCCCACTAATTCTCTCAGCTCCTCTCTTTTTTTGAGGCGCCTCAAAAATAGACTCTCCATGCCGTCCTTTACTCCCTGCCCACTAATTCTCTCGGCTCCTCTCCTTTTTCCCGTGCAACTTGGTCCCTTTGACTATGTTGCCTGTGTGGGATGGTGGCTATTGTTTGGATTGCCTCCTTTTATCCTTTTTTTCTTCTCTCTTGGAAATGCAGATCTGTCGAGCGCTGGCATACATTCACAATGGCATCGGCGTGTGTCATCGTGACATCAAGCCGCAGAACCTTCTGGTAAGGACAGTTGAACAACCCACCTTATCACTCCGCCATGCCCCCTTACAACCCATCGTTCTCCTTCCCTCTTCCTCACTCCCTCCTCCCCGCCCTCCCTCCCTTTCTTCTCTGCCCGCTCCTCCTGCTCCCCTTTCCCTTCCCCTGGTGGCGTCTTGCTTGCAACCATCTCTCTGCCATACCCACTTTCGCCCATCTCCCTTGCTTCTTGGTTTTTTTTTCTTCTAATAAGGCTCTTGGCTGCCTTCTTTTCACTTGTCGTTTCTAATCACCATCGTTTCCTCCCTCCCTCCCATTCGCAGGTCAATCCCCACACTCATCAACTCAAGCTCTGCGATTTTGGAAGCGCAAAAGTCCTGGTCAGTGTCGTGTTCTCCCCTTTCGTGTTCTCCCCTTTCCTGTTCTCCCCTTTCCTGTTCTTTCACTGCTCATGGCCATTCTCACTTCTAGCTTTGAGGCGCCTCAAAACTAGACTCCTATCACGCGGTTTTTGAGGTGCCTCAAAACTTTCACTGCTCATGGCCATTCTCACTTCTAGCCATCTACCCTGATGCTCCTCTTTTCATCTATCGACGCAGTCTATATGCTTGCTGTGAAGCCACGTGTTCCATTCATCCCATATGGTATTCTTTGGCTATCCTTGGCTACCAGTCCAGGTGAAGGGCGAGCCCAACATCTCGTACATCTGCTCACGCTGCTACCAGGCGCCAGAGCACATCTATTAAGGCGCCTCGTTGCTTCCTGTTCATCCCGGTGTGCCCTGTCCTATCTTTCCTGCTGCAGGTGAAGGGCGAGCCCAACATATCGTACATCTGCTCGCGCTACTACCGGGCGCCTGAGCTCATTTTTGGAGCCACGGAGTACACCACAGCCATTGACATCTGGTCTGCAGGCTGCGTCATGGCTGAGCTGCTGCTGGGGCAGGTGAGTGAGTGGCTTATTGCCGTTTAGCCTGCCCCTATAGGGCACTCGTCTCTTCCTTTCTTTCCCTCTCTCTCTCTTTTGAGCCACGGAGTACACCACAGCCATTGACATCTGGTCCGCAGGCTGTGTTATGGCCGAGCTGCTGCTGGGCCAGGTGAGCCTCTTGTTTCCACTTCCCCAACCCCCCGTCCATCCCCCCCCCCCCCCCCTCCCGCTCTCTCCCCCCCCCTTCTCTCTCTCCTGCTTACTGTCTTCCGCCCTCCCTTCTCCCCCCCTCTCTCTGTCTCACATGCACGCACACTCTTCCCCCCTCCCTCCGCCCCGCCGCTTACCCACCACCGCACCCTGCCCACCCCTCTGCCTTTATATTAGGCAAGAGCGGCTTGGATCAGCTGGTGGAAACCATGGAGGTGCTGGGAACACTGCAGTAGACCCCACTAGCCACACTCTCACACATCCCCACTCCCACACCTCTCGTCCCCTCCTTTCGTTCCCCCCATCAGCCTCTGTTCCCCGGCAAGAGCGGCGTGGATCAGCTGGTGGAGATCGTCAAGGTGCTGGGGACGCTGATGTACGTCCTCCCTCTTACGTCCCCCTCCCTTACCCCACTCCTTTCCTCCTGCGCTCTTCCCCCTTGCCCCTCTCCCCCCATCAGCCTCTCTTCCCCGGCGAGAGCGGCGTGGACCAGCTGGTGGAGATCATCAAGGTGCTGGGAACGCCCACGCGGGAGGAGATCAAGTGCATGAACCCCAATTATACGGAGTTCAAGTTCCCCCAGATCAAGGCGCACCCCTGGCACAAGGTGAGTGTGCATGCTTGCCTTGTTTAGATGGCGTTTTATCCGTCTCGGAGGACACCACCAAGGGAGGAGATAAAGTGCATGAACCCCAATTAGACGGAGTTCAAGTTCCCCCAGATCAAGGCGCATCGCTGGCACAAGGTATTTGGCTTTCTGATAAGTCGTCTGGGCCGTCTTAAGAGACGCCCATGCGGGAGGAGATCAAGAGCATGAACCCCAATTATACGGAGTTCAAGTTCCCCCAGATCAAGGCGCACCCCTGGCACAAGGTGGGTGCGTGGCGAACCACTTAAATTCCTGGTTCAAGAGAGGGGAAGCAAGGAAAAGGAATAGAAGAAGACGAATAACAGTCGTACCTGGTGCTGGCGAGCATACTAGATTCGTTTGCCTGTTCAATTCAAGTGCCTTCCCGTTGGTTTTGTCCGATTGTCTATTCCTCCCACGAGATCTCGCTGGTTGCCACTCAATGTTGTGCCGTGCCGAGTCATGCTTCCTGCGCACGCTTAAATCTGGCGCCTCTTGTCCCTCCGACTGAAGGTCTTCTCCAAGAGTGTGCCGGCCGGCATAAGCAGATGATCTTGTGTTTTGGCTGCTCGTTGTATTGATGCTTCTTACGCCTCGTTCGATCATGCCGCTGCTTCCTCTGCCCTGCCCTCTGCATCCTGCTTCCCCATCCCTCCCCACCCCCCCCAACCGCAGGTCTTCTCCAAGAGGGTCCCGGCAGAAGCAGTGGATCTTGTCTCGCGGCTGCTGCAGTATTCCCCCAACCTGCGCTGCACTGCTGTAAGATATCGACGAATGCCAGCACTTCAAGTGTCATTTTGTGCCGTATTTGCTGGCGTGGCGTGGCGTGGCAACAGTTGTGTGCGACACAGTCGATCACTCTTCTGCATTAGTCCTCTTGATGTAGACGTCAAGAAGTCCCCCCCACTCACTCCTCCCCCACTGTCCAGCTGTCCACAGTTTCGTTCTAGCTTCAGTAGATTCAGTTTCCTGAGTAACTGCGTCATTCCAGCTATCTTTGTCTGCTTTTGTGATGCTTCCCCTCCCCAATCTCACAGGTCCGCCTTAGGGGAGTAACGATGGAACGGCGCACTTGCTCTTGTGCTGCGCTTGCTACCTTTTAACACTCCTATGTGTGCATCTAACCCGCAGGCGGAGGCGTTGGTGCATCCCTTCTTTGACGAGATCAAGGACCCCAACACCAGGCTGCCCAATGGCAAGCCTTTGCCGCCGCTTTTCAACTTCAAAAAGGAGGTGAGTTTTGAGTCCGCCACTTGCTCCGCCACTTGCTCAGCCTGCCACTTGCTCCGGTGGATTCAACCACCAGCTCTATCTTCCATGCACTTTTGTGTAGTGACTCGCTCTTCCATTCTGCACCAAGTGATGCATGCTGCTACGCGGTGCTGTGGCATCCTACGCCCATGTCATGCCATGTATGTATCGTGAGCTCCGCTGTGCTGTACTGTGCTGTGCTCTGCTGTGCTGTGCTGTGCTCCGCTGTGCTGTGCTGTGCTGTGCTGTGCTCCGCTGTGCCGTGCTGTGCTGTGCTCTGCTGTGCTGTACTGTGCTGTGCTCTGCTGTGCTGTGCTGTGCTCCGCTGTGCTGTGCTGTGCTGTGCTGTGCTGTACTGTGCTCCGCTGTGCTGTGCTGTGCTGTGCCATGCCATGCCATGCCATGCTGTGCCTTGCTAGTCCATATCTCGTGGTCTTACCGCCATCCTCCTGAGCACCGGTATGTATGCCTCCTCCGAGAACGTGCAGTCCCTGCATCCCCCCCCCCCCCGCCCCCCCTATCTCCTTCGTTCCATCCTCCGTCATCAATTCCAACCAGGAGTTCAAGGGTGTGCCGATCGAGCTGGTCCGTCGGATTGTCCCAGAGCACACGCGGCGCGGCGCCAGATTGGCCATCTCCTCGTGTAGCAGCAGCCCCTCCTAGTGCGCGCCTCTTCATGTTCCCTCCATCCCCCTTGTGCCTTGCACCCTCCCAAGCAGGAGTTCAAGGGAGTCCCCATCGAGTTGGTCCGCCGGATTGTCCCCGAGCACACGCGGCGCCAGAACGGCCATCTCCTCGTGTAGCAGCAGCATCACCTTCGTGTTGTTTGTAGCGGAGTGTTTCAACCACCTTTTCCTGTAGCGGCCCCTCCTAACCTGCTCGGCACCTGCTAGCCTGCTCGTCAGCCCCTTTGTCTACCCCATTCTCCCCATCCTCTCCTCACTCTCCTCACTCTCCTCACTCTATCCATGAGCCCCGAAGCCCCTGAGCTCTTGAGCCTTCCTCACAACCCACTGTTCCATCACATTCTCCTCCATCACTCCCCCCCCCAGTCACCACAACCCTGCATCACCCCCCTTCCGTCACATAGCCTTAAGCCCGTGCATTGTGGGACTGGACGGCTGTCCAACTGGGGTCTCGTGCTGTGGCTGGTGAGCAGGCACCTCAAAACAGGGACTTGGGGGCTGCTTGCCGGCTCAGGGTCTTGGGGGCTTCTGGCTGTAGCTTGGGTTCTTGGGAGCTCGTGAGGTCAACACCACCACCTCGCTCTGATTTTGTTAGTCTTTACCAGTTACCGTAGCGCCTCTTCATCTCAACTTCACCTTCCTGCTGCCGCATGTTAAGCTCCGGCGTCACCTTTCTTTCAGAGAAGCTGTGAGCATCAAACAGCAGTAGGAAGTCCCAGTCCTCATTCTCACCTGTGGCACTCTTCTGCTGCTACTGCTTCTCCTGCTGCTGCTGCTGCTGCTGCTGCTGCTGCTGCTCCTCATGCTGCTGCGGGCGCTACTGCCGTTGCAAAAAGGCCGGTGCTGGCTTCGACAATCAAACCAGCAATGCCCACTGCTACGTGACAGTTATGCTGGTTTCAGTCGCACCTCTTTGGGTGCTGCTTGTGTGCAGCAGACACTGCTGTTTTTGTTTGTTCCCATCTCATCATCTTCCTGTCCACTGTCGTGTGCTGCATGGTGTCACGGCTGTTAGCCAGCTGTCTGAAAAACCTACCCTAGACCAGCTAGCTAGTATCATGCCTTGTCGCATTCCAGCTTGCCTGATCACACCTGACCTGCTACCTGACTAAATAACAGCAGCATCTTCATAGTGCCTTTTCCTATGGTTCCTTCCTGGTAGCATAGTGCTAGCTTCCAGCACTGTGGCAACAACTTGAGGGGCTAATCCAACCCCTGATACCACATGTAGGTACTACACTGCCTGCACTGTGCCATTCAAAAGATGTTCCGACATGTGGAGTATAAGAGGTCTCTCAGAGTAACGAATTGACTAGAGTTGAGAGTACACGGTGAGTTTGTGCTAGTGTGTTGTACCCTCTAAGAGCATGCTGTCAGACATGTGTGTATGTTTAGTAGACTACATGCCATAGAGAGTACAACCCATTAGCTATATACCCTTGCATGCTCCCATTCTAGAAAACGATTCCAACTTTGAGATGGTATCATGAGTAGGTTAGGTCCCCCCCACCCATGCTTCTACCTTAGGTCCTAGCCGCCCCGCTGGCCCCACTGCCCCGTCGCCTAGCTGGCCCGTTGGCCCCGTCTCCTAGCGCCTGCTGGCCCTGCGGCCCCGTTCCCTAACGCCTAGACACCCGTGGCCCCGTCGCCCCGCCACCTAGCGCCTAGCCGCCCCGCTGGCCCCGCGGCCCCATCACCTAGCGCCTAGCCGCCCGTGGCCCCGCGGCCCCGTCACCTAGCGCCTAACCGCCCCACTGGCCCCGCAACCCCGTCACCTAGCGCCTCGCCGCCCGAGGCCACGTCGTCTCGTCACCTGGCGCCTAACGGACCCGTGGCCCTGTCGCCTCGTCGCCTTGCGCCTAGCTGTCCTGTTGGCTCCGTGGCCTCGTCGCGTCGGCCGGTCGCCTAGCCGCCCCGTCGCCTAGCCGCCCCGCGGCCTCATCGCCCCACTGCTCCGCGGCCCCGTCGCCCAGCCGCTCCGCGGCCCCGTCGGCCAGTCGCCTAGCCGCCCCGTCGCCTAGCCACCCCGTCGCCTAGCTGCCCCACGGCCCCATCGCCCCGCTGCTCTGCGGCCCCGTCGCCCAGCCGTCCCGCGGCCCCGTCGCCCAGCTGCCCAGCCGCCAACTCCCCCACCCTTGGCTGTGTTTCCCGGTCCCCTCTCGCTAAACCGGCCCTCTCCACCATCCTGCACTGCGCCCCACCGTGTTGCACCACGCCCCACTGCACTGCACCGCTCTACACCGGGCGGCGCTGCACTGCATTGCGTTCCACCGCACTGCACCGTACAGCACTGCTCTCCACTGCTCCTCGTTGCTCCGTCCTGCCCTTCACCGCTTGTTCGCGGCTGCAGCGGCCATAATGACGGACTCGGTGCTGCGCTTTGACGCGGAGGGTCAGCCGGTTGAGTTCGACGCGTGGCTCGTCGACCTCCGCCGTCACCTCACTGGTCAGTGGCAGGATGGCCACTCCTTGGCCGTCCACATTGACGGTACGCTCCCCTGCCCTGACCCCCCTGCTGCTCTCCCCGCTGACCCCACGTCTGCTGACCGTGAGTCCGCCGCCGCTGCTGCCCTTGCCCGTGCTGTCTGGTTGTCGCGTGACGCTGTCGCTTAGCTCGTGATTAGCCATGCCCTCCTGTCTGAGCGCCCCCGCTTTAAGTCGGTCAGGACTGCGCAGGAGTTCCTAGAGGCTGTTGTCGAGCGTTATTCCACCCTGTCCTCTGCCTCAGCCGGACGCCTGATCCTTCCCATGCTCTTCCCTGATCTCGCGTCTTTCTCCACCGTCGCTGACCTGGCCACGCACCTGCACACTGAGGCCCAGCTTAGTGTGTGTTCAGCCCCCTATCTGCTCTGCCCTTTACCTGCTTGCCACCCGCCTCCCTGACCGCCTGGCTACTGCCCGCGACCATTTTCTGAGTCTGCACCCCGCAGACCTCACCCTCCTGGACTTTGTGGCTTGTCTGCCATAGAGACCCGTTAGCGCTCTATCGCCCAGTCTAGCGGTACTGCGCCAGTCCCTATCTTTCAGGGTTGTGCTCCCGCTCCGTGCACTTACTCTGACGGTTCTGCGGGTGTTGCTAAGACAGCCTCGGCTGCTAAGACCGCTGTGGTGTTAGGATCTTTGATATGGACATGGATGAGATTAGTTATGCATTGTATGCGCTGTATGTCGATGACTCTAGTATGACTGGTTCCTATTACCCCGTGTTACCTAGTGTAGGTGTGCCTAGTGTGCCTAGTTTAGGCTCCCCTGCTGCTTCAAGTGTAGTACCACTTGCTTTGTTTAGCCTTGGCTCCACCCTAGTTCCTCCGCCCCCAGCCGCCACTGCCGCGCTCTCCTTCACTCTCGACTATGGTGAGTCTTGATGTTTCTTTCGGGACCACACTACGCTGACGCCGCTTGCCGTCCCTGCCGCAGTTGCCCTTGCAGACCCTTCCTCTGGTCCAGTAGTCGCCCGTAGTTCCACCACCCTCCCCTGTCCGGCGGTTCCTTCGGGCTCTCTTACAGGCCTGCACATCCCCTCGTTCTCACGGAACCTAGTTGGTTTCGGCTGCCTTCAGGACCTCGGCGTCACCACTACGTTTCCTAGTCACTAGAGGTACGCTGTCTGTACCGAGGCCGCCACTGATGCCCCCCTCACCACGTTCCCCCGGGACCCGGTGTCTGGCCTGTTCACGCTGGACACCGCATCCCCTTCGGTTGGGATGCCCCCCCAGGTGGCAGCGTCTACCCAGGTAGCTGCGGCTTGCTCGTCTCGGTCACTTACTCACCCGACCCTTCAGTGGCACCACCACCTAGGTCACCCCACACTCACTCGTCTCCGTCACAGGTCTCAGCACGGTCTTGTCTTAGGTCTCCTTGCGTCATTCCCTGCGCTTCCCTCTTCGGCAGTGCTTCCGTGCACTCCCTGCGTTGAGGGCCAGCTCCGCCGTGCCCCTCACTCCTCCTCGTTCCCCTCCACCACCGCACCGCTGCAGACCCTGCACATGGACGTCTGGGACCCCGCCTCCTTCCATGGCCCGCGTCGTGAGCGCGACTTCCTAGTGCTTGTCGATGACTTCACTCGCTACACAACCGTGTTTCCCCTGGAGCAAAAGGCCGACGTGCCTGCCATTCTTATCCCGTGGCTTATCTCTGCGCGTGTGCACCGAGGTCTTCCTGTGTTGCGTCTTCACTCCGATCATGGTGGTGAGTTCGACTCTGGCTGCCTTGGTCGCCTCTGGCACGGGAAAGCTCACTGCCCGCACCGTTCCCTGTGTCTTCCTCGGTTTCCCCCTCGACTCGTCCGATTGGCACTTTTACTACCCACCGTCTCACTGTTTCTTTCACTCTCGCGACGTCACATTTGACGAGTCCGTCTCCATCTACCACCTCTTTCCCCACCATGGTCCCCCGGTTACTCCCCCCCAGTTCTTGGTCCCCCCTCCCCCGGTCGCCTCTGCTCGTCCCCCTCCCCGCCCTGCCCTGTCTGGTGTGTCTCACGTCACCCACCTCCTGTCGGTTGTCCCTACCGAGGAGTCTGCTGACTCTCGCGGCTCGTCGGAGTCCCTTCCACCACCTGTCCTCGCCCCGGTCTCTCCTCCCCTGTCGCCGACGTTGCTGTCGCAGCCGCAGCCGCCTCCGCAGCTACCGTCGCCGCTGCAGCCGCCTCCGCAGCTGCCGTCGCCGCCGCAGCCTCAGCCGCCGTCGTCACTGCCGCTTGGGTTTGTGAGTTCTGGGAGTGCTATGGAGCGTGCCGGAGCGGGTACTGGAGCGGGTTCTCGTTCTGGGGGTGCTGGCATGGAGCTTCTGGGAGGGAGCCGTGGTGCTGCTGGAGGTTCTGGTGTTGGCGTCGGGCAACACCGCCGCAGTCGCCGCCGGTGTCCGCTCTTCGCCTACTCTACATTCCTTCCCCTGACCGCCCGCTGGTGCCTCCTCCGTTGCCACCGCCTCCTCCTCTGCCGTTCTACAACCCTGTGTTTCCTCCAGCGGACTCTTCTCCGGCTCGTTTCCCTCCTCGTTCTCCTCCAGTGTCTTCTCCCCTCTCTCCTGACCCGACTCCTCCGTCTCACGTCTGGGCTTGTCATCCGTCTCGTGCTCGTCCTACCTCCCCTGTTCTGCGTTCTCACCCTATGTTGCTTCGCTACCACGCGTCTCGTGCTCCACTGCTCCTCCCGTCTCCTCCTCCGTCATTGCTCGCTGTGGCCCCACCTCCGTTCTGTGACTTCCTCTGTGCGGCACGTCCCCTTGTTCCTCGTATCCTTGCCTCTCTTGTTACCGACCCGTCCGTTCCTGTCTCGAATCTGTCGGCTCTTGTTGCTGCTGCCAATGAGTTCGCCACTACACACCGCCTTGACTACGCCACGGCTCTGGTCTCCGACCCTGCCTGCCCTCCGTCCGTCGAGGGTGTGGCTTTCCTTGGCAGTGACGTCCTAGAAGACAAACACTACGAGCTAGCTTTCTTGTCAGAGGTCGCTCCCCATCTCTGTTCCATGCTGCTAGTCCTTGAGGGTGACCCAGACGCCCTTGACATCCCGACCCCTCGCACCTACGTTGAGGCCACCTCGGGACCCTGGGCCTCTCAGTGGATAGCTGCCATGGAGCAGGAGATGGCATCTTGGAGATCCACCGGCACTTACGTCGACGCAGTTCCCCCACCTGGGGTGAACGTAGTCGATGGCGGATGGCTCTTCAAGGTGAAGCGCCTTCCTGGAGAGCCGCCTGTCTTTAAGGAGCGCTACGTTGCTTGTGGCTTCAGTCAGCGTGAGGATGTTGACTTCTTTCAGACCATCGCCCCGACCCTGAAGATGACTACTCTTCGGGCACTACTACACATAGCAGCACAGCGTGACTACGAGCTGCACTCCCTCGTCCACTCCACAGCTTTCCTCCAAGGCAGTCCACACGAGCAGGTCTACCTGCGCCGCCCCCAGGGCTTCTCCGGTACCTTTCCCCTTGGTACCGAGTGGCTCCTCCGGTGCCCCGTCTACGGCCTACACTAGGCGCCCCGTGAGTGGCATGACACGCTGCGTGCTACACTTGCTGACCTGCCATTCTTCCCGTCGTCTGCAGATCCCTCGCTCTTCGTTCGTTCCGGCCAGACTTCGTTCTACATCCTTATTTACGTAGACGATCTGGTCTTTGCTACTGCAGACAGAGACGCGCTGGCCTACGTGAAGGCCGAGCTGCTGAGGAGACACACCTGCACTGACCTAGGAGAGCTGCGCCGCTACCTTGGCTTGCAGATCTCCAGGGACAGAGCCGCGTGCACCATCACTCTCACACAGTCACACTTGGTGCGCCAGGTCCTTAAGAGGTTCGGCCTTCAGTTCTCTTCCGCACAGCCCACCCCTCTGCCAAGTGGTCCTTACGCAAAGCTGGTGGGTTGCCTCATGTACCTGATGACTTACAGTCGTTCAGATCTCGCATACCCTCTCAGCATTGTGGCTCGCTTTGTGGAATCCGGCAGACACCGACAACACCACTGGTCTGCATCTAAGAGGGTTCTACATTATCTAGCAAGTACATCGGGCATGGGGCTAGTGCTAGGAGGATGCAGGCCAGTGGTCCTTACCGGGCACACAGACGCTTCTTGGGCGGACGACGCCGAGGCTCTCAGGCCCTCCCAGGGCTACCATTTTAGCCTTGGTGCAGGTGCTATCTCTTGGAGGTCCACCTGTTCGTCGTCTGTTGCCCATTCTAGCTTGAGGCTGAGATCTACGCCGGTGCGATGGCGGCACAGGAGCTCCGCTGGCTGACTTTCTTGCTCACAGACTTAGGTGAGCGGCCTTGCTCTGCCTTGGTCCTCTACGCTGACATTAGGGCCATGATCCTCCTGTGTCAGGAGCCCAGACTTGAGGGCAGAGCGAAGCACATCCAGCTGTGGTACTTCCTCTTGTGCGAGCTACAGCAGCGTCGCCAGGCCCGCTTAGGACACTTGGCCTCTGGTGCCAACACAACTGATATCTTTACGAAGGCGCTTGCGCCTAAAGATCATCAGCGGCACTGCGTACAGCTCGGTCTCGTTCCTGTAGCCTCTCATTTGCTAGGACCTTGCTTGTGTGTAACTCTTTATATGTGATCCTAACTGGCCTTGTGGCTTTCTCCCAGTGGCTGGACTAGTAGTGCCGCCCTGGTCTTGATCTTTCCTTGTTTGTACTCTTTTGACTGGTCTTTAGACCCCTGCCTCAGAGGTTGGACTAGTAGTGCCGCCCTGAGCTGCTTGTCTCTCACCAGGCATTGCCCCTATCTAGTCTAGGGGGTGTGTCAAACATATCTGTGTATGTTTAGTAGACTACATAGGGCCATGCCATAGAGAGTACAGCCCATAAGCTATATACCCCTGTATGCTCCCATTCTAGAAAACGATTCTAACTTAGAGACATGCACTATAATAACAAATGCATAATGGGTTTGACACACCGCCTAGACTAGACAAAGGGCAGTGCCTAGCAAGAGACACGCAGTTCAGGGTGGCACTACTAGTCCAACCTCTGAGGCAAGGGTCAGAAGACCAGTCAAAAGAGCACAAACTAGACAAGAGCAAATGAGGGTGGCACTACTAGTCTGGCCACTAGAACAGAAGCCACAAGGCCAGTCAGTAGAATATATTGAATGAAGTAGTACACAATCGAGGTCCTAGCAAGTGAGAAGCTACTGGAATCAGACCAAGCTGTACACAGTGCGGCTGATGATCTTTTGGTGCAAGTCCTTAGTAAATATATCAGTTGTGTTGGCATTACAGGCCAAGTGTACTACGCGGGCCTGGCAGTGCTGCTGTAGCTTGCGCTGGTGGAAGTTCCACAGCTGGATGTGCTTCGCTCTGCCCTCTAGTCGAGGCTCCTGACACAGGAGGATCATGGCCCTATTGTCAGCGTATAGGATCGAGGCAGAGCTAGGCCGCTCACCAAAGTTTGTGAGCAAGAAAGTCAGCCAGCGGAGCTCCTGTGCGGCCATGGCACCAGCGTAGATCTCAGTCTCATAGTTTCAAACACTAAACAAACAGAAACATCACACTGTACTTGTAAACCCACACCTCGTGCCAAACGTTCCTTGAACACAAAGTGGATCCAACCAGGGCCCTGCCAGCGAGCCTTTGTACACCCGGCGCCCCGCCCCCAAAACCTCCCCCCAAAAACACCCTAACACCCTCCCTTCTTCCCCCAAACCTTCCCCTCCTTAAAGTTATTCCTTCAGAGTGGTGTTCAGTACTAGAATAGGAAAACGGGTTTCTGAACATCGTGATCGACAAATTTTACCGAGTCCAGTACCAACAACACCCACCTGCATGTTCGCACGCAAACCTAGTAATTGGCTGTGTGGTACAGCCACATTCGCTGCATGCCGCATGTCACTCCGTTTTGTGCTCAGCAAACTCGTAGCGCCACACACAAGCGAACGGAAACGTGCGCAAACAAGATGTGACGGGCACTAAAACGAACAAGACTTGCGAGGCGCGAAGTCCAGCGCAGATCATGATGCGCGCCAACGCCAGCTCAACAAGACCATCTTCCCCTCCAACCTCCTCACGCACAACCACCACCGCAGCAACGCACCCACAAAGCAACGCCCATGAAGCAGATTGCCCAACACCCTGCTTCGTCAGTCACAAGCCCACATAGAGTAGCTAGAGAAGTCAGTGTACCTGCCGCCCTCTTCGCCACGCCTTCCAAAAGAGTGGAAGTTGTGTCTGTGTCATACATTTTAATAAAGACCAAGCATTACGTAATTAATCCACATCGCACCCATATGACAGAAACACACCCCAACTAATCCCCTTGCACTTCCCCTGCCTAAATTTCCCCAAGTGCAAACGCAACGACGGGCACCCCTGCGATCCGCCGCAGGATCCTACCCGCGGTGACGCACACCGGCACCTCCGTGCTCTACACCAATCTTTGCGAATGCCACAAGAATGGCATGCAGCGCATAGAGGACCTTTCACGTGGTGGAAATCGGCCCGTCGAGAAGGCACGGAGGACGCTTCGAGCCAGCCAGCAAGGCAGGCGACGAGCCTAACAGCACCGTACTCGGGTGGCGTTCACGACTCCAACCCAAGCAGCAGCGAGGCTCTTGCTAGCGCCGTGTCCCCCATGTCCGCCGCGGCCCTGTTCTCAACGAACCTGACGCCGCGTCCCCCATGTCCGCCGCGGCCTTTGGATGCACTGAAGGCACTATGGAGGAGGTGGAGGCATGGCACCGCGACGACGACGCTTAAGGTGAGCGCCATGTAGTGCGAGCCCCAACCGCTTCCTCCTCTCCTGCAGTTCCCCCGCTGTTCCACTCGGGCACGGCTCCCACTCGTAGCCCGCCATGTCGCCCCTTGTCCACCATGGGTTGGGCATAGCGAGGTAGGGATTCCACTTCATGTTGAATTCCCTCATCCTGCGCTCGCTCATGCCCAACACCATATTGTGCAAGACAACACCGCAGGAATCTCTCAAGCACCCTCCAAAGGTGACACTCATTTCGCCTCGCGAATAGTCGCCATCTCCCCTTGAAAAGCCCAATAGCCCTTTCTATAGCCATGCGGGTTGCCGATTGTGCGTAGTTGAATGCTTGTTGCCACTCTAGGAAAAACCGCCCTTGTGTGGCATGAATTGGGGTGAGGCAGAAATCCCGCAATGGATATGCAACATCACCCACCAGTTGCTATGGCGCTATTTCCCCGCTTGCTAGCCTCATGTATAGTTTTGAATTTACAAAAACCCTGTTGTCGTGGGCGCTTCCAGGGGATCCTATTAAATAATCCCAAATCACACAACGGGCATCGCATGTCAGTTGCAGCTGTATGGCATATTGGGGTTTACGCGAGAAATGGTCCGCACGATGAGCATCGATGCCCGTAATTTGAATATGCGTGCCATCAACTGCCCCAATAACTAAGGGTATACCCTTGATGCTTTGCAATTCGACGGCCATTCGTGCCATGTCCGCGCGAGATGGGAACCGCACCAACTCACGCCTAAACACCCGAGGGAATTTTATCATAAACAGGTCAATGAACATGTGGCACAGCGTTTTCGTTACACCCACCAACATAGCGATGTCGGCGAATGTCATCTCCGAAGCAAAATACTTCACCGAGATTAGGACTACGACGGGAATAAGGTAGCGCGTCACTACCGGGTGCAGAACGTGTTGCATGCCCGTCACTATATGGTATAGTATAGCTTTGTTGATCCGAAACGTGTCTTGAAATTCGTCCTCTCTGATAGTGTCCACTTCCTTGACCAAAAGGTCGAGTCTCCGCCGTCGCAATCCACGTTTGCGACGACGTATCTCTGTTAAATTATATATGTTAGTATATAATTGTAGGCTTGGTATGCGTTACTGAACTTTACTGTAGAGGGCACAACACCCCTCTTTGTATCTCCCTCTTTTCTATTCTCCCCTCTCTTTTCTCTCTCAACTTTGCTAGCACCTAAAACCACTCGCCATTTCTATGGCTCCTCCTACTCCTAGCTAGAACCTGTCTAGCTCTCTTAACATGGTTTCAGAGCGGGCCGTTTCTCCTGGGCTTGCTCCCCACGCTTCCGCTGCGTGCTTGTTTCTCTCTCTCTCTCTCTCTCTCTCTCTCTCTCTCTCTCTCTCTCTCTCTCTCTCTCTCTCTCTCTCTCTCTCTCTCTCTCTCTCTCTCTCTCTCTCTCTCTCTCTCATGCTGCCATGGCGGCCGCGTCAAGCTGCTGTGGCCGCGTCGTCGTGCCGTCGGCTGCGTCGTGCTGCCGCGGCCATCGCGACGCACTGCCGTGGCATCGCGCTGTCGCGGCGTCTACGTCGAGCCGTGGCGACGTGACGGCGCCATCACGCTGCCGCGGCGTCTACGCGACAGCGCACGGACGGCACGGACGGTAGCGGCCAGCGCCCCGTTTTAGCGCAAGCCAGCACGTCCGCATACAGCCAGCGCGCCGTACGCGGGCGTGATGCTGGAACACGCCCCACCCCCTCTCCCCCCCCCTCTTCACCTACGTCCTCAGCCGTCGCCTGACTCCCGCCAGCCGTCCCACTGTCATGGAGGCTGGACACGCCGCCGAAAGGGCGGGGGCCGCTGCCGTCGCCGCAGTCGTCAGTCGAAGCCACCGTCACCGCTGTTGTCGCCGCAGGCCTGTTGCCGCCGCACGCTGTCACTGTTGCCGCTGCCGTGGCTGCCGCCGTCGCCATCTCTCGGACCTTGGGGTTGGCCCTGCTGGAGTAGTCAGGGCTGCTGGGAATGGGGGTGCTAGGTTGGGGGGTGTGGGTGTGTGTGGGCTTGTGTCTACCAAGCCTAGGGGGTGTGTTAAATTATATATGGTAGTATATAATTGTAGGCTTAGTAGGCATTACTAAACTTTACTGTAGAGGGTACAACACCCCTCCTTGTATCCCTCTCTCTTCTATTCTCCCCTCTCTTTTCTCTCTCAACTTTCCTAGCACCTAAAACCTCTCGCCATTTCCATGGCTCCTCCTACTCCTAGCTAGAACCTTTCTAGCTCTCTTAACAATCTCTCCTCTGGGCGCGGAGGGGCAGCGGTTTCGTCGGGCCTCGTCATACGGTCGACGTGCATGATGTTGAAAGGAGTTAAGCCTATAAGCTAGCTAGGCATGAGAATTGTCGAGAGGTTTTAGCTAGGGAGAAAAGTTGATGAGAGAAAAGAGAGTTGGACTAAAAGAGAGAGGGATACAATAAGGGTGTTGTACTCTCTACAGTAGGATCCAGTATTGCAGCACACCTAACCTACCAAGCCTACACAACTATATATAAATAACAATATAAGTTGACACACCCCCTAGGCTTGGTAGGCGCTAGCACACCACACATGCAACACCCCCAAACCCTTGCACCCCAATATCATGCAGCAGCTGTGGCGTCTACTAGCGGGTCGACCCCTCGGCAATCGAGGCGGCGACGTCAGTGGCGGGTTGCAGCAGCGGCTTCGGCGACTGCGACGGCGGCCCCGGCAAGGCCTGCTGCTCCTGCGGCGGCGGCGGCGGCGTCGAGGCACCTGGCGGCGTGGCACACACTGTGACGGCACACTGTGGCACACAGGGGGAGGACGGCACGAGACCGCCAGAAACTGCGGAGGGGAGGAGGGGGACGAGTCTTCAGCGAGGCGCCGTGGCTGGCGCGGCGCTGGCTGGCGTGCAGGCGAGCTGGCTGGCGCTAAAAACGTGCGCTGGGCGCGGCCGTCCGTGCGCTGGCGCATCGAAGCCGCCGCGGCAGCACAACGACGCCACGGCAGCACGACGAGGCCGTCGCGGCAGCGCGGCGAGGCCATCACGGCTGCTCGACGAGGCCGTAACGCGTCGAGGCCGCCATGACAGCACGACGTGGCCGCCATGGCAGCGCATCGAGGTCGCCGCGGCAACGCGGCGAGGCCGCCACGGCTACTCGACGAGGTCGCCGCGGCAGCGCAGCGACGTTGCTGCGGCAGCGCGGCGAGGCCGCCGCAGCTGCTCGACGAGGTCGCCGCGGCAGCGCCGCGAGGCCGCCACGGCGGCGCGAATGTGACGGGAGGGGAAAGAGTACGCTGCGGAAGCGTGATGACAAGGCGCAACAGGATCTTCATGCTCTGAAACCAATGTTGAAAGGAGTTAAGCCTAGAAGCTAGCTAGGCATGAGAAATGTCGAGAGGTTTTAGCTAGGGAGAAAAGTTGATGAGAGAAAAGAGAGTTGACTAGAGGAGAGAGGGATACAAGAAGGGTGTTGAACCCTCTACACTATGATCCAGTATTGCAGCACACCTAACCTACCAAGCCTACACAACTATATATAAATAATACACGTGATGCACGCTCGGACGGCATGCTAGAACCAGCTGTAAAATACAAGGAGCGGTTGCATCATGAAGTCTGCAGGGTTGGTAGGATCCATGGGGAACATCGCAAGTGATTTGGGTTGGCTGGAAATACGTCTGTGGTGTTTGCGACAAAATTTGGCATATGTTCGGGTTTTGTGCTCGCTCTCACATGGCTCGCTAGGTGCATTGCGTCTGGATGTCAGGGTGGCAGGCGAGCAGCTATTGGTGGGAGCGCCATCCGCCTGGCGAGGGCTTCTGACGCCGCGCACGTGTTTGGGCTGCACATTAGGCTTTCTGGGCAGTGATGCGCACTCTTCGTTTGGCCTGGCGACATCGCTCACCATCCACGTTTGTTTCGCACGTTTCGTGGTCGTGCCCACGCTTGCGAACCACACTGGTACTGAACACCATCCTGCAAATCGGCAAATACAGCACGGTGTTCAAGTATGGGATTCTCTATTCTGGTACTAAATACCATGGCGTAGGAATACACTCTTAGCCCAGCCTAAGCCTTCTGAATTTCGAGCACAAAGCCTTCACACGGCCACCCCTGCTTGAGCGCCAGGTGGATCCAGAGCTCCGCCAGGCTCTCCAGGTTGCTAGCACCCACACACATCCTCCCTTCCTCCCCCTTAAACCCCCAATTCGCCCTATGCCTTCTGGATATCAAAAGCGAACCCCGCCCGCGGCCAGCCCTGCTTGAGCGCCAGGTGGATCCAGAGCTCCGCCAGGCTCTCCAGGTTGCTAGCACCCACACACATCCTCCCTTCCTCCCCCTTAAACCCCCAATTCGCCCTATGCCTTCTGGATATCAAAAGCGAACCCCGCCCGCGGCCAGCCCTGCTTGAGCGCCAGGTGGATCCAGAGCTCCGCCAGGCTCTCCAGGTTGCGAGCACCCACACACATCCTCCCTTCCTCCCCCTTAAACCCCCAATTCGCCCTATGCCTTCTGGATATCAAAAGCGAACCCCGCCCGCGGCCAGCCCTGCTTGAGCGCCAGGTGGATCCAGAGCTCCGCCAGGCTCTCCAGATTGCGCGCGTAGCGCAGAGGGCCCACGTACTCAGGGCGGAATCCAACGGCTGAGATGATCTGGAGTGAAAGGAGGGAGGGGAGGAGGGGAGCGAGAGGAGGGAGGGGAGGGAGGATGGAAGGGGGGAGAGAGGAGGGAGGGAGGGAGGGAGGGGAGCGAGAGGAGGGAGGGGAGGGAGGGGAGGGAGGGGAGGGAGGGGAGGGAGGGGAGGGAGGGGAGGGAGGGGAGGGAGGGGAGGGAGGGGAGGGAGGGGAGGGAGGGGAGGGAGGGGAGGGAGGGGAGAGAGGGGAGGGAGGGGAGGGAGGAGGAGGGGAGACAGGGAGGGAAGGGAGTGAGGGGAGGGAGTGGAGGGAGGAGAGGGGCGGAGGGAGGAGGGAGGGGAGGGAGGAGGGAGGGGAGGGAGGAGGGAGGAGGGAGGGGAGGGTGGAGGGAGGGGTCCATGTGAATAAGCACACATACTCCAGCCGGAATCCAACGGCTGAGATTATCTGATATGTTGGCGAGACAGAGAAGGGATGGATGGATGGTGGGGTAGTGTCACCTAGGAAATACATGCATGGCTGCCTCCCAGGGTTTGATCGCTGGTTGGTTGACTATCAGGTCTGCACCAGCGAGGGTGTGCAACGCCCTGCTGCCCTTTCCCCATGCATGCGTACCGCTTTTGAGTTGACTCAAAAGCGGGTGTGCAACGCCCTGCTGCCCTAGCTCCTTGCTGCCCTTGTTGTCCTTGTTGCCCTTGCTGGTTGGATTAACTATCATTGCGCGAGCTGCCCTTTCCCCATGCATGCGTACCTTAGTGGCAACATCCTTGGCAGCAGGGTCCTCCGATCCAGCAAAGAGCATGGCGATCTGCTTGCCTCCCAGGGTTGGATCGACCATCAGCTCCGCTCCGAGGGTGTTGAACGCCTTGTACACGTGCGCGTGGGGGAGGGCCTGGATGGGGGAAGAGGGGAAGGAGCTGGCGTTGAGGGAGGAAGGCGGCTGACAATCTCCTTTTCATCCTGCTTCACAATCACCTGCTCAACCTCCTTCACAATCACCTGCTCAGTCACTTTTTTAACCCGTCTGCTCCGCTGGTGCTGTTCTGATATGCGCTGATGTGCGGCACCTTGATTTCCCTCCCTTTACAGTCACCTTTTTAATCTTCTTCACAGTCGCCTTACTCACCTCCCTCTTTACAATCACTTTCTTGAGCTCCTCTATGCCGCTGGTGCTGTTCTGATCCGCACCGATGTCCAACGGAGTCAGGGGGTTGGATGCGTCTATCACCACCCCTACCACCCCGTGTTTTAACCCCCCCATACAATCACCTTCTCAGTCTCCTCTTAAATCACCTTTTTGAGCTCCTCTGCGCCGCTGGTGCTGTTCTGATCCGCGCTGATGTCCAACGCCGGCCACGCAGTCAGGGGGTTGGAAGCGTCTAACACCACCCCGGCATACGAGCCCCAGGGGGCAACAACCTGCAAAAGGGGGAGAGGGAGGGGGGAGAAGAGATGTAGAGGTAGAGAGAATATTCTTCTGTTATGATCCTCTCTGATTTTCAACGCCGGCCAGGAAGTCAGGGGGTTGGACGCGTCTATCACCACCCGTTTGTATGAGGCACAGGGGGCCACAAACCGAGGAAGGGAGAGACGGGGTTAGGAAGGCAGGCCGGGCATTCAGGGGGTTGGACGCGTCTATCACCACCACTCCTCCATACGAGGCAAAGGGGCCCACCACAACCTGATGCAGGGATGGGAGAGTAAGGGGGAAGAGTTGTAGGGGTAGGGAGGTCATGTTTTCCGACCCGCACTGATGTCCAATGCTGGCCAGGCAGTCAGGCGGGTGGGCGCATCTATCACCACTCCTCGATACGAGGCCAAGGGGCCCACCACAACCTGAAGCAGGGAGGAAGGGGAGACGGATGGAGGTTCTTGAGAATCTGGTGAAGCATTTTTACGGTCTCACGGACCTACAGGAGCAAGCTTAGAGAGAGAGGACCATGTGTGAAAGGTTTTTGAGAATTCTAAAAAACCAACACAACTCACCAAAACCAAGCTTAGGCCTAGAAGGTCACTTGGAGAAAGGGTATAGCAAATTTGAAGTGACGTAATCCAATCGTGAGTCTATTTTTGAGGCGCCTCAAAAATGTAATCCGATAATTTGCTAGCCTACCTTGCTCCACTCCTCTGCTGTCGCATATCCAGGAGTGGCAATGATGACAGCATCAGCCCCCGCTACTGCCTCCTCCACTCCTGCCGCTGTTGCTGCTCCCTTGCCCCCCTCCCTCACATACGCTAGCGCCTTGGCGGTCTGAACGTTGGGGGCTCATGGGGAAGGGAAGGGAAGGGAGGGGGAGGGGGAGGGGGAGGGGGAGAGTGAGGGAATTCGAATCTCAACAATGGCAACTTTCAGACCCCACGTCACCCCGCGTCACCCCGCGTCACCCCGCGTCACCCCCAATCCAGCACGTCAATGCATTACCCTGATGCTCTCTTCAGATCTAACCTTCTCGTCGCCCGGATGCTGTGACGTCAGCACCACGTCATGCCCAGCCACGCACAGCATGTGAGCCAGCTTCGACCCCACATTCCCTATGCCTGGCTACAGACGAGTGGTAGCGGAAGGTATTTTTGGACTCACCTTCTCATCGCCAGGGTGGAGTGACGTCAGCACCACGTCATGCCCCGCGGCGCACAGCATGTTAGCCAGCTTCGACCCCACGTTCCCTGTGCCTGGCAAACGATTTTTGAGGCGCCTCAAAGACCCCACGTTCCCTGTGCCTCGCTACATGACACGATTGATAGCGGAAGGTATTACTAGACTCACCTTGTCATCGCCAGGGTGGCGTGACGTCAGCACCACGTCATGCCCAGCCGCGCACAGCATGTGGGCCAGCTTCGACCCCACGTTCCCCGTGCCGCCCACCACCGCGATCCTCATGATGACGATTTCGTCGCTCTGAATCTGAGCTTGTGCTGAATGCGCTGACGGAGTTGACCACGTTGACCGCGTTGACTGAAGCCCGAGAGAATCAAAGCCGGCAGAATTTCCTCTCGTGGTGAGCGAAGTCTGCCGCCGCTGGCCGCGGGATGATTGCGATACGCCGCCTGCAGCCAGCGGCCCGGGGGGGCGAACGGGGCAGAGACTCTGACGGATGTGACAGTAACGGGAGGAGTCCTGAAAAAACAAAGCCGCTGCGGGATGATGAGCAGCGCGCGCCGCGTTAGAAGCGCCAAGCGGAGGGGGAAGTCGCATCGTGGCGGATATGTCACCGTGGACCCGAGCCTCGCGTGCTGAGTGCTGAGTGCAGACGCGAGACGCGCGTGCTGAGTGCTGAGTGCAGACGCGAGACGCGCGTGCTGAGTGCTGAGTGCAGACGCGAGACGCGCGTACTGAACTGAGTCCAGACGTGAGACGCGCGTACTGAGTTCTGCCACACGGCGGCAGTGCTACACGAGGTATCAAGTACGCGATAACAGTACGGCAAGCCAGCGAGCCTCTGAGATCTGGATGCTTCCAACTTGAATCGTGGCTCGAAATTTACACCGCATGTTCACTCAACGTCGCCAATTCTAGCCGTTTTGAGGCGCCAGAAAACTACAAATTCACTCGTCACTCCGCAAGTCCACTCAACGTCGTTGTCGTTGGAGGCGAAAAATAGTCGGCCTCACCTTGGAATAAAGCGCAGGCGATTTTTGGGACGTCTCAGAGTTTGTGACGTTTTGAGACGTCTCAAAACTCGTCTCAGGAGAAAAATAGTCAGCCGCACCTTGGGAATAACGCGGGCGATAACTTCAAGTTGAAGTCTCCTCAAAGTTGAAGTCCGTCAAAGGACTGCAACAATTGCGTCGGTCGATCGATCACTCTATTTCTACTGCCGGCGCTGATGCCGCGGAGTCGTCGAACGGGAGAGGGATTGTACTGAGGAGGATGCTAGAGACGTCCTTTTGACAATGGCCCGCTGGGGTGGACGAATGGAAGCCTCGAGGGAAATGAGAATCTTGAGTGCGGCTGTCGAATTTATGCTGGGAGGCAGGGATTTGGCCCCCCTTGGGATGGTCGAATACTGGCTCGGATGCGGGGCGTTGCGGGAATTTGGTGTTGAAGGGGGGAGGGAGGGGGAAGTGGGAGATTCGGGGCAGGGGGGGAGGGGTGAGGGAGGGGTGAGGGACTCCCTCACCCCTCCCTCAGAGGGAGGGGAGGGAGAGTGGTGGGAGCTGCCGCGAAGGCTCGGTTTGGCAAGTCAAGCAACTGGCAGTCACGTTGCTTGCGAAATTGTGAATGCTATGTGACCATGCGACCCATGCGACGCTTTCAACCAGGGCCGGAGGGTGCGGTTTGGCTAAGAGAAATCAATTTGGGTGACCTGGCACCAAGACAATTCGCTCAGAGTTTTGGTGCGCAAAAGAATTGTTACAGGTTGCAAGCACAACTCACGCTCTAGAAGCTTCCCGATGGTTCCTCGTAACTTCCTTCAGTAGATCTTCAAAAGGACCCAAAATAATTTTCTGCACGCATATTGATTTTCCTATGTGCATAGGATGTTCGACGTCCATAACAAGAGATGGTGTTATGATGATAGCCAAACTACACAGCAAACTCCTCCTAGTCCACAACCCATTTTTATTAACTTCCAATGAGGCATAAACACATCTGTAGGAAAAACAATCTCATGGTATGTAGTCCACATAAGATCTAGCCTAAGAGAAAGGCCGAGGATAGAAGGAACATCCAATACAAGCCACCCGACCCAACAAAACGCTCGCTATCTTTGCCACTCGAACCACTGGTATCACTGCTATCAACAGTTGCACTGCTGCCATATGAGCTAGTCCCGCGGCTACTACCATAACTGCTGCTTCCGCTATTACCAATATTGTTCGTCCCCGAGCCAGTACTAGTCCCTGGACTGCTGGAAGTTGGCGGCACTATTATGGGAGTGTTCGTTAGGTTGGCATATGCAGCGCAGTCTTTCTTGTCCAGGGTACGGTTGACGAGGGTTGCAAAACGAGGATTATCGATAGTGCCGGCAGGGCAGTTGGCGGGAGGGATGAGGGGGTCGCAACAGATCATGCGGCCGGGGATCTTTGCAGGACCGTTATAGCAACCAGCTGTTCCCTGTACATGGCCAATTAAACACACATACACATGTGAAGAATAAACATTATTTTCATGGAGAGAATGGGACATGGCCGCAGGTAGAGAATGCCTGCAGCACATTGGTGTTTGAATAGTGAAGTTCTCTGACCTGTTAAAAAGGCATTTTCCACCACTTTTTCATCCCCTCACAGGCACGATCTCGAGAGTGGTGACTTTTGAGTCGACTCAAAAGTCCCCTCCTCTGAGTCACATCCTCCCCCCTCTAACCCTACTCACAGGCACGATCTCGAGAGTGGTGCTGATGTATCCAAGAGCCGCGAAGATTGCGCCAAACGTCTTGTTGAGCAGGCGCTCTTTGGTGTTCAGAAACTGACCAAACGTGGCCGTGGTGCCGGGGACTGGATCGACGGGAGGGGAGGGGGGGGGGCGGGGGCGGGGGGGGGGGATGGGGAGGGGGGAGGGAGAGGAGGAGGGGAAGGGTGAGGGGGAAGTAGGGGTTCTGGTTGAGCAGGCGCTCCTTGGTGTTCAGGAACTGGTGAAATGTGGCCGTGGTGCCAAGGGACTGGAAAAACGGGGGTGGGGGATTGGAGGAAATATCTCAGCATGAGGATTGGCGAATTTGAAGAGTTGTTGGTGATGGTGTGGTAGAGAGAGCTTAGAACGATGGTTGAAGAGAAGGACAGAGGGAAAGACTGCGGCCAACGATTACTCTGGACAGGCAAATAATAGCCACACCATCTAATATGTAAGTCTTAATGTGTCTAATGTATTTATGTATGTAGAACTGACTTATCAGTATTTACCTGCTTCAGGGAGTTGCGGTTTACGGTACCTGGCAGTCCCTTGCAGTCGTCGAACACTTGGGTCGCGTAGCCGTCGCACATGCTGAAAATGGGGGTTGAGCCCGTCCCTGCGGGCTTGCGCACATAGTTGCCCGAGTCTGGAAGCGGATGGCGAACACCAGAAAAGTGGTAACAGAAACTGGCGATTAGCTAGCGTAAAATGTTGCTGCTAGAGAGTGGTTCGTTTTTGGTAATCATCTGCAAAAATCAACCATTGGAATTAAATTCTCTAAAGGGTGGGGGGAAAGTGGGAAAATGCCTCGAAGCCAAGCATTAGCACTTCTTATTCGGCTAGACTTGCTAACTAATAGAGGATAAAAATACTTGCCTGGATTACAGTTTACGGCGCAGTTGACCTGCTCGAAGTCGTTGGCGCAGTCGTGGAATCCCACAAAGATAGAGCACAGCTGGAAGGGAACGAGAACGATAGTGAGGAGAAAGAGATTAACGTGAGGTTTCTTGGTGACTGAGAGGGGCAAATAGATCCAACGAGGGGGGGGGGGGATCTGGTGACGTGCGCCAAGTAGTTGGTGCAGCCTTGAAATCCTACGTTGGTGAACGAGGAAAAATAGACATTAGAAGCGACGTCTGGCAAAAGGGAGACTTTCAAACAATTGAGAGCGCATTTCGCGTCTTCAAGCTTTGAAACTGAGACAGAGTGATGGGGAAGAGCGAGAAAGAAGCACGCCGCACCTGAAGCTCCGTTCCGCCGAGCAGCTGAGCCAGCGACGGTGCGAACTCGTAGAGAACGGCCGTCTCGTTCGCGAGTACAGCCGACAGCACAAACCCGCTGTCGAAGCGGTTAACGCAGAAGGTCGGAGGGCTTCCCAGCGGCAAAGATTTCACCTGAATCTCGGTTCCCCCCACGAGCTGAGCCAACGACGGTGCGAACTCGTAAAGAATGGTCTTCTCGTTCGCGAGCACCGCGGAGAGCGTGATCATCCCACGACTTAAAGCATGACTACCTGGAGCTCACTTTTGAGTCGACTCAAAAATCATCCCACGACTTAAAAGCATGACTACCTGGAGCTGCGTGCCTCCGAGGAGCTTCGCAAGGGACGGCGCGAACTCGTTGAGAATGGTCGTCTCGTTCGCGAGCACCGCCGACAGCGCAAACCCGCGGTCGAAGCAGTCTTCGCAGCAGCTCGCCTCCGCCGCGTCCACGCACCGCGACGGGATAATCGCCGGTTTCTGCGGCGGCTTTTGCGTCAGGGGACAGAGCGGGTAATCCGCCGCGAATGACGGCGGCAGAAGCGGTAGAAGCAGCGTCACCATGACGAGCAGAGTGGAAACGACGGTCTGAAAAAATCCCCTCATTGTGAAGCCTGTCTTAGGTATTTAAGTTAGTTGAACGTCTACTAAAGCGCGTACAGCTTATACGGAACGGAACCCGTCGGACGGTGCGATGAAGGGAGGTGCCGCAGCGTTTTTGTTTCACACTTGAAATTCAAGGGTTCAAGAAGGTCTTAGAGCTGATCTTCTTTCCGAACCATCCGCAGCTTGCTGGCGCCTGCACTACGATAAACAAAAGCCTCCCCGCCGTCACGTGAATGATTGAGGAAACCCAAGAGTGGCCCCTTCTCCGATAAGTGGAAAGTGAGACACTGCCTCACAACTGGCAGTTATGAGACAATCCTGAGTCAGGTTCTTGAATGCACCTGGAGCTGAAATGCACGCATTTCACACTCTGTCTGGGGTGTTGCCATGCCGCCCCTGAGCTACACCAGAGCTAGAGCGCATTCGTATCGATAGTTGACATCGGTTCCGGTGGTGGCGTGAGGTGAGGTGACGGCAGCAAGGCGTGTCTCGGAGTGCCTGTGCCCCACACTGGGGATAGCGACGGGTCGGTCTTGGCGCGGCCGCACTTCAGGAAGCGAGCGAGACGAGGCTGTCATTGCGTTTACCGCAGGCAAGCAGCGACTCGCTGCTGCTGGAAGGACGCGCAGGCGAAGAAAGGCAAAGGAAGTCGGGTTAGGAGGATGCGATAACTCTTCGGCGGCGCTAGGGCTAGCAGGGGGGACCATGGCGCGTTGAAAATGTGGGACGGGACGGGAGGGGTGTTCGAGCCGCAAATTCGCCGAAAGTAAGTGGCATCGGGCAGAGCCTTGGCAGGCCAAAATTGCGGGGCTGCTCTTGAAAGCCCGAAATGTGCACAGGTCATCGTGTAGTGGTTTTAAACATCATACTGTCCGCGTCCAAAGTCCTGCATCGTGCACAGTATTGAGGTGTGGGCCTAATTTATAAGCATATGACATACGAGGGACTATAGGGCTACATTTGTAAAAAAAATGCCGAGTAATCCACTCTGGGAAATGCTGGTGTGTGACACATTTGGCAGCCGCGTTGCGGGATAGACAGGATTGGTGGCTGTCGGTTGGTCTGGGGACACAGCACTGTGGCTGCCCCACGAGGGGTTCTTGCTCTTTGATTGGTCAAGCACGAACATGGATGTGGATAACTGGCGAGAAGCAATCAGAACGGGATATGTGGCAGTGATTTCTCTTGTCGATTCGCCAGCGATCTGCAGCCCGATCAGCAATTTCATGTGCCACGTAAGGTGGGCTTCCATAATCCCATATGCCACGTCGGGGACCAATGACATGCATCGAACACACTTCACAAAGCTTTTGTCTGCACTACTAAAAGCTTTTAACAGTAGTGAACGAAGCACAAAATAAAATGGAAGAGAAACCTAAGACGACAGCAGGTGGAGATGGCTGTTATTATAATTGGTCAAACCAAGAAAACAAGCATCGGATCCAATCACTTTTTGCGTCCCCTTCGTTAACACCAACAGAAGTAAACAAGATGCAGGCACATAACTTGTGAACGTGCCTTGACAAGGTCATCATTGCATGGGCACTGCACGGCCGCCGCCACCGGCACCACCACGATAACTACCACCACGCCCCCTTCCACCACTGCCGCCACCGCCGCCGCCGCCGCCACCACCACCACCATAACCACCATATCCCCCAGCCGCATACCCACCTCCCCCATACCCGCCTCCCCCATACCCACCACCACCGTAACCACCTCCCCCTCTCCCTCCGTACCCATACCCTCCTCCTCCATAGCCTCCCCTCCCACCATAACCACCCCCTCCCTGGTAACCGCCTCGGCCGCCGTAACCACCGCCGTAACCGCCGGCGTAACCATAGTGCCCTCCGCGGCCTCCTCTCCCCCCCCTTCCGTTGTAACCGCCATAACCGCCGTGACCCACATCTCCGAAAGTCTGGGTAAGAATTGTTCGGGGAGGGGTTTCAACAGGAAAGGGGGTACAGTAGAAACTTGGCAACAGAAATCGCCTATGGAGTCGACTCTGAAGCGCTTGTAACTAAATCAACCAACAAGTTAAACAGAGCAGAGGGCATAGTGTCTCATGTCTGACGCTCGCATTGTGTCTCCCCTGGCCAGTTTCCCACCTATCCCCTCCTCCCCTCGCCTCCGTGTCCATGTGTCCTCGTTACCTTCCCCCCGCCTCCCTTCCCCCGCCCAGTTTCCCACCTAACCCCCTCCTCCCCTCACCTCCGTGTCGTCCATGCATCTCATGTTAGACGCGCTCATGCCGCCGCCCCTGCCCCGTTACGTAACCCCCCCCCCCCCCTCCCCTTCCCCCGCCCAGTTTCCCACCTATCTCCTCCTCCCTCACCTCGGTGTCCATGCGTCTCATGTCAGACGCACGCATGCCGCCGCCCCTGCCGCCTCCGGCCCTGGAGAGAGCGTCGCAGGAGAGAGAGTCAAAGAAGTCGTCCTTCACGTAGTTGGTGGACGCCTGGAGAGGGGGATGATGGGAGGATGGTGGGGGAATGGTAGGGGGATGTGGGGGGACAAAAGGGCGGGGGGGGAGCGGGAGGGGGGCAATACGTTGTGGTGAATACCCTGGAAAGAGCGTCGCAAGGAGAGCGTGTCAAAGAAATCGTCCTTCACGTAGTTGGTGGACACCTGGCGGGGGGAGGATGGGAGGATGGTGGCGGGATGGTGGCAGGATGGTGGGGGGATGTGGGGGGACACGAGGGCGGGGGCAGGGGGGAAGGGGGGGCCAAAACGTTGGGGTGAATACCCTGGAGAGAGCATCGCAGGAGAGGGAGTCAAAGAAGTCGTCCTTCACGTAATTGGTGGACGCCTGGAGGGGGATAGTGGGTGGGGGAACACCGGGGGCGCGGGGGGGGGGGGGGGGAGTCAGGGGGAGGGGTTGGGGGAATACGTTGTGGTACGTGCCCAGCTAGCATCGCAGGAGAGGGAGTCAAAGAAGTCGTCCTTCACGTAGTTAGTGGACGCCTGGAGGGAAGGAGGGGGCAGAGGGGCATTATGTCGGCATATAGTCACAAACAATTTAGACGTGCATGCTAAGTGCGTCGCAGGAGGAGTCAAACAAGTCGTCCTTGACGTCGTTCGTAGGTTGACGGCGCAGGAAAAGGAGAGGGGACATTTTCTAGAAATCTCAGAAGGGAGTCGCAGACTATTACCGATCCTCCCCAGGTGATAATAGTTGAGTTTTGAGAATACAATCTTATCTTAGTCTCAAAACTAAAATACCATCACAAGGAGTCGCAAGACTGTTACCACTCCCCCGTGTGTCCCCCCCATTGCACTGCATGCGCCTTACCTTCTTTCCCTCTTCCCCTCCTTCCCCCTCCTGCTCCTCACTCTCCCGCTCCTCCTGCGCCTGCTGCTGCTGGTGCTGTTGCTGCTGCTGCTGCGGGTGCTGCTGCTGGTGGCCCCCCAGCTCGCCCCACACTTCTGCCTTGTTGAATTTCTCGTTCATGGCACTGAAATCAAACTCCTCCGCGTATGCTGCAACGTTCTGCGGGTGGGGGGATTGGAGGGGGAGGGGGCGGGGAGGGGGGAGGGGAGGGAGGAAGGGGAGGGGGAGAGGGAGGGGGAGGGGGAGGGGGAGGGGGAGAGGGAGGGGGGAGGGGGAGGGGGAGGGGGAGGGGGAGGGGAGGGGGAGGGGGAGGGGGAGGGGGAGGGGGAGGGGGAGGAGGAATAAAAGAGAGGCATCAGTTCGGCTTGCCCCCCCAGCTCGCCCCACACCTAGGCCTTGTTGAATTTCTCGTTCATGGTGCTGAAATCAAACTCCTCCGCATACGCTGCAGCGTTTTGTAGCAAGAAAGGACAAGGGGGGAGAGGAGGGGGGAGGAGGGAAAAGCCCAAGCAGGAAACAGGAGTGGAAACCAGGCGTGAAAAGCAGGCATGAAAAGCACACTCCCCGCCCTACCCTACCTCCCTTCTCCCCTTCCTCTCCTAATGCCCCTCCTCCCTTCTTTTCTCCCCTTCCTCCCTTTCGTTTCCCCCAACTCCCATCCCCCCGGACCCACTTGCCCCATCCCTCCCCCAACCTCCCCTCTATCCCCCTGTCACACAACACACGGCACACTGCACACTGCAGCACTCGCCTGCTGGTGAAACGCCCCTCCTCCTCCTCCTCTTCCACCTCCTCCTCCTCCTCGCCCTCTCCCTCCTCCCGCCGCCCCGCCCCTTCGAGCGTGGACAGATGGCAGCGCGCCGTTGGGCTGCCGGTAGGGAGGAAGACAGGGGGACGGCGGAGGGGTGGGGAGGGAGGGAGAAAGGGAGGGAGGGAGGGGAAAGGGAGGGAGGGAGGGAGGGGGAAAGGGAGGGAGGGAGGGAGGGAGAAAGGGAGGAGGGAGAAAGGGAGGGAGAGAGAAAGGGAGGGAGGGAGAAAGGGAGGGAGGGAGAAAGGGAGGGAGGGAGGGGGAAAGGGAGGGAGGGAGGGAGGGAGAAAGGGAGGGGGGGAGGGAGAAAGGGAGGGGGGGAGGGAGGGAGAAAGGGAGGGGGGGAGGGAGAAAGGGAGGGGGGAGGGAGAAAGGGAAGGGGTGGGGAATAAGCACAACGGAAGGCCGCAAATCAGCCACTGCGCCGTCCGTCCAAAGAGTGGCCAGATGGCTGCGCGCCATTGGGCCCGAGTAAATAGAGAACACTAAAGAGAGTCATTCCCTTTTTTCTTTCCAGTCTTAAGACTTGGGCCGAGTCAGTGAGAGCAAGAGGCAGCAGAACAAAGAGAGTGATTATTCTGAGGGGCGAAATAAAAGAAAGCCCCGGCAGGCCTGAGCGGAGACCGGGCAGGCATGAGCGGAGCTTGCCCTGCCCCACAGAAGAGGAAAGGGGCGTCGTACCTGAGCGGACTGCTGAGGAGGCAGAGGCAGCAGCGGCTGACTCGAAGTCTCTGGCAGGGAGAAAACAGCAGACGACAAAAAACCAAGGAAACAGAGCAATGGACGGGAGAAGGGGGGGGGGGGGGGGTGGGAGGGGGCGCAGCAATGGTTGAATAAAACGAACAGCTACAAGAGCGGGATATTTTTGAGAATTCTAAAAAATACCCTGAGAACGATACAATAACAGGAAAACAGCGATTGGTGGGGGTGGGGGGGGAGGAGAGGGGGGGAGGGAGAGGGGAGAGAGGAGAGAGGAGAGGGGAGAGGGGAGAGGGGAGAGGGGAGAGGGGAGAGGGGCGGGGGGAGGAGGAGCAGGAGGGGAGACGGTTTCACACAGGGAAACATTGCGGAAATGGAAGGAAGTGGTTGAGAGGAGGAAAGAACGGAGTGAGAATAGAAAGAAACGGCAACAGGTGATTTTTGAGTCGACTCAAAAATCATGAAAGGAGGAAAGAACGGAGTGAGAATTGAAAGGAACGGTGACAGGTTAAGACCAACGTCCCAACCAATAAGCTGCCGCACCATGATTATAAGCGCAACTACAGCTGCCGCACTGGCAGATTTGTTAGACGCCTTAAAAAGGTGGACTCACCCCGGCCTGTAGGCTGCTGCGCAATAATAGCAGGCGCAGCAGCAGGAGCCGCTGCAGCGGTTTTTTTCGACGCCTCAGAGATCGACTCACCCCAGCCGGTAGGCTGCTGGGCGATTATAGCAGGCGCAGAAGCAGCGGGCGCAGCAGCAGGCGTGGGCGCGCCTGCACCAACTCCTGCAGCCGCCACTGCACCAGACGCTCCCGCAACCGCTGCCGCCGCCGCCGCTACTGCAGCAGCTGCGGCTGAAGACACAGCAGGAGCAGGCTTGGCAGTGGCAGCGGCAAGGGCAGGGGCAGAGGGAGGAGCACTTGGGGGAGCGGTAGGCTTGGCCGCTGCAGCAGCAGCAGCAGGGGCGGGAGCTGGGACGGTGGAGGGGGGCGCAGCAGCTTTAGCAAGGTCCGCAGGAGAAAGAAGAGCCGGCTTTGGAGCTGAACCAGCGTCAGATCGAACAGCAGGAGCAGCAGCAGCAGCCGCAGCAGGGGCAGCAGAGGCAGCGGGGGCATCTGTAGGGAGAGGGGCAGCAGGAGGGGGCGCAGGAGCTTGCGCCTGCGCGGGTGCAGGCGCAGCAGGGGCGGAAGCAGGCGCGGGGGGCGCAGAGGGACCCGCGGGTGGGGCGGAAGCCCCTTCAGGCGCAGCGAGCGTACCAGGGCCCCCTCCAAGCGCGCCTGGCGCGGAATCAGGCGCAGGCGGGCCAGAGGGCGGAGGCGCGCCCATGGGCGAATACTGCTGCTGAGGATGCTGCTGCTGCTGCTGCTGTTGCTGCTGCTGCTGCTGCTGCTGTTGCTGCTGCTGCTGCTGCTGCTGCTGCATGTGGGGCGGCATACCCTGGGGAGGTCCACCTGGGGGAGGGGGAGGTGCCCCCATGTGCCCCTGCGCCCCTGGCGGATAATACCCCTGCCAGTGTTGCGGGGGGTAATAGTTCGGGGGAGGGGGGCCTGGCGGGGGACCATATCCCCCACCCCCGTGAGGGGGGGGACCCATCATCCCCCCCTGCGGGAGAGGCGGAGCCCCCCACATGCCCGAGGGGGGCGGAGGGGGGTAATGGGGGTGCTGCGGACCCGGGCCATAGGCGCTGGGGGGGGGAGGCCCGGGGTAGGGGGGCGCTTGCTGGTAGGGGGGTGGCGGAGGCTGCTGTGGCTGGGGCGGGGGGGAAAATTGGGGCGGGGCTGGCGGAGGGGGTTGCGGGGGGGCTGCCTGCTCGTGGGAAGGGCACGCAGGGGGACAAGGTAAGGGAGGGGGGGGGGGAAGAGGGGGAGGGGGGAAAAGGTTCGGGCAAAGGGGAAGGCGGGTGATTGCGGAAAAAGGAGGGGGAGTGAAAGAAGACACGAGGGGAGATGTGGAAAAGACGAGGATGAGGGAGGTTGACGAGTGCACAGCGCACAGTACCTTTTGAGGCGCCTCAAAAGTCGTCCCATTACGCACAGTACACAGTGCACAGCACACAGTACCGCGTACATAGACAGCGGGCAGCGAGATCACAAAAACACGGGACGTGTGCAATGAGCCAAGCCTACGAGGATTTGAAATGTTGACTAGAAGTAACTAAAAAAAATAGAGAATAACAATAAACGCATCTCAATAGGCGCCATCGTCTCGACCTTATAAACAAACGTCCTGGATGTAAAAGAAGCTAGAAGATAGAAAATATCCATTGACAATAGAAATGGCATAAAAATCGGCAAGCGCACACATAAAGGAAGGAGTGTTACAAGGAATATTCTAATTGCCTAAGGGGGACGCATGAGAACGATACCTGCTGCTGACGTGGCAACGACTTGACTTGAAGATCCTGCGAGGGGGGGGAAAAAGGCGAGTCGTTGAAGATGCGAGGACGCAACAGTCGGATCGGAATCGGAGTCACACGCTGTGAAAAGTGTACGGAATCAGAACATAGGCATGAGTCTTGACATCACACCTGGTCACGGCCGCGATCCGCAGCAGCTTCGGAAGGAGATTAAGCCTGAGGAAGGAGATTAAGCCTGAGGAAGGAGATTCGTTGCAGTCGACGCTCAGGCCACTCGGCGGTACAGACAGCGACGAGTCTATTTTTGAGGCGCCTCAAAAATAGACTCCTCACGCTCAGGCCACTCGGCGGTACAGACAGTACTGTCAGCGACGAGCACTGGGTGGCCACTCGTGACAATCCCTCGATGCTGACGCTGACGCTGATTCGGCCATCAAGCAATTGAGGTGACTTCTTAAGGCAGACTAAAAACCATCGCCACTCCGCGGTACAGGCAGCGACGAGCACTGGGCCGTGACCAACGATTAGGGCCCGACGCAGATGTTCCAGTTTTCGACTTTTGAGGCGCCTCAAAAGACAACGACTAGGGCCCGACGCAGATGTTCCAGTTTAGACTTTTGAGGCGCCTCAAAAGACAACGACTAGGGCCCGACGCAGATGTTCTTAGGTGTTCCGATTTTAGCACCTTAATATCGGTTCCGCGAAAGATGATGAAGTCGTAGACCTTGTCGCTCGGGGGGATCTGAGGGCCGTCCTTCTTCCGCCCCTCCGTCCCGAACGACCGCACTGCGCGGGTTAAGGGGAGAGCAGACAGCAAAAGAAGGGTATATTAAGAACTGACGTAGACCTTGTCGCTAGGAGATATCTGAGGGCCGTCCTTCTTCCGCCCCTCCGTCCCGAACGACCGCACTGCGCGGGTGAGAAGGAAAACAGCAAATGGCGCACGTATCTATTTTACCAAATGCTCTTCAGGGAATCGGAGAAGCACGACAGCGTCGCGGAAAGGTGGCAGCTGAGGAAAACATAAGAAGGTCCACGACGAAGAGTAGTTGCTTACGACCATAAGAACCACCGAAGCGCCCGGCCATGAGGCACACGTGTCTTGGGAATGTCGCGAAATGCGAAGCGAAGCATATTGAATAGCGAAGCGACCAGAACCCAGCAAGTTTCTCCAAGATTTATCTCTTAACGGGGCAGATCTTTTGAGTCGACTCAAAAGTCACCTCGATCTTAAGACATCACATATGGGACCGGTACGAGAAAAAACAAACCAAGGAGCGAGAGAAAAAAACCTCCCGATTTGCGAGGGTGTTAGAAAACGAACCCTATATCAGACGGACAGAAGAGCTGAAGGGTGTTGCAAACAGACGGACTAAAAAACCTACCGATTTGCAAGGCGATGTTGGCTTGCTGGGTGTCCACCGTGTACAGTACACCTCGTCGCGGATCGCGCTATCAGCAAATCTCGCTCCTAGACGTCAAACTAATCAGATGGACGGACGAAGTTACCGTTTTGCAAGATAGACGTACCGTTTTGCAGGATAGACGTACCACTTTGCAAGATAGACGTACCGTTTTGCAGGGCGATGTTAGCTTGTTGCGTGTCGACCGTATAGAGCACCCCCTCGTAGCGGATCTCGCTCTTCGAAGTCAGACTAATCAAACACCCGATGTACGAGTCCGCCCCCCCTCCTCCTCCGCCTCCGGCTCCCGCGGGAGCCGCCGCTGCGCCTCTGCTTGCTTCCCCCGCGTCCCGGGGAGCTCCTCCCCCTCCGCCTGCGCCAGACGGCGCTGCAGCTGCGCCGTCCGCGGCTGCTGCGCCTTCCTCGCCAGCCATTTTAAGAACCTAAGCGACTATTCAGGGTGGTTGTACGAAGTGCTCAACAATCCCTAATGAGATACCAAGCGAATTAGATTGCTACGACCCCCTAACTGGGAACACGAAACTAGCGGAAAACCAGATCCCGATGGCGAAAAAATCCCTACGAGGTCTGAAACGACTAACCACCAGAGGAGACGAGGATCCTAATATCAGAACGCGAACACGCCGCTAGGCGACCCAGATTAGGTCATCCATGGCCGACTTGGCAGTGGAGAGCACAGCAGAGAAGCATACGTACCAGAGCTAGTCTTTGAAGGCTGAACAGGCAGATGAGAAAGGAAGGCAGCTGATGCGTGTTCCAACCAGATGTCGAGGAACGAGGTTTCGCCAACTGTGGGAGTTAGGGCTCTGCTGTGGCTCGCGAGGGAGGTTACCAGCTGGCGAACAAACAAAAAGTAACAGGTTGGTGATATATCACAAGTTGAAAACCGAGCAATGTATCCAAGAAGGTTTCCAAAACAGATAAACCCATCCTAATGAAGACTCTAGGATCAATGTATGCTTATGTCCCTTTGCAAATCATGGTAAATATATGCCATCGAACTATGTATCCGATGGGAATACTTGTGCAAGGGAAAACTACCTCGTTAGAGTGGCAATGACAAAAAAAAGCAAACCACCCCTCACCCTCAATCAGAGCATAGTTTTATCATTCATGACTTGCTGAATACTGTATTACCGCATGCCTCTCTTGTGGACCACAAGTCTACAACCCATCAGTGTTTATAGTGAGTGATTTGGGGTCGAGAAGGTAACGGATCGACCAGTCGAATGGCGCCACCTCAACACATTGTGTGATTGTGGGATTGACTTTGAGAGCAATCCGCTTGGCCAATGCCAACCGCGGGGCAGGGGGGAGTTGATTTAAGGCCCACTCAAGCAAGGATGGAAGGGAATCGGCAAAATCAGGACAAAACCTGTGAGGGGGAGGAAACCAAGCAGCACGATAATGGGAGAGGGAGGGAGGAGGGGGGGGGGAGGATGGTGTGACAATGACAAGCAGTTAGGGATCTTGGAGAGTGCTTGAGAGAAGCAAGGAGAGTATAGCTCTACGACCCAGGAGATGCGAAAGACAGGGAGAACAGACGACATGATATGAAATAGAAACCAGAATGTAACCACACACCAGAATGTAACCACACACCAGTCCAGTATTTTGGGAAGAACAATGCGGTCGTTCTGACTGAGCCCCAGAGACACCTCGAGGAAGCTCTCCCTCGCCTCATCCAGCTCTGCTCTGACCGTGTGCGGTGAGAAGGCTCTCAGCTGGGGGAAGGGGAAGAGGAAGGGAAGGGGGGGGTAAGCGTGGGTGGGGCCTCCTCCAGCTCTGCTCTGACCGTGCGCGGTGAGAAGGCTCTCAGCTGGGGGAAGGGGAAGAGGAAGGGGAGGGGGGGGGTAAGCGTGGGTGGGGCCTCCTTCAGCTCTGCTCTGACCGTGCGCGGTGAGAAGGCTCTCAGCTGGGGGAAGGGGAAGAGGAAGGGGAGTGGGGGGGTAAGCGTGGGTGGGGCCTCCTTCAGCTCTGCTCTGACCGTGTGCGGTGAGAAGGCTCTCAGCTGGGGGAAGGGGAAGAGGAAGGGGAGGGGGGGGTAAGCGTGGGTGGGGCCTCCTCCAACTCTGCTCTGACCGTGCGCGGTGAGAAGGATCTCAGCTGGGGGAAGGGGAAGAGGAAGGGGAGTGGGGGGGTAAGCGTGGGTGGGGCCTCCTCCAGCTCTGCTCTGACCGTGTGCGGTGAGAAGGCTCTCAGCTGGGGGAAGGGGAAGAGGAAGGGGAGGGGGGGGGTAAGCGTGGGTGGGGCCTCCTCCAGCTCTGCTCTGACCGTGCGCGGTGAGAAGGCTCTCAGCTGGGGGAAGGGGAAGAGGAAGGGAAGGGGGGGGGTAAGGTGGGTGGGGCCTCCTCCAGCTCTGCTCTGACCGTGCGCGGTGAGAAGGCTCTCAGCTGGGGGCGTGCATGGAACAGGGAGACGGAAGAAAGGGAAGGGTGACTGTGGTTGGCCCAACTGACTGAGCCCCAGAGCCAACTCCAGGAAGCTCGCCCTGGCCTCCTCCAGCCCTGCTCTGACTGTGCGGGGAGAGAAGAATCACAACTGGCGGAAGGGGAAGGGGAGCGAGAGGGAGATGCGTAGGACCCGTGTGCAATGAGCCAATTTTTGGGACACCTGTGTGAAATAGACTCATTAAGCGAGAAGGAGATGCATAGGACGGTTTGGGATAGGAGCACCCCCTCCAGCTCCAGAAACAGGAGGGTGACTGACTGAGCCCCAGAGCCAGCTCCAACCAAGAAGCTCGCCCTGGCCTCCTGCAGCTCTGCAGCAAGAGGCGAGAGCGGAGAAAAGAGGGAGTATGCATTGAAAAGCCTAGAGCACCCCCTCCAACTCTGCTCTGACAGCTTGCGATGAGAAGACTTTCAGCTTGCGACGAACCATCTCTAGGAGGCTCTCCTTTGTGTGGGCGTACCGTGCCTTAAAGCATGAGAGGACGAACAATCTCTAGGAGGCTCTCCTTTGTGTGGGCGTACCGTGCCTTAAAGCGTGAGAGGACGAACCATCTCTAGGAGGCTCTCCTTTGTGTGGGCGTACCGTGCCTTAAAGCATGAGAGGATGAACAATTTGACGAACCAGAAGAGCGGAGACGGTGCTGGGGGGCAGAGAGCGAAGGAGGCGCTGGGCTTGGGGGGCTGGAGCAGTACGTGCGAAGAAGGTGGGTAGAGGCTTAGAAATGCGTACCAGAGGAGCGGAGAAGGTGCCGGGGCAGAGAGCGAAGGAGACGCTGGGCTCGGGGGACTGGAGCACCCAGGAGGAGCGATAATCGTCTGGAGAAAAGGGGCGAGCCTTGAGGGCCCTGGCCTGGTGGGGTTGAATGAGGAGGGAGTATTGGGGGGGAGAGAAGGGGGGGGGGGCTTTGGAAGTGAGGGGGATGGAGACAGGATTTGAGGCGCCTCAAAACTAGACTTCTATCACGCGGTTTTGAGGCGCCTCAAAACAGGAGGTGAGGGGGATGGAGAGAGGAGAGGGCATGTGGCAGAGAGCGAAGGTGGGCTGGGGGACTGGAGCACCCAGGAGGAACGATAGTGATCTGAGGGGAAGGGGCGGGCCTTGAGGGCTCTAGCCTGGTTTAGGGTTGACGGAGGAGAGGGCATTGTGGGGGAGGGAGTATTGGGGGGGAGGGAGTATTGGGGGGAGGGAGCATTGGGGTGGAGGGAATGGAGAGAGGAGAGGGCATGGGCCAGAGAGCTCTGGGGAGAGAAGCACCCAGGAGGAGCGAAAGTCGTGTGAAGCCAAGGGGGTGGGCCTTGAGTGCCGTACCCGGATGGGTGGAGAGAGGAGAGGGTATGGTACGGGGGGAGCGAGGGAACGGGGGAGGGGGGGGATGCGCAGAGCAGCAGGAGTGTCAAGGTACTGATGCATTCAGGAGGAGCGATAGTCGAGTGAAGCCAAGGGGGCGGGCCTTAGAGTGCCGTAGCCAGGTTAGATTGAGGAAGCATAGTACACCCAAGCTTTTCCTTCTCTCCCTTAAGTGCGGAATATTTTTTGGCAGAACGGAATTTGTGCACCAGAGAAGGGTGGAAGGAGGCCGCCCGAAGAATGGGGATGGGGGGGGGAAATGGACATGGGGGGGGGGGATGGGCATGGGGGGGGGGGATGGGCATGGGGGGGGGATGGGCATGGGGGGGAAGAATGGGCATGGCGGGGGTGGGGGCACAGCAAAGGGAGTGCGCACCAGAGAAGGGCGGAAGGAGGCCGCCCGAAGAATGGAGAACTCGATATCAATAGCGCTGATTGCCTTGCCCCGGATGGTGTAGGTGGCCTGAGAGGGTGAGAGGGGTGAAGAGGGGTGAGAGGGGGCGAGAGAGGGTGGGAGGGGGTGGGAGGGGGTGGGAGGGTGAAGAGTGGCGGTGAGGCATGTCAGAAGTCAATCTAGGGCACTGATTGCCTGGCCTCGGATAGTGTAGGTGGCCTGAGGCACAACGGGTTGAAGGGGGAGAGTGAAGGAGGGGGGGAGAGGGGGAGGGTAGGGGGAGAGGGAGGGGGGAGAAGGGGAGTGGTGGGGAGGAGGGTGCGGGAATGGAAGCATTCCCGAGGGACTGGACTTGGTATAGTGGAAAAAAGAAAGGAAGCCGCACTTAAGCAGAACACGAAGCGCGACAACGAAGCATGAGAAAGAAGAGAAAGGAACACCTGATAGGGGGAGGCACGAGAAAGAAATAAAAAAATAAAGGAAGCACGAGAGCGAGGGTTGAGGGCTTCCGAATTCGGGTCTAGGGTAAAGCAAAAGGTGCAGGGTTAAAGAATCAGAATTCTGGGTTCAGTAGAGCTCACCTGATGAAGCATGGCCATGCGCTTGGTATGAGTTGCAGGGTAGCCGTCCATGAGGAACGCCTGATAGGGGGAGAGGAGGGGAGAAGAGGGTGGGAGGAGAGGGAGAGGAGGGGGGGAGGAGAGGGGGGGAGGGGGGGAGGAGAGGAGAGGAGGGAGAGAGGAGGGGGAGAGGAGGGGGAGAGGAGGGGGAGAGGAGGGAGAGAGGATGGGGAGAAGAGGGGGGAAAGGGAAGAAAGTGGATAGATGAAATGGAGGGACGGTGAGAAGATGCTGGGATAAAAGAGCAGAAGGCAGACAGAGAAAAAAAGTTATTAAAGAAGCGACCGGGCATGACAACAGCCCTTATGTGCATGCTCAAGACAACAGCCCTTAGATGCATGCTCTAGACAACAGCCCTTGCGTGCATGCTCTAGACAACAGCCCTTACGTGCAGCAGACAACCGTCCTAACATGCTGCAGCAGGGAGTTGTAGAGGTTGACCCCCAGAAGGCTGTCCGTCATCCTCAGGAAGTAATGCTGGACTTACACCAATCACAAACAGCCTCACATGCAGCAGACAACAGCGCTCACATGCAGCAGATAACAGCGCTCACGTGCAGCAGACAACAGCGCTCACATGCAGCAGATAACAGCGCTCACATGCAGCAGACAACAGCGCCCACATGCAGCAGACAACAGCACTCACATGCAGCAGACAACAGCACTCACATGCAGCAGACAACAGCGCTCACATGCAGCAGACAGCGGTCTTACATGCAGAAGCAGGGAGTTGTAGAGGTTGACCCAGAAGGCTATCCGCTCGTCCTCTGACAATAGCACTGGGTTCACGTCATCTAGCTGCTCCACCAGCATTCTGATGTGCGCCAGGGGGAGACATGGAGGACAGGTGGGCACGTGAGGGGGAGACACAGAGGACAGGTGAGCACGCGAAAGAAAGACATGGAGGACAGGTGTTTACTATGGTTGGGCATGAGCACAGATATTGAGCGCAGGTGTTTACTATGGTTCAGGTTTCAGATATTGAGTCAAAGGCTCTGAGTCCCCTCACGAGCCACACAGCATCCACCAACCTGTATTCGAAGTAGGGAGAAGTCAACTCACCTGTGTAGGCAGTAGGGAGAAGTCAACTCACCTGTGTAGGCAGTAGGGAGAAGTCAACTCACATGTGTAAGCAGTAGGGAGAAGTCAACTCACCTGTGTAGGCAGTAGGGAGAGGTCGCCTGTAGCGGCAGAGCAGGAAGATGTCAGCACTGCTGAACGAGTCAGGCAGAAGCACGGCAGTGACCTCCATGGTCGCACTGTAAGTCCCCACCTCACACAGCACCCCCCTGTGTCGGCCGCAATAGAGTGGCACGCACCTGACTTTTGAGTCGACTCAAAAGCCATGGCTGCGCTGTAAGTCTCCACCTCACACAGCACCCACCTGTGTTGGCAATAGAGTGACACGCACCTGTATGCGCGCACACACCTGTACCAGTCAGACGCACCTGTAGCGGCAGAGCAGGAAGATGTCTGCACTGCTGAACGAGTCGGGCAGAGGCACAGCAGTCACCTCCATGGCTGCGCTGTACCCCGCCACCACTGGCGCGCACGGGTGCCCCTCCAACCCCCCGTATGGATCCACGAACCCCTCCGGCCTCTTCCCAACCCCTACTTCTGCGATTCTAGCAGCTGCTGACGCGCCTGTGTCTGCTCCTATACCAGCAGCAGCAGCAGCAGGAGCAGTAGAAGGAGCGCAGGAGGCAGAGCGTGGCATGGCATTGGCTGCCTTACTGCTGCTGCTGCTGCCACCCCGGTCTCTGGCGGAGGTGTCAGTGCTTGCTCTCGTGATTCCCGATGGCTCTAGAAGCTTCTCTGCCTCTTCCTGTTCCTCAAACCCTTCCCAACCCCCTGTCCCCCCCCCTGCTCCTGTCCCTCCCCCTGCCCCTGTCCCGCTGCCTGCCCCTGCCCCTCCGCCCCCCTGCTTGCCTCCAGGGAATGCCGAGCGCAGCCACTGGGGCGCCTTGGCTGTAGCAGAGGCGAGAGCCAGCCCCCTACGGGACTTGGAGGCTGGGTCTGAGGCGAAGAGAGAAGGCTTCTTGGAGAGAGAGGGAGTGAGGGAGGGAGTGAGGGAGGGAGTGAGGGAGGGAGTGAGAGGGGGGTATGAAGGGGTGGTGGGAGGAAGCAGGAAGATGCTGCTGTCTCCTGGATCTGTCGATTCAGTACTATTCGAGAGTGCTTGTAACGGGCCTAAAGTATCGCTATCGGCACTGTTACTATCACCTCTATCCCCTCCCTCCCCCACCACACTTGTTGGAAGGTTATGGCGGATTGAGCCACTCAGACCCCCTAGATTCCCAGTTGACCCTCCTTTCCCAACCCCCTCCTCCCCCTCTGGCGCAGCACAGGGCAGGTCTGACGTGGCACACGCCAAATCTGATGCACCACGGGCCTGATCTGACGTGGCACTGGCCTGATTCGCCGCAGCATGGGCGGGATCCGCCGCAGCGCGGGCCTGGTCCGAGGCAAGGAGCAGAGCAGCGGCGCGCCGTGTCCCCTCCCCAAGGCCCCACACGGCGGGATGGGCGTGGTGCAGATAGATGGAGGCGATTGACTTGAGCATCTCTTCGGATAGAGCGCACGGGCGGGAGCGGAGATCCTCTAGCTCGAGGGAAAGAGGGGTGGAATCTGCTGCAGGGAGAGAGGAGGCGCGGGAGGAGGAGGAGGGTTGGCGGGTTGAGGAGGAGGTTTTTATCGTTTTTTGGAGGTGGTTGATGGATTTGGCAAGGGATTTACGGAAGGATTTGCGGGAGGTGGATTCTCCTGAGAGGGTGGAGGAGGGAGTGGATGCAGGGGGGGTGCGACTGCTGCCAGGTGCGCAATAGTGCCACTACTGCTGTTTCTGGTGCTGCCAATGCTGGCAGAGGTGCTGGAGCAAACCCTTTCGCCTGTTCTGGTTACCAGTTCAGTTGCAGGGGCTTCTGCAGTGGAGACACGTGGGATGCGTGGCTTTGCCTCCGGTGAGACCTCTGGCGGTGCAGGTTCCTGCACCAGAGGTATCGGCTGCACACTAGATGCAGCTGGAAGGACACCCGCTGCAGCTGCTGCATCCAGTGCCCCTGCTTTAGCTGCTCCCTGCTTCTGCTCCTCTGTCTGCTCCTGCTCCTCTAGTCCCCCCTGCTCCTTGGCCTCTGCTCCCGTCTGTCCTCCCTTCCCAGTCTCCCAACCCTCCTGCTCCTGCTTCTGCTGCTGCTGCAGCAAAATCATGTCGATATTTGAACCAGAACCCAAGTCAGGTTCCCCCACCTGTTCGTTAGACGAATCCCTCAAGCCACTCTGCAACGGAACGGCCTTTCTTGGAAGAGGAGCAATGAGCCCCAAAGCATGCCCAACGTCCGATCCTGATTCACAATCCAACGCCCTATAATTCAGTGCCACTCCCACGCTCTGCGTTCGCCTCGGGCTTAGCAGCTCAGGCCTGGAACTAGGCTCGGCAGCAGGTTTGGAGAGGCCTGACGAACCCAAGCCTGCCACGTCAGCAGACGCCCACCGTTCCAATGAGTCGATCGTCACAAAGGGATTGCCGCTGACCGCTGGCGTGTATCTGGCTGGCTCGGCTGCTGCCAAGCCTGCTCCCGAGCCCGGCGCCGAACCAAGCGGAGGCTTTGGGTAAGACTGCAAGGGCCTTGCTGTATTAGCAACATTAGCTGCGGGTGCGGCAGAACTACCTCCCGTGTTGCCTCCCGTGCTACAGCCACTGTCACCTCCTGCGTTGCCCCCTGTGCTGGCCCCTAGCAAATTGAAGTCAAACCCTGACCCTCCCCCGCTGCTGCTGCCACCCTTCCCTTCCTTGCTTCCTTTCCTCGAGAACCCTCTGCTCTTCTTCTCCTTCGCTTCTTTGCCCTTCTTGCCGTGCTCACGCTTCCCTTTGCCTGAGAGCTCAGCCTCACTTGAAGAGATGAGGGCTTCTAGCACTGCTGAGAGAGACTGCTGCTGCTGCTGCTGCTGCTGCTGCTGTTGCCTCTCTTCCCATTCCTCTCCCCCGGCCCGTTCCCCACCTCCCCCTCCCAGTTCTCTACCGTCTCCTCCCCAAACCACCCTACCCTCACTCTCACCTTCCATCCACGCCTCTATATCCCCCACCTCCCCCACCTCCCCCACCTCCCCCACCTCCTCCACCTCCTCCTCCTCTTCCTCCTCTCCTTTCTCCTGAGAGACCGCCTCCCCCTCCTGCTCCCTCACATGCGCACTCCCCTCTTCCCCCTCACACCCATCCCCACCCTCCCCAACCCCCTGCTGACCCACACCTTTCCCCCATCCCTCCTCTCCACCTTCCTGCCACCCCGCCCTCGTCCTCTCTCCTTCCTCTCCCCTCTGCCCCTGCCCTACCTCCTCCCTCCAGCCCACCTGAACCATCTCGGAGAACGATCCAACGGCCAGGAACTTCCGATGGGCTGAGCTTTGGCCAGCTTCCGGCAGGTCCTCAGTAAGATCTTCTGCATCTTGACCTGTGGGGCTCGTGCTTCCCTCTTCCCCCGTACAGTCATTGTTTATTACAAGCACATTAGCCTGTTCTGACTGCCGCCTTTCCCCCTGAGTGGTCCACCCAGTCAGGCCTGCACCAGCAGCAACTGATGCATCAACAGCAGCAACGGCAGCAGCAGCTACTGCACCAGCTGTAGCACCAGCTGTAGCACCAGCAGCTGTAGCTGATAGATCAGCAAAAGCACCTTCCTTGGTTGTCCCATCCCCAGAAACGACACCCAGCGCCACCCCAGAGTCATCCCCACCAGACCTAGCCCCATCAGTGAACCAGCCATCCCGAGCCTCATCCCCAGGTTCGGAGTTGTTCCGAGCGTAACCGACGTGCATACCTGGCGCATGCCGTGCTGCAAAGGAAAACATCTTTCCCAGGGGGGAGCGGGGACGGGAGGAGGAGGAGGAGGAGGAGGGGAGGAGTGGGTGGTGGGGCTGTAGGAGCGATGTCTGTCGGGGGTTTTGGCCCGGCGGAAGGAGAGCGAGGGTCGCATGCGCTCGGGCTCTTGTTGCTCGCGAGCAGAATGGAGGGTATGAGGGAGTCGGAGGCAAGAGCGATCATGCTGCTGCTGTCCGTGTTGCTGTCCGTGTTGCTGGCCGTGTTGCTGCTGACCGTGCTGCCTGCGTCTGAGGCCACTTTGAGGGACTGGGACCTGAGGGTAGCGCCTGCCGCTCCACCGCCGCCACCACCTTTCTCTTCTTGAAGGACACTCGGGCTATCCTCACCTCTTCTTTCCTTGAAGCTCAATTCGTGCGGATTCTCGTGCCCATGCCCATGCCCGTGCCCGTGCCCATGCCCATGCCCATGCCCGTGCCCGTGCCCACGCCCATGCCTATCGGCATGGCCCTGCCCACCCCCATGGGCATGCTCCAAGGCATCAGCATCGGCAACTGAAGCGCCTGACCGATGCGCGGCAGAGGCGCTGCGGCTGAATCGAGAAAACACCCCCGGCGTGCACGTGGGGGACCACGACCCTTCATTCAACCCATCCCAATCCTCGATCTCCCCCCTCTCCCCCCTCTCCCCCCTCTCCTCCTCCCCCTCTCCCCTTGCATCCTCCTCCCCTGCCGCCTTCCTCCCCTGACCCGCCTCTCCTCCCCTCCAACCGCCTTTAGCTGCCCCCCCCACGCTCTCGCCCTCCCCACGCCCAGCAGCTGCCTGAAAACCCTCTGCAGACGCGCTCCTAGCAGCAACCAGACCGGTGTTAGAGGCCAGGGCAAGCGGCACGGCACCTGTGAGATCAGCAGACGTGTGGCGAGGCAGCTCGGGGATGCCCAGCGCAGGAGCATCAACCTTATTGAGCTCCTCTCTATTGTCAGAGGCGCGGCGGGCAAAGGAGCGCGTGAGAGACGGCTGAGTGAGTGATCGTGTGGCTGGAGGGGGGATGAGATAATCCTCTTCGTCCTCCAACTCTCCCTCTCTTCCCGCTCCCCCCACTCCCCCCACTCCCCCTTCCCGCCCTCTCCGCCCTCATCTGCTCCCCCCCTACCAGGATAGCTCGGAGCCTTCCGCCTGCTGTGGCTGCTTTCACGGTCAGTGTGTGGGGCAACGTCGGTAACGCGCCGGCCCCGCACCACCCTAACCCCGCCCTTCCCACCCGCTGCCACACCACCAGCACCACTGCTGCTGCTAGTGTTGTTGCCCTTCGCAGCGTCCGCCAGACTTCGCAAATCAGCCTCAGTGGACGATAAATACCTGCCTAAATTCCTAAACGGAGACATGCCCCGACTCAACGGCTTACCACCGGTAACCGCGTTACCAGCAGCACCAGCAGCAGCAGCAGATGCACCACTATACCCGATGCCACCCGCCACAGCACCAGGATCACCGCCACTTCCAGACCTATAGTGAACGCCTGATCTTGCACCCCAGGCTGAGCTCCCTCCGTCTCCCCCTCTAGGCGATGTCAACCCACCCCCTGGGAGGTACCCCTCCTCCCCCTCCTCTGCCTCATCCCCTCCTCCCACTCCCGCCCTCCTGCCCCCCCTCCTCCTCCTCCTGCTCCTCCCCATGGCACACTCCCCGCCCCACTCACCACCTTCTTCTTCAGCTTCTGAAGTACCTTCAGCCGTGCCTTCCCCCCTCCTCCCCCTCCTCCACCACCACCCCCCCTCCTCCTCCTCCTCCTCCTCCTCCTCCCTTACCTCCTCCTCCCGCCATGTGGGAATCACTACCCCCTTTCAGATGCATCATATCCTCTTCTTCTAAGCCCATCCGCCCCTGCCAATCAAAATTCCCCATGCTTTCCGCTCCCCTCCCGCTTCCCCTTCCCCTCCCCTCTCCCCTCCTCCTCCACCCCACTTCCCCCCTCCCCCTGCTGCTGTCTCCTCTGCTTCCAACCTCTTCCCTAACTCCTCCCATGTCCCACTCCCCCCTCTCCTTCTCCTCCCCCCTTCCCTCATCCCCTTCACATCAGTCACATCCTTTAGAAGGTCCTTCAGCTTATGCAACTGGGTGCTGGACGAAAGGGTAGAGTGACTATGCCCGAGGATCGAGGCCCGAGATCCACCAGCGTGGGAAAAAGAGGCAGAGAAATCCCCCCCTCCTGCTCCCCCTCCTATGGCACTACCAGCAGCAAAAGCAGCGGCAGCTGCAGCGGCGGCAGCAGCAGAGGCGGCACCAATAGCAGCAGTGACAGTGGAAGGGACATGTGCACTGGTGTTGAGTGTGTTGATGAGGTCCTTTATGAGGGAGGCGAAGACGGGGGAGGTGGCATCTAGTGCAGGGTCACTCAGAATCTGGTCGAGAAACTCCTCTACCTGGGAGGGAGCGGGAGAGACAGAGATGCCGACGGAAGGAATAATTATTGGCCCTGCCGGGGGAGGTGGCATCTAGGGCAGGATGACTCTGGATTTGGTCAAGAAAGTCTTCCACTCCACCTGAGAGACCTGGGAGGGAGAGGGTGGGCAGCATATGGGGGGAGGGAGGCCAGGAGGCAGCGGGACAGACAGACACAGGAAGCGAGGAATACAGAGGGAAGATCAGCCTGCTAGAAAAAGGGAGGAGAGCCGGGTTAGAATATAGCGCAGCAGGGAGGAATGGCACCTACGCAGTCAGCTGCAGCTTGCCTGTTCGCAGCCATGTATGCCACATACCCAAGGGCTCATATTTTACCCTCTCTTCCCCCACCCAAGTGCTCACCTTCTCGCTCTCCTTCCTCTCGTTCTGAATGAGCTCCTTGAGCACCTCCCGCTGCGCCATCAGCTTCACTCGCCCCCTTTGCCCCGCTCTGCCTCTCACCCCCTCGACCCCCTATGGCCGTTCACCCAGGCCTCCCGTCCCTTTCCCCTTCCCCCGGAGCACGCACCTTCTCGTTCTCCTTCCTCTCGTTCTGAATCAGCTCCTTGAGCACTTCCCGCTGCGCCGTCAGCTGCAGCCTGCACGTATGCATGTATTTATGCGCATATGACACATGCCCCAAAGGCTCACCTTTCACCTTCTCTTCCCCCAACGCTCACCTTCTCGTTCTCCTTCCTCTCGTTCTGAATCAGCTCCTTGAGCACTTCCCGCTGCGCCGTCAGCTGCAACCTGCACACCCACACGCCCAGCAAACACCGGAAGCGTTTTGAGTCAACTCAAAAAACACCGGAAGCAAAGACATGACACCTTCTTAGATTTCTCAGGATGAAAGGCAGCTGAAACAGAGACATGCGCAAACGCGAACGCTTGCACACAGCATGCACACAGGAACGTGTGCAACATGTCCCCCCCCCCCCCCCCCCCCCAACTCACAGCTGCATTTGAGCGGTGTGGATGCTGCGCACGGCACTGGGTGACCCTCGGCCCGGCCCAGTGCACCTGCTCCAACTATTTCTCCACAATCAGCCCCATCCCAACTCCCTCCCCCCTTCCCCCCCACCCCCCACTCCCCCCCCTCTCCCCCACGGCCCAGTGCATCTGCTCCGACGCACACTCCAGGTTGATTAAAGGCCCAGTTCATTAAGAAAACACACCCAACTCACAGCTGCATCTGTGCCGTGTGAATGGCGCGAACGGCTCCCCGCGACCCCACGGCCCAGTGCACCCGCTCCAATGCTCGCTCCAGATTCACCCTCTCCGCACTGGCTCCCCTCCCACCCCCATGCCCGCCATCCCAACCCACTCACAGCTGCATCTGTGCCATGTGAATGGCACGCACAGCGCCAGGCGACCCCACGGCCGAGTGCGCCTGCTCCAATGCTTGCTCCAGGTTGACCCTCTCCACGTTGACTTTCCCCCCTCCCCACCTTTCTCAACACCACAACCCACTCACAGCTGCATCTGTGCCGTGTGTATGGCGCGCACGGCGCCAGGTGACCCCACGGCCAAGTGCGCCTGCTCCAATGCTCGATCCAGGTTGACCCTCTCCACGTTCAGCTCCAGCAGCAGCTTGCGCGTGTGCCCCACCTCGTCGCCCCAGTGATGCACGTCCCTGTGCAGCTGCCGTTCTGCTCGGTCTTGTTCCTCCTGTCAGTCAGCGCACGTTACGGGGGATGGACGGGGGGGCAGGAGGACAGGGGGGATGGTGGGGACTGGTTGGCCCGCTCCACGTTCAGTTCCAGCAGCAGCTTGCGCGAGTGCCCCGCCTCGTCGCCCCAGTGATGCACGTCCCTGTGTAACTGTCTCTCTGCTCGGTCCTGCTCGTCCTGTAGCTGTACGCGGGGGAAAGGGTGGCAATACAGGGGACTGGTTGGCCCGCTCCACGTTCAGCTCCAGCAGCAGCTTGCGCGTGTGCCCCACCTCGTCGCCCCAGTGGCACACCTCCCCGTGGAGCTGCCTCTCCTTCCGGTCTTGCTCCTCCTGTTAGCGAGCATGGGAGGGGAGCCTGGTGGGTTTACAGAGAAAATGCGGGTAAGTTTGAGAGACCACGAGGGTAGGCACCCACCCCACCTCGTCGCCCCAGTGGCGCACCTCCCTGTGGAGCTGCCTCTCCTTCCGGTCCTGCTCCTCCTGTTGACGGGAGGGGGGGTACGACTAGAGGGTAGAGGTAACTTCGAGAACACTGCGGAGGGAGGGTACGACTGACCCGGTGCCGAGGAGTCTCCTTGCGGTGGACGCGCGGAGCTGCTGCCCGTGGGAGATCTTCTTCAAGTACTTGAGTCGGTGCCGGGAGACCCTTAGGGTCCTCCGGACCGGGCTGATAGGACTCACCTTTGTGCGTGTCCATGTGCCTTGTCTGTACCCTTCTTCTACATAATACAAAGGACCAATTTGAGGGTACGAATAGAGGGTAGAGGTAACTTCAAGAACACCACTCCCGCAGCAGCTTGCCCATGTGCGCCCCACCTCGTCGCCCCACTCCCTGTGCTCACATTCCACTTTAAGATCACCGCTCCCTGTTCGCTCACCCGCACGGGCAGTCCGGCGGCCTGGGCAGTGTGGGCATGCTGGCCCCTGCCACGACGATCGGCCCCACCAGCATCATTTACTCGGTAACTCCCTATCCCTTGCGTGCCCTAGTTGTCCCCTGCGCCACATCTCACCTTCTCACAAACCCCACTTCTCACCTGCACAGGCAGTGCGGGCATGTCAGCCCCTGCCACGGCAATCATTCCCACCAGCGTCGTTCCCTTGCTAACCCCCTTCCTCTTGGTCCATATTTTCTCGTATAGAGGCCCCTCAAACCTGCCGTAATTGTCACCTTCCCCAGTTGTCACCTGCACGGGTAGTGTGGGCATGTCGGCCCCTGCCATGGCGATGAGATCCACCAGCCTCTCCTGCCTCGCGAGCTCCCGCTCCACCTCCTCCTCCAGCCGCAGCACCTGTGGTGATTGAAGCGATAAGCACGGCACACAGTGAGTCACAATAGTTACTGGTCACAGTTCCACCAGTTATCCAACACCCACCAGCCTCTCCTGCCTCACGAGCTCCCTCTCCACCTCCTCCCCTGGCCGCAGCAGCTGCAAGGCTGGTATACAGGGACAAGCAGACACGCGTATTGACGCCTGCACTGAGACCCACAGACCTGCGAAGTGTTTCCTGCCTCGCAAGCTCCCGCTCCACCTCCTCCACCAACCGCAGCACCTGCAGGGAAGGTATAACAACGACAAGCAGACATGCTTACTGGCACCCTTCTTTCTTCCCTTCCCTCCTCCCTCCTCCCCTTCCCCTCCCTTCCTCTCACCATCCCCCACCTCCCCTTCGATCAGCACCCATCCGTCCTCCCCTTACACCAGTCCAATCCACAGTTATTCTCCTCTTGTGTTGACCAAGAACATTATGTCCTCCTACGGTCCTACTCCACTATGCATACAAACGAGTCCATACAATAACGAGTTTTGTGATGTCTCAGCAATCCCTTACCCCAGTGTCCATCAGGGAGACGTTGCTCCGGGTGCGCCTCCGGCCCTCCCCTCCCCTTTCCACTCCTCGTTCGCCATCTCTACCGTACTTCCTCGCCTCCAACCTATGCAGCGACGCACCCCCCTCCCTTCCCACCGCTCTGCCTTGCCCGCCCTGGCCGTTGCTTCCTCTGCTCTCAGACACCTGGCTTGTCACACCCTCGCTCTCGTGCTGCTGCTGCAGCTCCTGCTCTCGAGGGGTCGCCTGACTCTGGTCCCGCTTCCGCTGCTGCTTCTGCTGGGCCGAGCTTCTGTTGTCTTCCCGCTCAGCACTGCTGGTGGTAACCATCCCTTGTCCATTGTGGGACTCGTCTAAGCCAGCGATCTGGGTCAATGCAACATTGGAAGCCGTGGTGTTTGTAGCATTAGCGTCTCCGACCATCTGCACCGCTTCATTCACTGCTCTCTCTGCCGCCGCTGCTTTCGCAGCAGCCACAGCTGCCGCCAGCCGTCCATCTATAGCCACAGTCCCTCCCAGCCGTCCATCTATAACCATTCCCGCTGCTTCAGCAGGAGCAGTGGAATCTGCAGCAGCGTTGCCGCCTTGGGAGCCTGGGCCGCCTGGGCCCCCCTGAGATGCTTCAGTTGCTGCTGCTCTCTCTGCCGCTGCTGCTTTCTCGGCTGCAGCTGCCTTCGCAGCGGCCACTGCTGCCGCCAGCCTCCCATCCCTGATCATACCAGCTCCTCAGAATAAACTTATACACAATCTCTTATCGCAGTCAGAAGCAGAAGCCGAGTCGAATCATAGCTGCTCCGCAGATGTAACTGATCAGCAGTCTGTCGTCTCAATCCCTGGCAAAATGCTGACAAAATGCTGCAGTAGGTGCTGCTGCCTACATTCCCCGGCAAAAGCAGCGTGGAGCACCAGCAAGGGATATCCGCCAAAAAGGATTTCAGACGTCGGAATTGCTGCGCTAGCTAGGTGTTGCGCCTTGACAGGTCCGGGTCCCTGCGAAAGAAGGGAAAGGCGGGAAGAAACACGGTCAGGACTCGGGTCAGTAGCTTTAATTTGAGGTGCATTTTAATTAATTTCGTTCCTCTTTTGGCATTCACGAAAAGTGCACTCCTTAATACCGGTAAAAGCTGCATGATAAGATTAAACGAAGCGAATGCATGCCGTTTATCAGTAGACTTCATGTAGGCAGCAGAAGTACGAATAAGAGACATCCTAAATGCGCGGTCAGGTATAATGCTAAAGCTTGCAAGAATGATAAGACGCCGAAACAACAAAAACACCGAATCTTCGAGAAAGCGTTAACCTTTTAATCGTCACTATCGTCTTGGTTTCGTCAACGCATCGCAGGAGAACAATGCAGGTGCTCTGGATCATGAAACCCTAAAGTCGTCACCCCAGGAAGGCTGCAGCATTCTTCTAGCACTCCTAAATCATATTCCGGTTAGCCAACAGAATACCATCTCCGTCTGTCAAGCTATGACGAATTCCACTTCTCATCAGTGTCCTGTCAACCCAGCAGCTTTTGTCCTGTGAAAACAGTAGTGTGAGTGGTTTACTCGCATACTGTACCACCTACAGTTTGTCTCCAAAAAGTCCAAGTGTTCTACACTTGGCTGACTACGTTTATGGGAAACGCTGATGCGGTAGCCGAAATGTTTACCGAACCAAATTTCGAGCTGATTCTGGGTTACCTTGATTTCAAGTCTTTCACACTTGAAGCACGATGTGGAACTATCAGACTCCAGCTGGGCACCTGATCCACTCCATCGACCACCCAAGAGCAAGCTTGTCTGACAGATGCGAGGCAAAGGCGCACACCTGCACACACATTAGCGCAGCGCAAGAGCGGAATTTATCCCGCGGCTGGGGGGAGGGGAGGGGAGGGGAGGGGAGGGGAGGGGAGGGGAGGGGGGGGGGGAGTCAGTTTTGTTGAGGTTGGGGGGAATTTCGATTGGCGCGAGGGCAGATGGGGAAAACTAGCCACCAGTGAGCGATGCCCCTGCGCCTCCGCGAAGAGGGTGGTTGGTTGGTGGTGGGTTCTGTTGCTGTCCCTCCACAGACTGGCTGTCGGCACTGTGGATGACAAAACTACGCTTCACCGTATCCATATGTTGTACATATAATATAATTTCCTTACAAATGACACTCCCTTATTTCCTAAACTTACACAAAATACAATGCACGCAAGCTAGCTTCCAAACCGAAAGAGGTGGAAGTCTATGACCCCACGGTGAAAATAAAAAATTAAAAAATTGCAGCGCTGCATGCTGCACTATGTCGTGCACCATGCTCCATGTGGAGTGGAGGGTTAGTAACCACATCTGGCTTGTCGAGGTTAGCAGTGAGGAAACACAAGACCTCGTAACAGAGCTGCCTTGAGCAGCCTAGGTAGATCTGCGAGGCGTGGTGACGATGCACATATTCATCTTTCCGCCAGGAAAAACGCCTCCTGCATGTGGGGTAAAACCGCTTCTTCCCATTCAGTAAACCCGAAACCCCGGAGGCTCCACAGCATATTGGCCGCCTCCACCCATCATCCCACCGCGCATCACCCCACCACCACCACCGCCGCCACCACCTCTACCTTCCCCACCCATCCCTCGGCTACTGTCCCCATAGTCCTCATAGTACCTGCCGCTACCAGCAGCAGCAGCAACACCACCACTAGCGATATGACTCTGGGTAGCCGGGTAAGTGCCCCTTCTGTATAAGGGGGAGGATGGTGAAGGGCGGTGGTGGGGGAGGGAGTGAGTAGGAGGAGAACAGGGAGAGTAGAAGGGAGGTATTCTCAGGAAGGGGATAGGGTTGGTTGGCAGACGAGTAGTGGGTGAGGGCGCATAGAGTGATAGGTAGTGGGGAGCAAACTGTGACAAATGCATAATGTGATTGATAAAGCAACAGGCATACATGGCGTAGAAGAGAGCAGTAACCAAAGAAGTTACACCTGCAACACACATACCATTAAAGCAACAAACCCACATGCCCCCTACCTGCCAATCTCAGCTAGCTGGTGAGGAGAGGCGGGTGGAGAGGCAGACTCAGCCACGGAGCCAGAGCGGGAGAGAACTGGAGGGGGGGAGGTGGGGGAGGGAGGGGCGGGGGAAGGGGGCGGTCTGAGTCTACTCAAAAGCTAGCTGGTGAGGAGAGGCGGGTGGAGAGGTAGATTCAGCCACGGAGCCAGAATGGGAGAGAACTGGAGGGGGTGGTGGAAGGGGGAGGGGGGGGAGGAGGAGGCGGTCTGATTCCACTCAAAAGCTAGCTGGTGAGATGGGAAATGAGCAATATGAAAACGGAAGAAACGCGAGAGAGGAGAAAAACGAGAAAACCTTTCGACAACCGTGCTCCGCCCTTCATGCCCCTTGTGCCCCGTGTGCCCTGAGTGCCCCTTGTGCCCCGTGTGCCCCTTGAGCCCCTTGTGCCCCTTGAGCCCCTTGTGCCCCTTGAGCCCCTTGTGCCCCTTGTGCCCCTTGTGCTCCTTGAACCCCATGTGTCTTGTTTCAACCCCTCACCTGCTCCAGCAGAGTTGCTTTGGCTGACAGATACCGACTTGTCCTGTGGGGGAAGAGAGACGGGGGAGAGGGGAGAGGGGAGAGGAAGCGGCGGAGGAGGGGGGTGAGGTGGGGTGGTTTTTGAGTCGATTCAGAAGCCCCCGCACCTGCTCCAGCAGAGTTGCTTTGGCTGACAGACACCGACTTGTCCTGTGGGAGAAGAGAGACTGGGAACGACGGGAGGGGGAAGGAGAGAGGAGAGAGGTGGAGGAGGGGAGGGGGGGACGGAGGAGGGGGGGGGTTGGGTTGGGGGGGGGGGGGTAATTTCAATCATTTACAAGTACTCTGGAACTTCAGGGCGGTTTCGGGTTTAGTTTTTAGGGTTTAGCTACTATCCCGTTTCTTGTGTGGTACGGAGGGAAGTAGTTTAGGGCACGGGACATCGGTGGCATAACACCAAAATCCGAACCATTTCGTATTTTAGGGCAGTACGAACCACTCCAGAGATGGTTCGAACCACCTGCCGAACCAGGCAGTTTTGAGGCGCCTCAAAACCTGCCGAACCAGGCAGTTTCAGAGGTTCCAAGCTGGGACGTTCCAACTTTGAAATTCAAACCCATCACTTCAATTCGTGCGAAACCTGAGTCAATTCGCCAGCAGTCGAAATTCGCGAACAACCAGCGGCTACATGACAGTTTTTTTCGCAGTAGGCTTTCGTGATTTCGCCGACGCCAAAAGGCTGGCAGTTCATACGTAGCGGAGTGGCCGTTCGAACTGGTAAATTCGTCACGCATGTCCCATCGCCGCTATGAATTTGGGCGAGAAATTTTGTCGACATGCGAAATGTCCTCGCGAATTTTGCGAAAACCGTAACCACCTCGAAATCATACCGTTTTCGAAATAACGAATTGGAGGACCCGCGCCCTTAGTTTTGAGACGTCTCAAAACCATTAATTTCAGTCATCTACAAGTACTCTGGAACTTCAGTTACTATACCGTGGTAGGGAGGGAAGGAGGCAGGGAGGACGGGAGTGAGACAGGGGAAGGGAGGATGGGGAGAGGGATAGATAAGATAGCATGGGTTTCGTACTGAACAAAACGCATGGTGCACGGATACATGGACACCAAGCAAGCATGCATGCATGGTGCATGGACGCACAGGCGTTCCAGACTTACAGTTACAGATCGCCAGGACATGGAGCCGGCTGGATGCGAGGACTTGACAGGCACAGACGCGGAAAGGTCTTGACTCGACTAGAAAAGAGAGATGCACGAAGGTCTGACTTACAGATCGAAGCCAACTGGATGTGAAGACTTGACACTGTCAACTTGATAGAGGAAGATGCAGAATGGCTTTGACGCGACTTGAAAAAAAAAGCGGATGCACAAAGGTCTTGACTTAGCGATCGACTGGACATGGGGCCGACTGGATGCATGCAATGAGTTGACAGATGCGGATGCAAACGTGGAATGTCTACTTTTGAGTCGTCTCAAAAGTAGACTACTTAACCACAGATGCGGACGCAAACGCGGAATGTCTACTTTTGAGTCGTCTCAAAAGTAGACTACTTAAACCACAGATGCGGACGCAAAGGAGGAATGCTTTCTACTCGACTAACAAGAAAGAGATGCACATAGGTCCTGACTAACATGACTTGCAGATCGGCTGGACATGACTTACAGATCGGCTGGACATGGAGCCGACTGCATGTGAGGAGTTGACAGATGCGGACGCGGAATGGCGAGCCATGCCTGGGATACAGGGGGTGGTGGGAGGGAGGGGAGCAGTTGAGTTTTGAGACGTCTCAAAACATGCCAGAGATACGGGGGGGTGGTGGGAGGGAGGGGAGCAGTTGAGTTTTGAGACGTCTCAAAACATGCCAGGGATATGGGGGGTGGGAAGGGAGGGGAGCGTGCCAGGGAAGGAAGGAAGGAAGGCTAGGAAGAGATGAGGCGAAACGAAGCAACCGAAAGCATGGTCTGAAGTGACAGAGGCAGATGAGGAATCGAAATGGGGAGGGCATGTGGGCCTTTTCAAAATAACAGGGTGCGTAGGGGAGGGGAGCGCGCAAGGAAAAGCAAGGAAGGCAAGAAAGACAAGGGCAGAGTGAGAGTGAGAGGACGCGACAGGAGAAGGGGCACGGTATGGCTGGTAAAGCATGGCATGGCATGCGATGGCATGGCATGTGATGGCATGGCGTGTGAGGGCATGGCATGTGAGGGCATGGCATGTGATGGCAAGGCATGTGAGGGCATGGCATGTGATGGCATGGCATGTGAGGGCATGGCATGTGATGGCATGGCATGCGATGGCATGGCATGTGATGGCATGGCATGCGATGGCATGGCATGTGATGGCATGGCATGTGATGGCATGGCGTGTGAGGGCATGGCATGTGAGGGCATGGCATGTGATGGCATGGCATGCGATGGCATGGCATGTGATGGCATGGCGTGTGATGGCATGGCGTGGGATGGCATGGCATGCGATGGCATGGCATGTGATGGCATGGCATGTGATGGCATGGCATGTGATGGCATGGCGTGGGACGGCATGGCATGTGATGGCATGGCGTGTGATGGCATGGCATGTGATGGCATGGCGTGTGATGGCATGGCGTGTGATGGCATGGCATGTGATGGCATGGCGTGTGATGGCATGGCATGTGATGGCATGGCATGTGATGGCATGGCATGTGATGGCATGGCATGTGATGGCATGGCATGTGATGGCATGGCATGTGATGGCATGGCATGTGATGGCATGGCATGTGATGGCATGGCATGTCCTAAGGGGGAATGAAGCGTGGACATCCCACCTAGTAATTGGCTTCCATATCTTTGCAACGTGGCCAGCTTACTACCCCCACCTCCCCCTCCTCCTCCCCCTCCACCTCCCTTGACATCAGCCGGCACCTGATTCCGGCCTACACTCTTCGACCCACCCAACTTCCGAGAGAAAAAGCCTCTCTTTTCCGACTTGCCCCCTCCTCCTCCTGTTCCTCCTCCTGCTGCGGCGTCGGCTCCTGTGTCTCCATACCCCCCCACTCCTCCTCCTCCCCCATCTGCCCTTTCTGTGAACCCTTGCTCGTGCTGCTGAAACTGCTGTTGCTGCTGGTACTGCTGCTGCTGATATTGCTGCTGTTGATACTGCTGCTGCTGCTGCTGTTGCTGCTGATACTGCTGCTGCTGCTGCTGCTGTTGCTGTTGCTGGTACTGCTGCTGGGGAGGGTACTGTCCATGATATTGTTGCCCCTGGTACATCTGCCCCTCGTACTGCTGCTGCGACTGCTGGGTGGCTTGTGGCCCTTGCATGGCCCTCGCACCTACTTGCCCACCCAAGGAAGGGTGCATGGGGGAGTGCAGGGGCGAGTGCAGGGGGGAGCGCAGAGGGGAGCGTGGAGGTGGCTGCTGGGGGAGGTGTGATTGTGCCTGCAAGTGTGCCTGTGACTGTGACTGTAGGTGAAGCGGAGACCCTGGTGCTTGCTGGAAAGGCCCTGCCCTACCGTTCTGACTACCTCCCTGCTCATATCCGCCTGATACGCCTTGGGAATAACCCTGCGACCCCCCTGCTTGCTGCAACCCCCCCACCTGTGGCAATGCCTGCTGCAGCGGTTGCTGCTGTGTATGGGGAGGCGTTTTCTGGCCCGGCTGGTGCCACTTACGCACCTGCCCCCCCTGCCTTTGCCCCTGCCCAACTCCCTGCCCCTGCCCCACTCCCTGCCCCTGCCCCATCCCCTGCCCCATTCCCTGCCCCATCCCCTGTGCCTGCGCTTGCCCTTGGTTGATAGGGGCGTGGAGTGGGCTGGGGAGCATGTGGGGGCTGAGAGGCTCCATGTCTTGCGGGCTCTGTTGGATCCTGGGACTCAGCTGGGTGGTGGGACTCAACAGCTGGTGCGGTTGCTGCTGCAGCTGGGGTTGCTGCTGGTGTTGCTGCTGCTGTTGCTGTTGGTGCTGCTGTTGTTGCTGCTGCTGCACCTGCGGCTGTGGCTGGTACAGTTTTGGAACTGGAACCCCCTGCTGCTGCTGCTGCTGCTGCTGCTGCAGCTGCTGCTCGGGAGTCACATACGCCTGCCCCTGACCCTGTGGTAACAACGCTGGGTGCAGGGGCGAGGCAACAGCACGGGGCACAGGCTGCAGGAGGGCTTGACTGGGGTTAGAGAGCCCAAGGGCACTGGTAAGCGCGCTGCTGGTGGTGGTGGTGGTGGTGTTGAGCTGGGAGGGCGTGGTGATGGGCACGACGGGACCCGTGTTAGCAGTGGCGGCGGAGGAGGAGGATTTGGGCTTCTTAGGCGTGTAGGGGAGGGTCACTCCCTTCTGCTCGGGGCGGGGGGAGAATGGGAGAAGGGGGAGAGAGGGAGAGGAAGAATGGAGATTAGGCGGGGAGTGGGGGTGAGGGGAAGTGAGCGAAGAGCACGCCTGCAAGAAAGGGCGCTCCTGGTGGTGGTGTTGCTGTTGAGCTGCGAGGGCGTGGTGATGGGCACGACGGGACCCGTGCTGGCAGTGGCGGAGGAGCAGGAGGAGGAGGAGGATTTGGGCTTCTTGGGCGTGTAGGGGAGGGTCACTCCCTTTTGCTCAGGGCGGGAGAAAACGGAGTATTGGGAAGGAATAAGAGATGGTGATGGGCACAGTGGGGGCTGTGCTGGCAGTGGGAGGAGGAGGGAGGAGGATTTAGGCTTCTCGGGCATGTATGGGAGGGTCGATCCCTTTTGCTTAGGAGGGGAGGGAATAGAAGGTGGGTGGCTGGGATGAGGTAAGGGTTGGAACTTGCAACCACGCTGGTGTTTGTAACCTGTACCCTGTAGCACACCACCCTCACACTGTCCCGCCCATGGGCAGAGCATGCAGTCACCAGGTCGACTGCGGTACTCTAACAGCGCCCGCCATGTTTCCTCGTGCGCTGCCATGCCCCTTTCTCTCACCACATCCCCTGCCTAACCAGGAAGAAGGGATGCTGCAGCGCCTACGCGGCTGTGGGGCGCCTGGCAGGGTCCCAGGCATAGAGGGTGTGTAGTCACCAGTTCAACTGCAGCACTCTACCAATACCTGCCATATCTCCCCATGTACTGCCAAGCCCCTCTAGCACATGCAGCCCCGCTCTTCTCACCAGGAAGAAGGGATGCTGCAGCGCCTGCGCGGCCGTGGGGCGCCTGGCAGGGTCCCAGGCACAGAGGGCCGTCACCAGATCGACTGCCTCGTCTGACGCTATGGGCATGATTTGGGAGAGCGGGATGGGCGAATACTGGGAGGGGGAAGGGGGTGGGTGGGAGGGGGAGGCAGGGGAGGGAGGGGGAAAGGGGGGGAGGAAGAGAGGAAGGTCAGATGGCTTGTTTTGTCGGACGGCATGGGCATGGGCATTACAGGGGAAGCAGTTGCCTTCAGGGCAGAAAGCAGCAATCAGGCCCACAAGTTGTGAAATGGTGTGGCATGGCGAGGAGGGATGGCATGGCATGGCAAGGAGAGATGGCATGGCATAGCATGGCAAGGAGGGATGGCATGGGTGAAGACGAAATTGGCATGGCATGGCCCCACATGCACACCTCAGGGAAGCGAAAGTTCATGGAAGCTGCGAGGCGGAGGCCCTGCGGCCATGTCTTGGGGGTTGGCGAGCCAATCACAGCGCAGATCTTCAGAATCTCATCGATCTCACTGGTGTGGGCAAAAGAAAAAAAAAGAAAGGAAGAAGAATATGGGGAGGGGAGAGGGAGAAGAAGGGGGAGGGGGGGGAAGGGTGCGGGAAGAGGCAGGGGGAAAAAGGGCGGACCGGAGAAAGGGGGCATTTTGGCGAGAAGGATGAGAAAGGGTGGTGCGACAGCCTACAGGACAAGCGTGAGACGGTGAGACTACACTTGAGGCGCCTAAGAAATGAAAGAATGACCATCCGTCTGATGAAGATGTAGACGCGCGGATGTGGGGTGGAGAGAGTTGGGGGGGGGGGGGGGGGGGTGGTGAGGGGGTGGGGGTGGGGGTGGGGAGACCAAGCATAAACTTAAAGCGGACAAGGAGGCGCCAATCCAGCGGATATGCGAGTACTCGCATATGCTGGTACTCGCATATACGCTGGAGCCGTAAACTTTTGGGTGGTCCCATGACTGCTAGTCGCATTACCTTGCTCCAGGGAAGAGCGGCTCGAGGGAGAATAGTTCCGCCATGATTGCTCCTATTGCCCACATGTCTGCATGGGTACAAGCGCACATACACACATGCACATACACATGCACATGCACATGCACACAGAAATGCGTGGATACATGCACAGATACGCACATGCATGCGCACACACACACACACATGCACATGCATACATCCAGACGTGCATGCAAGCACACTCACAGCCACACATTCAGACATGACACGACCATGCAGGCATACTCGTACGTGCACAAGCAGACAAACACACGTGCACACCAGCGCATGTGTACACATGTGTACCCAATGCGCCATGAACAGACGTCATGCCATGCCATGCCATGCCATTACCATGCCATTACCATGCCATTACCATGCAATCACACAATCCACAGTGGAATGGAGAAAAGGCTTCGGCCATTGCCAACCGGACAGCCATGCAAACAAGTGCTGCCCCCCCGGAAAAAAACAACGAGAAGACTCTGCGCCCCGGGAAAAAATAAAGGCGCCATACTAAAAGTCGCAAGGAAGCTTTGCTGCCAAGCTAGGAAAGCGCCGTACCTATTGGGGCGTTGTAAACGGTCGACTGGAGTAGCACCTCTGGCGCTCGGTACCTGAGATGTAAGAGAGCGGGCGGGACAGGTAGGTGGGCCAAGAGGAAATGCTTCATACATAATAGATACTTCATTGGAAAATGCGCGAGTCTATTTTTGAGGCGCCTAAAAAAAAGCTTCATACATAATAGACACTTCATCGGAAAATCACACTGTCACTAGAAATGGTCAAAAGAAATCGCATCGCATCGCCTGTCACCATCTGGTTGACACATAGTCTGAGTATGGAGGCTGGGACTTCATCTCCCCATCACAGCAGCCCAGCTTTAATCAACATTATTTTAATCAGAGAACCACACACCCACTATCCGGTTGACTTTTTTTTTTTTTTTTTTTTTTTTTTTTTTTTTTTTTGGGCTTTTAAGGAGATCCCAGGAGGAAACCAGGCCCCCTTTCCCACGCCGATCCGTCTGCGAGCCCCGGGGGAAACCCCCCAGCGCCCGAGACTTCACCCGTGTTGCGGAGGGTAGGCGGTCCGGGCTGGCAGTACCCAGCATGTGCGGTGCTCCGCTAAAACCCCGCACCGATCACCGTTGAAGCGCGTGCCCCGTGTCGGGGACAGCCGTACCCAGACGGGCATTGGCATCAGAGGGAGAGGTAACACGTAACCCCCACAGTCGGCACTGATGCCGAGGCATGTACCACTGGAGGTAGCGCGCCGCCAGGACGAATCCCGGCGTCGGTCCCCCAGAGGCAGTCCGCCTCGACCCCCGTTGCGAGAGACTATCCGGTTGACACATACACCACCCACACACCACCATCAACCACCACCCACCACCAACCCACCACCCACCACCTATCACCCACCCACCACCCAACGACCACCCACCATCTGGTTGACACATAGTCAGTGTACGGAGGCCTAGACTTGATCTCCCTTGCGAGGCCGAAATCAGCCACCTTGATTAGGTCCTTGGTCACTAGAAGGTTCTCTGAACGCACACAAAAAGAAGGGGATTGAGAGGAATGGTGGGAGCGACGATGAGACTGAGGCACACAATAGTACAGGTACCACCTACTTCAGTCCCACCTGCCTTGAATAACACCTGCCTTGAGTTCCGCCTCACCTGGCTTTGCGGTGGAAATACCCATGCTTGTGCATGTGGGCCAATCCCTTCACATAATCGTAGGCACCACCTCCTTTCAGTCCCACCTGCCTTGAATAACACCTGCCTTGAGTTCCGCCTCACCTGGCTTGAGGTCGCGGTGGAAATACCCATGCTTGTGCATGTGAGCCAGCCCTAGAAGCACCTGGAGGCGCAAAGGGGACAACGTGACCATGGGGCAAATGGAAAGGAGACAATGTGACCATGGGGCAAATGGAACGAAGACAACGTGACCATGGGGCAAATGGAAAGGAGACAATGTGACCATGGGGCAAATGGAACGAAGACAACGTGACCATGGGGCAAATGGAACGAAGACAACGTGACCATGGGGCAAATGGAACGAAGACAACGTGACCATGGGGCAAATGGAACGAAGACAACGTGACCATGGGGCAAATGGAACGAAGACAACGTGACCATGGGGCAAATGGAAAGGAGACAATGTGACCATGGGGCAAATGGAACGAAGACAATGTGACCATGGGGCAAATGGAACGAAGACAACGTGACCATGGGGCAAATGGAAAGGAGAGAGAAAAATCAGATGCTTCTAGAAGTGCCTTGCCCCCCAACCCAAGTACTCGAATCGCCATCACACAGCATCGCACGTGCATTCACCATTCGTGCTACAACGACCACGCTTGCATCAACCACCATGCATGCTACATGCACCATGCGTGCTACATGCACCATGCATGCTACATGCACCATGCATGCTACATGCACCAAGCATGCTTCATGGACCATGCGTGCTGCGTCGACCTTACCTGGTACATCCAGTTTCGGATGGTAGACTCTTGAAAGTACGTCTCTCTGTCCTTCATCAGGTGGTAGAGATTGCACTCCTGCACTCACTCACACACACACACACTCACACACACACACACACACACTCACACACACTCACACACACACACACACACACACACACACACACACACACACACACACACACACACACGCACAGAGCGGAGAGAAGATGAGACCATTCAGGTGAGCTGACGTTGCTGACATTGCTAGCCCTGTCGGTCCCGTCGCCGCTGCTGACATTCCCTTGTCCTCAGCCCTGATGAGCTTGAGTTCACCAACCATGAGGTCGAGGCGAAGAAGAGCTCATGGCACTGAGAGCAAAGAGCTCTCAGTGCCCTCGGATTCGGACGGCATGCTCTGATCTGACGGCTCCCCAAGACACCCTACAAACCATGGACTTCGATATCCTCGGTTTGTTACAGCTTGGAAATCTCCTAGCAAGATTTGTTCTCAGTGCCCTCGGACTCGGACTCGGATGACATGCACTGATCTGACGGTGCTGAGGATGAGAGTGGGAGAGCAGCTAAGCGCGCCTTCTCCGTGCGCGCCTTCTCCGTGCGCGCCTTCTCAGTGCGCGCCTTCTCCCCGCCCATCATTTCATACCAAGCACTTGCCTTTCCCCATCCCCCCTCTCTCCATCTTCTCTTTCCCAATCGCTTGACACCTCCTCCCCCCCGTCCCCTCAGTAACCAACCCCCTTTTGAGTCGACTCAAAACCCCCCTATACCCCATGGACTCACCATGTGTTTTTTAGTCGACTCAAAAGTTACCAACCCCCCTATACCCCATGGACTCACCATGTATTCGAAAATAAAAAAGAGCTCGTTGTTCTCTCGAATGACCTCCTTAAGTCGCACTATGTTGGGGTGGTTCAGCTTGCGCAAGGACTGGAGGTCGGGGATAGAAGGAGAGAGGGAAAAAAGGGGGAGGGGGAGAGAAGGGACTAGATGACCTCCTTCAGTCGCGCTCTGTTGGGGTGATTCAGCTTGCACAAGGACTGGAGGGGGGAGAGCGGGGGGGCGGGGGTAAAAGGAGGGGAGGTGAAATACATGGGAGGGGAAGAGAGGTGGCTTGGTCTCCTGGAACTGGAACCAGCATAATGTTCGGGTGATTCAGTCAGCTTTTGCTATGCATGGACTGTGAGCAGGCAGGGAAGATAGGAAAGGGGCACACGCACGCCAGAAAGGGATACACTGGGTTCCAGAAGATCCTCCTCACAAAGCTTTTTTTCAAGGTCCTATTAAAAACACACGGGTTGCATCTTGCACAGCAGCAGCACCCCCCGTCTTGGCCTACCCGATTCCCAGTAGCAGCCAGCCTCCTCCCCGCTTCTCCCCCAGCCCCTTTCACCCGAACCCCCCTTTCCCACATTCCTCGCCCACTACCTTCACGCTTCGCCCCAGAACTCCTCGCTTCTACCCCTCCCTCCTCACTTCCCCCTCTCCCTCCACGCTTCCCCCCCTCCCTCCTCGCTTCCCCCCCTCCCTCCTCGCTTCCCCCCCTCCCTCCTCGCTTCCCCCTCTCCCTCCTCGCTTCCCCCTCTCCCTCCTCGCTTCCCCCTCTCCCTCCTCGCTTCCCCCCCTCCCTCCTCGCTTCCCTCTCTCCCTCCTCGCTTCCCCCCCTCCCTCCTCGCTTTCCCCCCTCCCTCCTCCCTTCCCCCCCTCCCTCCTCGCTTCCCCCCCTCCCTCCTCGCTCCTCGCTCCGCGCTGATTCCGTCCTCCTTACCTTGACTTCTCGCAAGCTCATGCACTCGTCCCAGGAGTAAAACTTTCGCTTCATCTTCTTGACCGCAACCTGGGGAGGAAAAGGAGAGAGGGGGGGAGAGGGGAGGGGGGGGGGAAGGGGGGGGGAGGGGGAGGGAGGGAGGGGGGAAGGGAGGGGAAAGAGGAGGGGGAAAAAGGGAAGAGAGGAGACAAGTCGTAAAAAGGGGCGGAATTTTTAGAACTCCCAAAAATCACCGGCAAGGAAACTGGAGCTTGCGAATCATTTTCGTGACCCCCACATGTGGGCTATTGAGTCGATTCAAATCCTAAACTTGGTACAAGGAGCAAAAAGGGATGAAATGCGGCAGGCAAAATTCCCACACACTCTTACTCGAATGTGGCTTTTTCCCCTCCCCTCCTGCCCCCCCTTTAGCGTACAGACCAGTACACCACCAATCTCAAGGCAGTACTCACGATCTCGTTAGTGTGCAGGTTGAGCGCCTTCCAGACGGTCCCGTAGGTGCCGTCTCCGAGCTGCTTCATCACCTTGTACCTGAGTGGGGGAAGGCGGTAACGGGACGGCATGGGTCATCATGATTCCTCTATTTTGAGGTTGCTTCGTGTCCCCGAGCTGCTTCATCACCTTGTACCTGCGACTATTTTTTAGGCGCCTAAAAAATAGACGTATCATCATGTGCCTGCGTTCGAAACAGAATTGGAGGTGAAAAAAAAAGGGCAACAATAGAAAAAAAAAAAGCGATAATGAGGCCTAGATAATGGTCCGCCGCCTCTAACATGTGACGCTAGCGCATCGAGCGAATTTTATTATTATTATTATGCGAAACAAACACGAGCTGCTTCATCTGGTTGCAAGAACTAAGTTGGCGGCCGAGCCTGTCATATCTGGTCAGCTGCTACTGCGACTGTTGCTACTGCGACGTTTGCTGCTGCGACAGCACATTCCTGGTGACATTTCCCGTTCCGCGACTCTTTTCAGTTCTGTCGACCCTTCTGCGACCCTTGCTGTTCCGTCAGTCGAACCTTTCTGTTCCGTCGATCCTTACTGCTCCGTCAATCGGCTCTTTCTGTTCCGTCGACCCTTGCTGTTCCGTCAGTCGACCCTTTCTGTTCCGTCAACCCTTGCTGTTCCGTCGGCCCTTGCTGTCAGTCGACACTTCCTGTCCCAGTAATCTGTTCCCGCCTCCCGGCATTTCTGATGTCCCGAGGTCGTTATCGCACTATCTACTGCCGGACCTGCTATTAACGAGTACTATTCCACGGCCGATACTAACGCGTCAACAACCTTCTACGACTAGCGCGGTTTCTTCTTGGACGGGAACGACCTACAGCTAGCTATTCGACCAAAACCCGAGAACAGCCAAAGAACCTGCAAAGGAGCCGGGTCCGATGTCAGGGGACGCAGCGAGTCGGGTCAGATGCTGGGAGCAGCAACAACGCGTATGAATCACGACTCCGTTTTAGTATGAGTTGCGTCAGGCGGAGATGCTGCAGAAATCGGCGCACTCACATACCGCCGATTTCTATTTTTGAGGCTCCTAAAAAAGTTCTGCCTAGGTTGCGCCAGCTAAGGGTGCACATGCTACTCACTTCCCCCGTCTCCGTCTACCCCTACGTGGGTGTCATTTGAGAGGACTCATGAGTCACCTTAGACTCGCTACTTAGTACTTACCGCCGTTTCCGTCCAACCTTGGTGATTCGAGTCCACTCAACACTTCGAGGCGTTACTTACTTCTCGCCGTTTTTGTCCAAGTTAAATGATTTCAAGTCGACTCAGTAATCACCTGCTACTCGCTCACCACCGATTCCGCCCAGACCTACCTGGGTGAGCTTTAGTCGAGCCATGAATCACCTCGGACGTGCTATTTGCTTACCACCGTTTCCGTCCAACCTACCTCGCACAAAGGCCATCGTCTACCATTCCCCCACGTGTCCCTAACCCAGCCTGGATTGATTCCGGCATAACTGATCACGCGAGCAAGCGCAGGAACGAGAAACGGATAAGGAAGGAGGGAAATGAACCCGATGTGTAATGAGTCCATTTTTGAGTCGACTCAAAAATAGACTCATTACAAACGGATAAGGAAGGAGTGAAATAAACCCGATGAGCCACGGACCTGTTCATGGCGCCTGGTAGTTGCCTTTCTGCTAGAAGCCGCTTTTCTGACGTGATTCGAGGAGAAGTCTAGGAAATTAGGGTAGGGGAAGACTAGGAGATTCGAAGATGAAGGCGGGTGGGAGATTGGTGCTGATGAAACGACTCTACCAACTGCTAATAATTATCTCCTAGCAAATTGGCGGGAACTGTACAGGCGAATCTCCATTAAGACGAGGATGCTGCGACTAGTATCCTGGAGTTAGCGAACAGGAGTCACAGCTTCGGGCGAAGATTTTATTTGACCTACGTTGTTACAGTATGTCAGTTACTAAAGGGTACGAATAACCTTCAGTGGAGTAGATCGCTGGAGTTGTACCCCACTGAAAATGACGGACGAGACTGATAAGAGGATCAACGGATTGATTGATACGCTAGTGAATTGAATGACAGCCTTAGTCGAAATGGGCGGAATGGTATGTACAGCGAATGTTAGTGGTGCGCTGGAGCAGAAGCCTGCAAAACTTCGGCACACAACAGGAACCTCTAAGAATGATCGACCTTCTTATGATGTAAGTGAAACGGCGTCACGTCACGCTAATCTCGATATGACGGCAGCCGCCTGATTTTCTATCTACACTGCAGCTGATAGGAGAACTGGAAGGGTCAGTGGCCGAACGTGGGGAATGCCGAGCGGGCCGAGGACAACACGCACTTAGGGAACTGCGCGAACAAGCAAAAGAAGAAGCGCTTGTCTGGCTGCTGTGAGGCAATTAGCTGGTGCTAGGAGGTCTCTAGGTCATGGTAAGTAGGAGGGTGTGGGGGAAGAAGGGGGGAGCCAGGTTGGCTTGGCTCCCCAGGTTTGCGGGTTTCCCCAACCGCCAGAAGGCCCTGGCGGTAGGCGGTAGCGCAAACCTCACGTCTATGGGGCGGAGGTGCTGCAGAACAGAGGTGCTGCGGAGCGAGTGATCCGGCGTCGGCTCGGCAGTGTCGCTGATGATTGGTTTGGCTGGACGTGGTTTGTAAGGGCAGCCTTGCGGTCAACTACCAGGTACTTGGTGGCTTGGAGCATGACGAGCGTCAGGTAGAGGCTCGTGGCGAGGCATGGAAAGTAGCCTCGTACCTTGGGCTTTGGTTGTGAACACTTGTTCCTAACAGCACCACAGCCGAGCCTGAGGTTCGCTGGATCAAACCACTTTTCGTACCTAATGGTTCTGCAAAGCTCGATCTTCAAGTGACGGTGAGCCCAAACATTTGTCATGTGGGAAGGGGATTCAGCTACTCTAGCACTTTCCCTCAAGAATTTCGAGAATCTACCCCAACGGAGTCGGTAAACCTCCGTGAAACAAGGGGGTGTAGCTGAATGATAGTGCTGTGCGGGTACAGTATAGCGCCGCCTAAAAATGATACAGTAGTGGTATCGAGTGGAACAAAGGTGAAGGTTGGAAACATTGGAAGGTGAAGGGGATGATCAGGACCAGGGCTTATTTTCAAGAAAAACTACCCGAAAAATAACGGGTGGCTTTTCGTCCCATTCCGGATTCTGATGTGTTCGTATTCCATGGAACCGGATTCTGACGTGTTCGTTTTTAACAGTACTGTACCCGTGAAGTGACGTGTTCGTTTTGCGAAGTACCCTGATTTGACGGGTGAGCCTCTGGCACAAACGGATCTTAGGTCTTAAAAATCTCCCTACCCCTACCCCTCAACTCTTCCCCCACACCCTCCCTCTTCCCCCGCGCCCACCCCAACCCCCCTCGCCAACTCCATTTTCCCTCCAATAAACACGAAATCACATTAGATTGGACGGCGGTTCATAAGAGTGAGAAAAGAAACTGAGTTACGTAAGTGAAGTCTGTGTGTTTCGACACACAGAACCATTCAACTGGAACATTCTGACGCTACCAAAATCTCCCGGATCTGACCTACTGTTTTTGTTCCCACCCGGATTCTGAAGTGTGAATTTGAAGGTACACGCGTGAGATCCGGGATTCCCATGACGGGTACCCGGATCTGCCGTGAGGGCAAAAACCCAAAGGTAAGCCCTGATCAGCTCCTCGAGTTATGGGCCAGTGCAGAGTCCTGATTTGTGTATACAGTACACTGTGTGCTGTAGGGGGTTTGTGCGTGCGTGTCGCATCTTGGCATTCAATTTTCCAGACTGTTGCTGGATGGATCTAACAAACACCCCCCACAGTTGCTAGGGGGTTTGTAGCCTCGGGTTTGCCCCCCCATCGGGCAATATGATCCGGCAAGAAGATTCGGCATATCCCAACACTCCGTTATTGCAATGTAGCCAGTTCATTAATAGGAACCATTCTCTAGCCCACGCACATGCACATTTCTATGTAGGAGAGGAATTCATATGTGAATGTTTCACAATATATTATGCAACCCTTTTTTTTCTAAACAAGCGCCAAAAAACATTGCTATATCAGGTGTGTTATGATGCGTATAAGAGGATTGCTTTGAGGCTACAGGTCATATTCGAACAGAGCAAGCTCCAAGTTTATTGGAATTTGCTCTGTTAGAGGGGAGGCTGTGCGACGCAAGCGTTTTTGCACTTAGTGTGTTGTGGCGCTGTCTGTAGTGTTCTGTACATGGTCAGTGCCCTTGTCGTATGCTGTGACGGGAAGTCGCTGGCATTCTCACACATGTTTGAGCAACGCTACATGGGTGGGTTGCAAACCCCAGAACGGAAACCACTCAACACATCAGAAACAAGAAACAGCAGGTATTTGCATAAGTATGTACAGCTGTAATTGGCCGATATCATATCGTTAGAGTCGCGAAGCACAGTAAAATATCAAAATTGGTGTAGGGAATGCAAAACATTAAAACCCATTGAGTATTTATAAAACGAGACCTCATAGGACCTCACGTCTGAATCATACAGTTACGTGCACTGCACAGAATTTCTGTCTGCATTCGATGCGGTGCCGATAGGTTCGTTACGATTCTGACGCGATGTCGAGTTCGACGTGAGCTGTAGAACAGGCTGCGCGTTACATCGCCCCTCTGGGCAATGGTTCGCCGAATTTCAGGTTAGGGGGGTGTACAGATTCGCGTATGCTTCCAGCTTTGGCTCCTAGTCTATATGGTTTGGAAAAAACAAATGGAATTAACTGTCTTCCTTCGATTGGTTACTGATTTAATCAACGTCAATATGTGGATCAAATTTGCATCAATGGTTTGGGAAGGGGTATCAAAGTTAACGAATGAAAGAGAGTTGATAATAGAAGAGAGAGGGATACAATGAGGGGTGTTGTACCATCTATAATAATTTTCAGCAATACTTACTAAGCCTACAATTATATAACATATATATAATTTAACACACCCCCTAGGCTTGGTAGTAGAAGAACCCACACACACCCACACCCCCTAACCTAGCACCCCCAATTCCCAACAGTAGCCATGACTACTCTGGCATGGCCAACCCTACGGCTCAGGAGATGGCGAAGGCGGCAGCGGCGGCAGTGACGATAGCGGCAGCGTGCGGTGGTAACAGGCCAGCGGCGATAGTGGCGGCGGCGGCGGCTTCGACGACAGCGGCGTCGGCAGCGGCGCCCGCCCTCTCGGCGGCGTGGCCACGCTCCGCGACGATGGGGAAGACCCTTACGAGTCGGACGTCGGCTGTGGCGAGGAGGAGGGGACGAAGGGGAAAAGGGGGGCGGGGGGGTGAGGGGGGGGGAGGGCGTGGTCCAGCATCACGCCCGTGGCTGGCGTGCGGGCGTCAGGACCGGCGGTGCCTAAAACGGAGCGGTGGCCGCTGCCGACCGTGCTGTACGCGCTTTGGCAGCACGTCGTCACGGCAACACGACGGCGCCGTCACGCCGCCACGGCTCGACGTCAACGACGCCGCCACGGCAGTGCGACGCCACGGCAGCGCATCGAAACGGTCGCGGCAGCAAGACGCGGCCGATGCCACGACGACGCCGCCACTGTAGCACGACGCGATCGTTATGGCAGCACGAGTGGGAGAGGAGTGCACGGCGGAACCGTGAGGAGTAGGCCCGGGAAGGGCAACCTGCTCTGTTACCATGTCACGAGAGCTAGGTAGCTAGGAAGCCATGAAAATGACGAGAGGGTTTAGCTAGGAGAAAAAGGTACGAGAAAAAAGAGATCGAGAATATAAGAGAGAGATACAAGAAGGGGTGTTGTACTCTTTAAGGTAAGTTTCAGTAACACCTACCAAGCCTACAATTATGTAACATATATATAATTTAACAAGGGGAGCATGAGTGGGTCGTGGAGATCGCCGACAAATGAGACGCGGTCTTGACCATATCGTATACGATTATACGATTGGTGGAACACCTAACAGGCTGCGTACTTGGGAGTTGCTGTTATCGAATAGTTGCCATGTGCGAATGTTTGCCTTAGGTGTCGTTGCACTAGTACCACATATTCGACTACTTGTTATGAGAACAAACGAGCCCCTGAAGTCACATCTGAGCTTTGGTGACTCGATTGCTGAGGGTGCATTCTGCGCTCGTGTCATCCGAGCTTCCGGTCATCATTTGCCAGCATTTCAGAACATCAGGTCTTCCGAAATGGGGCGAATGATGACCGGAAACCCGAATGACACGACCGCAGAATGCTTCCTGAGACGGTGTTTTCTGCCGAACCCTGGCAAACTCGTCAGACAGACCGAATTTTCCGTCACAGGGTATAGTATACAGACCGTACACCACCACATCGTCAGATTTTCATCTTTCCCAGTTGGTGGAAACAGTCCTTTGGGCAGCCTGAGCAGATGGACTGGAAAGCTGTCGTGAAGAGAAACTACAGCACTGTACCCAGCCAATCTGATGGACTGAACTCCTGCTCTTCCCACCCAGCCGCCTCCGCCGCCGGAGTGCTGCGTCTGGGTTGAAGCTCCAGCGGCCACACGACCATGGTTCGCACGCTTGACCAAACCAAATCACTCCGCCTGGAGCAGCAGCTACGGATCCAGCCCAAAGCTACCGAACACTTCCGGCCCGTAAGGCGAAAACCACCAAACTCTTGCCGTGGCTAGCAACCGAGGCGGCTAAATCATGTCTTCCGCACCTCCTAGGTCTGGCGCACTCCTCCCAAGCCGTCTGTCCAAGACCGTAACCGAGCCCAGACTTCACAAGCCTCTCTGTTCACCAGATATTGCGCCGCCATTTCAGTCGCGGGGTCTCGTCCCCTGCCACCTATTCCGTCGCATCCAATCCAGTACCACGAGCCTTTCGCATCAAGATTTCCCTCTTGCTTGTAGCTTCGCGAGGTGTCGTGCACCATCGCCACCCGCGTGCCAACCAATTCCGTGCCTCCCAGACCGTGCGAGCCAACCTTGCCGAACCATTACACCAAAACACCGAAGCCAGAGTCCAGCCTCGCACGTCTCAGTCACCATCTCTCCCTGATCTGTGGCTCGGTCAAATCTCCGGGCCGGAGTCATGACGAGGGACTTGCCCCACCGCCTTACCTCAGGCGTCCCTAGCCTTTCAGGTTGCTATGTTCAGGGTTTTTTGGTGGTGCATTCCTCCCCTCCCTCTCTCACAGCCACTTTTGTCAATGCATCTTACAGCTCTACAGTGTATGCATGTACACCAATCAGACGATGTGTTGGCTTGGCTCAGGTAAGCACCCACACCACCACCACCCATATTCCACCATGCTCGCACCACCACCGAACATCACACAGAAACACATCGGGCAGCACCAACAGGGCGACAGACAGACCCCTCCTTCCCTCCCTTCCCCCGAACCTCCCCCTCCGTCCAACCATGCCTTCCTCCCAGCCATGTATTCTACCCCATTTTCTCCTCCAGCCTCGACTTTCCGCATTTTCCTCCGATTTTCCCTCCGTGATCTGCTTGCCGCTGCAACCACCCAGATCAGACGTACAGGCTCCGCAACTGTCGCCAGCTGGAGCACATACTCATGCGTTCACCTACTATGTTTAGCGCGTGAAGTGGACCAATTGCCGATGGTCATGGAAAGAACGGGAGAGGGTCTATGTTGCTAGTGCCGGTCTCGTCACTAAGTTAACCAGTCTCTAGCACGCTACGTAGCCTTTCACTCCTTCACTCCTAGGGCCAACAGTCATGGTTGTGACAGCACGGTGGACAGCACGTTAGGTTGTGACAGCACGTTAGACGCAGTCCTGGTACGTCAGATGAAAGCTCCTTGCTCTGGCCGCTTCTCATTATTCTCGTAGTTATTAGGTTTCGAGCTTCCAGTTTCTCGCTGGAGCTTTCTGCTCTGTAGCTTCCTGAGACTGAACCCTTGCCTCTGCTGTAGCAGCAGGCGTCCTTCGTCGCCCGCTTTTCGGTGCAACTTCACGAGGGATTTTCCCGTTTTGCTTTCTACCATGGCGCTGGTTCAGAAGCCCGTATCGGATCACTCGGAAGACGAGGACAGCGCCTCGAACTGTTCGCTCGATCTCGACACTCGCACGGGTGGTAACCCGTCGCACGCGGACACGGCGACGTCGTCGGCGTCTTCGTCAGCGTCGTCGTCGGAGAACCTGATTTCGCTGCTGCCGGACGACTGCCTGGCGTCCGTGTTCCGCCAGCTGAACCCGGCGGACTTGGCGTCATGCTCGCTCGTCTGCCGTAGATGGATGAGGTGAGACTAACTCCCTTCATATGATTTACAAGGTAGCAGCAAGGTAAGACCGCCATTCGTACAGAAGTTGATACGTTCCATTGACGTTCCGTTGACGTTCCGTTGACGTTCCGTTGACGTTCCGTTGACGTTCCGTTGACGTTCCGTTGACGTTCCGTTGACGTTCCGTTGGCGTTCCGTTGACGTTCCATGGGAGATAGTAGATGAGTTCATGTCTGCTCTAGTGATGATTCTGTTTGTCCATGGCTCCCTTTGATCCGACGGCACCCATTGCACCCATCCCGTCGCGCCTCCCTTGCTCTCGGCTGTGGCTACCTGCGTTCTGGCCCAAACCTTTTGCTGAGGCCCTTTCTGAACCTACTCCCGAACCTGTTTCCGAACCTGTTCCCAAACTTGCTCCCCAAATCGCAGCACGGACTCCGAGTCTCGGTCGAACCTGTCGTTGCGCGCGGCGACGGAGCTGACGCAGCAGCTGCCGCGGCTGTTGGAGCGGTTCTGTGCGGTGCAGAAGCTGGTGCTGAAGTGCGACCGCAACGTGCAGAGCGTCGATGACGCGGCGCTCACGCTAGTTGCGGAGCAGTGCCTGCTGCTGCGGAAACTGAAGCTCAAGAACTGCAAGCAGGTCAGTCTGGTTACCACGTGCTTGTAACGGGACTTTCGATGACGCGGCGCTTACCCTCGTGGCGGAGCAGTGCTTTCTGCTAAGAGAGCTCAAGCTAAAAGCTGCAAGCAGGTTAGTCAGGCTGTGTGGTTACCACGTGCTTGTTACAAAAGTCGACGATGCGGCGCTCACGCTGGTCGCGGAGCAGTGCCTGCTGCTAAGAAAGCTCAAGCTAAAAAACTGCGAGCAGGTCGGTGGGGTGAGCAGGTCAATCCTTTCCCTCAGCCTTCTTTCCAAGTGACTCGTCTGCGTCTCCCCACCTGTCGTCTCCCCACTGTCATTTCTTCCTCTCCCCCCCATCAGGTCACCGACGACGGCATGCAGCGCTTCACCCGTGCGTGCCCGCACCTGCGCAAGTTGTTTGTCGGGGAGGGGGTCTGCTGCTCCCTTAGCAAGATGGATACAATCGCCTGATGTTTACACCTCTTTGCTTTCCCAACCCCCCTTCCCCCTCTCCCTTCCCCCTTCCCCCTTCCCCCTTCCCCCTTCCCCCCTTCCCCCTCTCCCCCTTTCCCCCTTTCCCCCTTTCCCCCTTTCCCCCTTCCCCCTCCCCCCTCCCCCTCATCAGGTCACCGACGAGGGCATGCAGCGCTTCACCCGCGCGTGCCCGCATCTGCGCAAGTTCTCCGTGGGGGGCTGCGGCTTCGGCACGCGCGGACTCAACGCGCTGCTCTCAAACTGCCCGCTGCTGGAAGACCTCACGGTGAAACGGAGGTGCGTTCCCTGCGCCGAGTGAGAACGCGGTTGTATGCTGTTTGAGCCGACGTTTGGAGCGCGCCAAGCAGCGCCACACGGCACGCACGCGCGGACTCTACGCGCTGCTGGGCAACTGCCCGCTGCTGGAAGACCTCACGGTGAAACGGACTCAAAAGTCACGGACTCACGGCACTCACGGCACCTTTTGAGGCTGCTCGACTCAAAAGTCATCTCGTTCCATGCGAAGGCGGGCGGAGGGTGAGCGGAGGGGGTGAGGGCGCGAGCGTGGTGACTTTTGAGTCGACTCAAAAGTCACGGTGAAACGACTTTTGAGGCGCCTCAAAAGGTGACTTTTGAGTCGACTCTAAAGCCACGGTGAAACGGAGGCTGCTCGACTCAAAACTCATCTCGTTCCATACGAAGGCGGGCGGAGGGTGAGCGTGGGGGGCGAGGACGCGAGTCTGCTTTTGAGGGTGAGCGGAGGGGGTGAGGGCGCGAGCGTGCCTATAGCGAAGGCATGCGGGGCGAAGGCGCTGCCCCGTTTCTTGTCCACCCACCCGTTACGCTCGCCTCTCCTCCTTTCTCTCCCTCCCTCCCCCACTCCCCCTCCCCTCTCCTTCCATTCCGCGCTTTTTCTGTCTCTTTCGTTGGCCTCCCCATCCTCACCTCTCTATCCCCGCCCTCCCTCTTCCCCCAATTCTCCCCCCGATTCTCCCCCCCCCCTCCCCCCCCCCCCCCTCCCCCCCGATTCTTCCCCCCCCGTCCTCCCCGCAGCATGAAGCCCCCCGCGGATCGTCCCCTCGAAGCGCTCACCCCCGCCAACCTCAAGCTGCGCCGCCTCTGCCTCAAGGACCAATCAAACTCGCACATCTGGACGCCGCTCCTCGAAGCCTGCGGCAATCTCGAGACGCTTATTCTGGCGCGCAACGGCGGGTACTGGGACCGCGTCTTAGAATCTTCTCTCGGGCAGAAACGCCTGCCCGAGCTCTCGCAGGTGTATCTGGAGCGGGTGCAGCTGACGGACCGCGGGCTGCAGGCCGTGGCGCGCTGCCCGAAGCTCGAGGCGCTCGTGGTGGTTCGCACCCCGGATTGCACGGACGCGGGAATGGCGGCGATTGCGGCGGGATGCACGGGGCTGCGGCGGCTCCACGTGGAAGGGTGGGCGCCGGGGCATATAGGCGACACGGGGTTAGGCGCCATCGCGCGCTGCTGCCGGGATCTGCAGGAGTTAGTTCTCGTGGCGCACTCGTGCACCGCGGCTAGTCTTAAACCGCTCGCGACGAACTGCCGCGGGCTGGAGCGATTAACTCTCTGCTCCTCCTCCGCCATGGGGGATCTAGAAATGGCGTGTCTGGCGTACGGGTGCCCGTCTCTCAGGCGCCTCTGCGTGAAAGGGTGCAGTCGGGTTACCGACCTCGGGATTATCGCGCTCGCGAACGGGTGCCCCTCGCTACAGCGGCTGAAAGTTCGCCGGTGCTTCAATGTTACCCCGTCGTCGCTGGACTTTCTGCAGAAGCAGCGGCCCGGGCTGAGTATCACGCAGGAGCGCACGCGATCCTCCTCGTCCAGGGGGGAGCATTCCGCCCATAGGGGGGAGCATCATGGCGCACACGGCGGCGCAAACGGCGGCGCGCGTGGCGCCGCGAACGGCGCGGCGGGAGGAGGGGTGGTGATTGCGGAGCCGGTTGATGGGTTGATGCTGGGCGGCGGAAGGCGCAGGGCGGGTGGCGCGGGGGGAGAGCACGGCGGAGCGCGTAGGGGCGAAGGCGCAGCAGCGGGGGAGCAACAGCGCTTAGTGCGCGACTTCCCCGGGGTGCACGGGCTGGGGCGCGCGGGCGCAATGGGCGTGGGAGGGGGAGGCGCATTTGGCGGAGGGGGGCAGGGGGGGCGCCACGACGAGGAGTTAACCGCGACGGCCGTGGGGATGCGCTTCCTTGGGGCCATGGGGGGCGGGGGAGGTGGAGGGGGCGGAGGGGTCGGAGGAATGGAGGGCGGACACGCGCATGGGGGAGGGGCGGGCGGAGCTTTAGGGGGGGGAGGATGGGGGGTGGGCGGAGGGACCATGAGTAGGAGCGGCGGAGCGCGCACGCGCTTGGCTATGATGGCAACCACCTTGCGGAGGCTCATAGGCGGAGGAGGCGGAGGAGGCGGGGGAGGGGGAGGTGCAAGCGGAGGGGCAGCAGGTGCGGAAATCGGCGCGGGGGGCAGTAACGGCAGCGGAAGCAACCAGGCAATTACCAGCAGCATGAGCGCCGGCGCTATTCTGGGTGGTTATTTCTTAAACGAAGGTGACAATAACGAGGGAGGAGGAGCAGTTGCAGCAGGAGGGGCCTTAGCTTCTAGCTCCTCCTTCCGCCATGGCTTGGCGATCGGAGGCAATAGGAGCATCGGGGTTAGCGCCAGTAGCGGCACGACGGGCGGGGGTGGGGGTAGCATCTCGGCCGTTGGATCTGGAGGCATGGCTGGTGTGGGGCATGTGGGTAGTAGCTCGAGTGCAGACCTTGCGGGGGCTAGCACTGGGCTGGGTAACGGCAGCTCTGCTGCTAGTACTGCTGCTGCTGCTGCTGGTGGTGATGCTGCTATTGGTGGTAATCTAAGTCTAGGAGGCAGCAGAAGCGCCAGGAGTTTAAGAGCCAGCAGCAGTAGCAGTAGCATGGAGGATCAGGCAGGGCCTAGCGGCAGCGGTGGTGGTAACAGTAGCATCAGCAGTGGTAACCACCGCTCGTTTTCGTTCAATCTCGCGTCACTGCCCATTTCCGGCAGTGGCAACAGCAGCAGCAGCGGCGGCGGCCTCAGCGGCAGCAGTAGCAGCGGCTTTGCACGGGCCACGGGAGGCCCCTCGTTAGTATCACCGCGCGTGTTGTCACACTCCGGAGGTGGGTTGCCCCTGGCGTCCCCATCCCTCTCTCTCTCCTCGTCTCTCTCCCTCTTCTCCCACCCACGGCGCCACTCTCCTCACTCTTCTGCGCCCTCTTCGTCCGCTGCTGCTGCTGCCAGCAGCAGCACCAGCAGCCACAGTGGTGGCAGCAGCAGCAGTAGTAGTAACAACACCAGCAGCCGTGTTGGCAGTGGTGGGGGTGGCGCTGGTGGCAGTGGTGTTGGTGGGAGCAATGTTCGCGGGGGGTCGAGAGCAGCAGCAGCATCAGCAGCAGCAGGAGCAGTAGCAGCAGGAGGGGGGCAGCAGTCGTTGCTGCGGCAGCCGCTGCAGTATCAAATACGGCGGGAGGCACAGCAGGGACAAGCAGTACCAACCGCAGCAGCTTCCCCTGCTGCAACAAACCCTGCTACAGGCACTGCCGACGGTAGGTCCTCGTCTCAGTAGCAGCAGGAGGAGCAGCAGGGGGGCAGCAGTCGTTGCTGCGGCAGCCGCTGCAGTACCCAATACGCCGGGACAAGCAGCAACAACAGTAGCAGCTATCCCTGCTGCAACCAACCCCGCTACAGGCGCTGCTACAGGCACTACTCCATCCGAGCAGCAGCAACAGCAACAGCAGCAGCAACAACAGCAGCAGCAACAGCAGCAGCAACAGCAGCAGCAGCAGCAGCAACAGCAACAGCAGCAGCAACAGCAGCAGCAGCAGCAGCAGCACAGCAGCAGCAGCAGCAGCAGCAGCACAGCAGCAGCAGCAGCAGCAGCAACAGCAGCAGCAACAGCAGCAGCAGCAGCAACAGCAGCAGCAGCAGCAACAGCAGCAGCAGCAGCAGCAGCAGCAGCAGCAGCAGCAGCAGCAACAGCAGCAGCAACAGCAGCAGCAACAGCAGCAGCAGCAGCAACAGCAGCAGCAGCAGCAGCAGGTTCAGCGGGGGAAGCAGGGGCAACAGCGGCAAGATTGGGAGCAGCAGTGGCAGCGTCTTCAGCAGCAGCAGCAGAGGGGGTGAGGAACGGAGGAGGGAAGGTGGGTGGCCTTAGCAGGCAGGTCCAGCCACAAGGGTAATCCAGAGGATTGGCGTTGCAGATTGGAGCAGCAGCAGGGGGGCATATTTTGAGCTGAATCTCAAAATACACAGCGCGGGGTGGTGCAGCAGACAGGCATTGCAGATTGCAGGAGCAGCAGGGAGGGGGGTGCGGGAGTGGAGGAGGGCTGGTGGCTCTAGTCGGAAGCGCCACCGCAAGGATACTGCAGGCTGGGCCGCCGGGGGGTTGTTTAAATTTGAAACGTTTCAAAACGCAACGCAAGGATACTGCAGCGTGGGTGGGGATACTGCGAAAGCGTCACTGCGGGGATGCTGCAGGCTGGGTGGCCAGGGGGTGGTTTGGTTTTGAGACGTCTCAAAAAGCACGGATACCGGGGGCTGGGCGGCCGGGGGTGGTTTAGAGGTGCTGCAGATTGCAGGATCAGTCTCCCTCTCTATTTCTCTCACTCACTCACTCACTCGCAAAATCTCTCCTTCCATGCCTGTTTCCCCTCACTCACTCTCTCACTCTCCCTCACTCACTCTCTCACTCTCCCCCACTCACTCTCTCACTCTCCCTCACCCTCTCAACTTCTTTCCTCCCTTGCTCCAGCACCAACACACTTGTCACCAGCCACTCTCTCACTCCCATTCCCTTCCCACCCCAGTTCTCCACACCCACTCTTTCCTCCACCCTTTTCTCAAATAACTCCCATATGGAGCCGGCATCCCCTCCCCTCCCCTCTGGTGGGTGGTGGGGCTGCAGCAGCTGAAGCCCCACCAGCTGTAGGAGCAGAAATGTTGGGCTGGCGGAGCAGGCAGGGCTGAAGCCTCAGTTATAGCAGGCAGAGCTGCCAGGAGTGGGAGTCCATGCGAAGGCAGCCAAACCAAGACAGCATAGGGTGTCTCCAAGAGTCTGGTCTGGTTCTCTGGTGGGCGATTTTTTAGATGACTCAGAAATCACATGGGTGTCCATCCAAAGACGACAGTGTGGGGTAGTGCTAAGGGTTTGGTGCTCTGGTGGAAAACGGCTGTGGCTTTGTTCCTCGAGCGTTATGCTTGTGCATGTTTAGTCGTGCTTTTTGTTCATTTTCTAGGGTTTCTCGCTTAAGGATTCCACTCTGAATGGTTTTTCGAATTACCGGTACTGCATGTGGATAGGCCCTCACCTGTCTAGCGCGAAGCCATGTGTTTCAATTGGTTTCTTGTAATACCGGTAATCCGTTGTGAATGTGGACGGAGGGATGTAAACAATACAATATCAACCAATATGGGTAGCAACGAAGTGGCTTCTCGACATTAATTATCCAAGCATGTGTAGCAATAGAAATATGGTGGCGATTCCAGTGAGTGTAGCCATTGAAGCGTGTTTACTGCCTGCCTTATCATCATAATCGGCGTTGTAGTCCCATTCCTCAATATAGTCGTACTCGTAGTCCTTGTCGTAGTCGGGATACACGAGGGGTCTGAAGCCTCTAAACGTCGACTTGGGCCGACGGCCTGACGTGGTGCGGCGGAAATACCTAGACGCTACTATGCTGATGCCGCTGCGGGTCTCCCCCTGCCACGGGGAGCTGCTACTGCTCCTGCTGCTGCTCCTGCTGCTGCTGTGGCTGCTGCTGCCGCGGCTGCTGCTGTGGCTGCTGCTGCGGCTGCTGCTGCGACTGCTGCTGCGGCTGCTGCTGCTGCTGCTGCTGCCTCCGCGGCCTCCCCCTCCGTGTCCGCCGCCGCCTCCCCCGGAACCTTTCATTACCCTCCTAGAGCTGCTGCTGTTGGCGGTTCTGTCAATAGCGGGTATGTCTTGCAATCCGGTTTTTGGCGGGACATTGCTGATGTTGGAAAAGATGGGAAATCGGTCGTGCTGTTTCGGCGCATGTGGAACGGATCGGTTTCGTGGGTTGTTCACAATATCGGGAACTGCACCAGCGAGGATAAACGGAGAAAGTAGCACAAGAAGCGCGCACGCCGAACCCGCGAAGGACTGCGAAGCAGCCATGAGCAGCACGCCCGCAATCCAGCTGAGGCGCAGACCGCAACTCTTCTAGAAACGAGAAACTGAGAGTTCGGTAGTTATAAATGTGTAAGCGAAACTGGCGCGAAGGGAAGTCGAACTGGTGTCGAATTGTGATGCTGGGGGGAAATATAGGCCTAGGTGGCTGGGATGGTTGGGCGGAAGGATGGGGGCAAAGGGGGAGGGGAGAATCTCTGGGAAATCGGGACGTGGGGGATGCGGGGAAACGCGGCATTTTGGGGGGAAGCAGGGGGAATGGCGTGTGGCGCAGGAAATGGCGTATTTTCCCGCGGTGCGCTGCGCTGCCTGGTGATGCAAGGAAAGCGTGGCTGGGAGCGGGGCGTGCTCCTTGCAGGGGCGTTATTCGAGAAGGTTCGGAGTTTTAGGTTCACTATGGAGTCAGTTTCAGAGTAGCAAGTCCAGGTTTCACAGATAAGATTTCCGTTTGTTTCGCGGAGTTCGTGAATACCGAGTAGCCACGAAGGATAATCCAATATTTGAGCCACTTTGCGACTCAGCGACATCCGTCAGAATTCGTGAACTGTGTGGTAGCCCGCACTTCTGCACCTTAATTGGGTTTGGGTAACCAGACAAGCGTCTGCGTAACTTGGAATCACATTCTCGTTTTTGAATCCTGAGAGGACCAATGTTTGCCAGGCCATGAGGCGAAGCGCGTGCAGGGAGGTTACGTGCAGAACCAAACAAGAGTCCCGAGATTCCGAGATTTGCGAGGTGATGATCTAAAGGGTTACCTGATCGTAAATCCGTCTGTGTTACAGATTTTACTGTAGTCACATTTGTGTAGATATCGTGTCGAAACGTAAAACATGTGAAACAACCCTTCGTAAAATCTGTACTTCGGGCCCAAGCATGGCCTTTCTTCTACGACTTCGACCTGAATATTCGCGCCAATTCGTGTAGACCTTCGCTTCCACGCATGCGCGGACTTCCCCTTCACCCATAGCTCTCCGCGAGGCGCCGCCAATCTCCGCGCATGCCTGCCTACGTAGCTGCATGTCTCACCCGCCAGCACCGTGCTGGGGAGTGACTCCCCTAAACCTCTCCGCCTCTCACGGCGCGCATCGGTCAGTCGTCGGCGTGTCCGGCACATCGCCCCCGCATTCATCGGCGAAACAGAGTCCTGCTCATGGGAAAAAATATCGACTTGTGCGATCCGTTCGTCAGCTGACGCCACGTGGCAGGCTATGAAAACAATGGCGGGGAATGTTCCCCCAGCAGCAACGAAGTTCATCACCTAGTCTTTGCGACGGTTATTACCCAAGTAGGAGCCAAGAGATAGTGCCGATCACAGTGAGGAGGAGTATCGCTATTGAGGCACGTCTACTGTCTGCCTTCTTGAAATCGTTCTTGTCCCATTCCTCGATATAATCCCCGTATTCATGATCCTCATCGTAAACGGGATACACGAGCGGTCTGAACCCCCTGAAAGTCGCCGCGGGCCGCATTCCTGACGTGGTCCGGCGGAAGAAAAAGGACGTTACTATGCTGCTGCCGCGGGACCTTCCCCCATAGCTGCTACTGCTGCTCCCGCCCCTGCTGCTGCCTCCGCGACCCCCCCCGCCGCCGCCGTGCCCGCTTCCCCCCCCTCCCCCGCCCGCGCCACCTGCACCACCCCCCGCACCTCCGCCACCCCCACCACCACCACCACCGCCTCCCCCGCCTCCGCCTCCTCCTCCGCCTCCGCCTCCGCCTCCGCCTCCGCCTCCGCCTCCGCCTCCGCCTCCGCCTCCGCCACCGCCACCGCCACCGCCACCGCCACCCCCAGCACCTCCGCCACCTCCGCCACCTCCGCCACCTCCGCCACCTCCGCCACCTCCGCCACCTCCGCCACCCCCACCACCACCCCTCATTACCCTCCTGGAGCTACTGCTTGGGAGACCGTTAATATCGGAAAAGTATCGTAATTCGGTTTTTGGCTGAACGTTGCTGGTGTTGGTGAAGATGGGAATTTGGTTGTGACGTATTAGTGCATACGGAACGGATCGGTTTCGTGAGTTGTTCACGATATCGGAAACTGCACTAGCGAGGATATGCTGAGAAAGTAGCACTAGAAACACGCTTGTTGTTCCCGCGAAGGGCTGCAAAACAGGCTTGTGCACGCCCATGACGTAACAACAAAAAAAAGGATGTATAATAGGATGAAATATTGAACTTTCCCTCGCGCTTTACCGTTGAATAACGCGCATGCGCTTCTCCGGTGCGTTCGGTTCCACAGCAGACATAGCAGGACCACAACGACGATCAACAACGAACGGAGATTGACATGGTGGAAGGCGCAAAAAAAGGTGAAATTGGACTCTCAACAAATGGATCGCTGTTGGGCGCTTCTCTCTATACTGGACAGATCTAAACGGGAGGTCGCCATGGGGTGGTGGGGGGGGAGGGGGAGGGAGTGGGGAGTTGGGGGGGAGTGGGAAAGGGGATGGGACTCGGGAGAGTTTCGGGGGGGGGGTGGGGGGTGGGGAAGAAGGGGGCGTGGCGTGCGGCGCAGGAAATGCCGTCGGTCCGCGTAGCGCCGCGCTTCGTGCTGATGGAAGGAAACTATTGGGTGCACATGCAGGCGTGTTTAGATCAAGAGCTTCAAGGGTTTAGATCGAAGGGTAACTCCACAATGACCACATGGGCACCACACGTCGGCTCAGTTGCAGAAAGGGCAACGGAATTCGCAAAGGGCAGTTCAAGTTTCAGGTATGGTAACTGCCCATAGTTTCGTCAGTTTCGCAAAAAGCTGCATACACGAGGACAACCCAGAGTTACCGCCCATGACTTTAACCCACGAGTTTTACGCTAACCTTATCGGCTTTCGCACATTTTGATATTGGGTAACCACACAAACTTCTGCGTAACCTGGAATGAAATCCTGTATGAAGGAACGCGCTCCAGGGAATTGGTGCTGCTGCAATGCATCCTCCTAATTCGCCAGGCGAAGCGCGTGCAGGGAGGTTACACGCTGTACACTTAGCCCGCGGTTAAATTACACCCTGAAACTGAGCGGAAGAACTTTGTATCCACCCTGACCATTTCTGAGTGCGTAGACAGTACCCCCTTATTCCTGCGGCCTAAGCTTGGCAGACTCCGCGCGGGCAATTACTTTGAGCACTGCCTAAGCTGATGTCGGGTTTCCTGACTCGAGAAACACGAAATCGAGCAGTAAACGTTGCGTAGAGAAACGAAGAGGGTATCCGGATCTGGTATTTAGGAGCTGCTTTCGGGGGGTGAATACCCTCTGAGCGGCACGCCTTAAGAAAATACTGGGTACAAAAATACCGCAAGTTAAGTGTACCAGGTAAGATTCCTTTGATATGCGAGCAAACGAAGGTTGGTTACCAAATCGTCATTTGTACATGCTACCAAAACTACTCCCATTTGTATGATTTCGAGGTCCTCCTTCTAACACCTGTGGAAAGTGCAAAAGCCATACCCTAAAAACCCGCAAAACATTACAGCCCAAATTGGTTCATCCTTCCTACCTTTTGTTATGAATTAATCAGAGTAATAACAGGTAGTGTAAAAAAAGGAGTCGTGATTCAAGAGTGTCGATACAAATGAGGGCCTGGGCATTTATAGGCACGAACATAGCTAGCCGAGAACCATGCGAACAAGTTAGGGTGGTCCGGTTGGCGAAAGCTACGGAAGCGCTGCACGTCTAGGTTTGGGTTCGCAAAGTGGTTCGGGACCGAAGAAGTTGGCCGGGCCGGGACTTCCGAGAGTCGAGGGCGTACGCGCTGTAGTCGAGCCCAGTACGGAAAATGGAATTTCCTTACACCGCCCCCCCTTCCGGAATGAGACTACCCAGATCCAGGACACGTCGTCGGTGTACATAGTCCCGGACAACTCTATTTTCACAGAGTGTAGCTACGGGAATCCAGAGGTCGTCGTCACTTGTGCGATCGACGCGCAACACAAGGAAATCGCGGCTGCTGTATCTCGATGTCTCGTACGCGATGAGCGAGAATCTTTGATGGCTCGATCGTTGGCTCGGGTATTGGGTTGACCGTAGGATTAATGTGTTGATGGTCGAGATTGGTCGCACTCGGGATGAACAGTCGCAGGAGACTGACGTGGAACGAATCATGAATTCGCTAGTCGGTCGGCAGTTGCAGCTGGGCGGTGACTAGTGTCACCATGCGAATGATGCGGAAGGGCCCGCAAAATCTTGGTCGTAATTTATTTGGGAGGGGGATTCCCATATTCCTGGTGTCGAGCAGGACCAATTGTCAAGGGACAAGTGTTAAGTATCGGCGTCGTCGGTCAGCTTGCTGCTTAGCCCTATGGTTGGCTTTTAGGATGGCATCGGCGGCATTTTTCTATGACTGACGGAGATTTTCGACGAACAACTGAGACCTTGGTGCCGGATTTCTATCGGTGGTGATAGGGGGGTTGTCGAATCTATCACATAATTAAGGAAGAACGGGGACTGAGTAGTCGTGGCCGATGGGGCTGTACGCAAACTCGATCAAGGGAAGGGCGTCTTCGCATTGGGCCGGGTCTGTGCATGTCGTGCGAATCAGCTGCTCCATTGTCTGATTGGTGCGCCCAGTCTTACCGTCCAAATGCGGGTGGTACGCCTTGGATAGATGCAGGCGTCTGCCGTAGTGGTGCCAAGTTTTTGTCCAGAAGTTGGACGTGAGCCGTGGGTCACGATTCGTGACTCGTAGGCGATCGGTTGTAGGCCTTTGACGAAGTCCTGTAACAGGACTGCGCCAACGGCTAGATCGCTAGCGTCGGTGATGAGCTCGAATGGATGGTGAGGATATGCAATCTGAAGAACCGGAGGTGTAGTCAGGAAAAGATTGAGCCTTTTGAACGCAGCCTGCTGCTTTCCCCTCCACTAAAAAAACGCCCTTCTTCAAGAGATCCGTGAGAGGGGGAATGATGTCCATCGATGGAGTTTAACACCATCGATGGAAATCACGTTACCCAAAAACTCCAGTTCATGTTTTAGAAACTCGCATTTAGAGCCCTTGGTGATGAGTCAGTTCTGCTACAGGAGAGAGAAAACTGCTTCCAAATCCTTTAAATGCTGCTCCTGGGTTGTGCTGTAGACGAGAATGTTGTCGAGGTACACGATGACACACTTATCCAGCAATGGCCGAAAAATCTCGTTCATTGTCAACTGGAATGTCGAAGGTGCGTTTGTTAAGCCGAATGGCATGACCGTGTACTTGTTACTCCCGTACCGGGTCCGAAAAGTCGTCTTGTAGTAGTCAGCGTCGTGCACGAGAGGTTGGTGGTAACCGCCGCGCATGTCGATCTTCGAGAAAAATCAGGCCCCGCAAAGTTGGGCGATGAGGTCGTCTGCACGTGAAATGGGGTAGCGAGACTTGATGGTAACCTGATTCAAGGCGCGGTAGTCGATACACATGCGCATACCACCATCTTTCTTCGGTGTGAACATGATCGGAGCTGCAAATGGTGGGGTGCTGGGGCAGACGAAACCTTTATCGAGCAGGTAGTCCAGCTGGTGTCGAAGTTCATCTAACTTAGGCTAAGTCAGCCGCCATTGGGTCCGAATAGTAGGTTGTGTGCTGGGTTCGAGCTCGGCCGCTGAGGTGGCAAGCCCGCCGGTAGGTCGTCTGGAAAAATGTTGGCGTGCTTCCGAATCACTGTTGCCAAATCATCCGGTACAGCTGCGCAGAGTTTGTCGATATCGGTTGGCGTATCGACAGCCGTTGATGCAATCGATTGGATGGGATACAGTTGCGCTCCTCGAATCATCGCTCGCCCGTCCACCAGTCAATGCTCGGGTTGCATTCACACAGCCAATCGCCTCCCTGCAGCATGTTGCACCCATCCAAAGTTGTCGCATGCATCATTGTCGTGAAACTGAAATTTTCGTCACAGGTGACTCACACGTGAGGCACGCGCTCCCAAATCGCCAGTGGACTCGATATGAGTGCATGTGGACTGGATATGAGTACATGTGGACTGGATATTGTACCTTTAGTGGACTGGATGTGAGTGCATGTGGACTGGATATTGTGACTTCAATGGACTGGATATTAGTGCATGTGCATTGGATATTTGTGTCTTCAGTGGACTGGATATGAGTGCATGAGCACTGGATATGAGTGCATGTGGACTGGATATGAGTGCATGTGGACTGGATATTAGTGCGTGTGCACTGGAGGAGAGTGCATGACCACCGGATATGGGTGCACGTGGAGTGGATATGGGTGCATGTGCTCTGGATATGAGTGCCCGTGCACGGTCCAATAGTGCTCGTGCACTAGATATGTCGTGGATGTGCACGAGATTCGAGGTCCGCTGTTTAGGAATATGGTTGCACATGCTGTGGGTGCATATGAGTGGTAGCGACATGAATGTGTCAACTGTGGGGACTGGATATGCGTGCTCGGGGCACTACATCTGAGTGCCACGTCTTTGTCCACGCTGGTTGGGTGACATGTGTGGCACTTGTTTCCGCCGGGGATCATTCGCCCTACGTCTGCTGCTAGCAGCATCTGGCGTGGCGTACCATTGGTGTGCAGATTGCCATCACAGCACGCAATTTGCGCACATTGGCTAAGTTGCCACATCCCCACCGCTAGGGCTCATTGCGACAATGCATCGGAGTCATCGATGCAGGCGGCACTAGTGACAGCTCCGCGTTTGCGGGTGTCGATGCATGTCGTGTTGCCGTAACGCACCGTTCACACATGGCGTGACCCTTACCTTCCCACAGCCATGGCGTATCTGGGTGGGCCTAGCTTATCCTCTCACCTCCCTCATCGTGTGCGTGTGTTCTGGCTCGGTCTTGTGTCTTCATCGCATTCCGAGGATCCCTATTGCCTATACCGTCCATGCCGATCTACTAAAAGGGGGACTGTCAAGGTGCTTCGCCACCACACCCTCCTAAACCCTGCTGCAGCACTGTGCTCCTAAACCCTGCTGCACCACCGTGCTCCTAAACCATGCTGCACCACTGTGCTCCTAAAACCTGCTGCAGCACCGTGCTCCTAAACCCTCGCACGCTCCACTGGAAATGAGTGACGCGTAGCTTTGGGCGATGCGCGCTATGCTACGGTGAGAATTCTCTATTGTGACAGTACTGTGTTTGAAGTTTCCGCATGCGCCAGGTTACGAAGCCTTGTTGTGTTGCGTGAGATTGCGTGTCTGCTTTCCAACCACACCCCCTCAACTCTCTTTCTCGCTGGGGCGTGGGGCGTAGAGCTTGGCACGTTGGGCGTGGGGCGTTGGGCGTGGGGCGTCAATCCTAGGGCTTTTGTCGGTGGTACGGGATTGCTCGCCAAGCCTGCCATGAGCTGCACATCATGTGTCAAACAGGGTTAGACAGTGGCCTTTGTGCTTGCATCGCACAGCCACACAATCATCATTCGCAAGGAGATCCAATGCATTGGTGAGATATGAAAGCATTTTTGGAACTGGTTGAGCTCACCGTGTTAGTCGCCCCTTACCTAGGCGGTAGTCGCCGTCTCGGCACCGCGTGGGTGGTGAATGCCGGCCTCCCTTTCACCCTTCGGAGGTACGAGTGCATGTGCACTAGGTTGGTGCCCAGTGATGGGGTTGGTGCACGTGCTCTGGGTATGTGTGCTTGTACACTCAATATGGGTGCACGGGGACTGGATATGAGTGCATGGGGACTGGATATGAGTGCATGTGGACCGGATATTAGTGCGTGGACTGGATATGAGTGGATGTGGACTGGATATTTGTGCCTTCAGTGGACTGGATATGAGTGCATGTGGACTGGATATTTGTGCCTTCAGTGGACTGGATATGAGTGCATGTGGATTGGATATTTGTGCCTTCAGTGGACTGGATATGAGTGCATGTGGACTGGATATGAGTACATGTGGACTAGATATTGTGCCTTTAGTGGACTGGATGTGAGTGTATGTCGACTAGATATTGTGCCTTTAGTGGACTGGATGTGAGTGCATGTGGACTGGATATTGTGACTTCAATGGACTGGATATGAGTGCATGTGCATTGGATATTTGTGTCTTCAGTGGACTGGATATGAGTGCATGAGCACTAGATATGAGTGCATGTGGACTGGATATGAGTGCATGTGGACTGGATATTAGTGCATGTGGACTGGATATGTGTGCATGTGGACTAGATATTAGTGCAAGCCTGCTCTCGTCGCAACCCTAAGGGCGTGTTATGTTAATGAAAATCGAAGGATCAGCGGTATAGATTGACTTGCGATATCAATAATGACGATTGCTGGCTAGATCGATATAGCAATGCGATTTTACAGATTGGCTCTCTTGTGAGCCGGCACGCGATCCCCCAAAATCGACAATGCTTTTGCAGCTAACCTTTCACAACAGTATACGATGTTCGCAACACATAGGGCAGCCCAAATGAACGTTCGCGGAATAAGTGGTGGATGGTCAAGGCACCTTGGGTTGTCCCGCTTTTGATTTTCACGAGAATCAAATCGTATTTGCGAACTCCCAGCCTGTTGCACAATCTGGCGCACTCCCGATCGGTACTTTTGACCTGCGCACGCGTGCTGCTGGTAAATCAATCGTCGATTGGCTTGACCAATGTGGCACATCGATTGCCGAAGTAGATGTGTGGTGTTCCATCCAGCTCAAGTTTTACTGTATACGGGTTACCATATGGTTACCCTATTACAAGTCCTCAAAATCGATATTCTGAAGGATCGATTTCATTAAAGCCGTAGTACACATTCCCGGGAAGGTGAAAAAATGAACAGTGATAATTGGGCTAGTGTCACGCTGATTGGGTTGCGAGCTTGGCGGTCATAATCCCACAATTATGATTCCTTACAGGGGCTCGTCACAGTGAGTACACGCGAACCTCTCGGTTCCGCAGGCTCGGCCCTCAAGTCACGCACCAAACCAGCCCCCGCCGACCTCGATGGCCCCAACCTAATCTCGAGTCGCCCCAAACCCATTTTGACCCCGTCACCCTCGGGACTTTCGAGCCCTTGACTGGTCCAACCCTCGACATTCAACATGGTCAGCTCGCACTATATAAGCCATAGGTCTCATTTGGATAGGACATTCTGTACAATTCTTTAATCACGTTCCCCTATAGCATTCTGTGCCATACTTTGAGTTATAATTCATAACAGCTAGTATTAGAGCTACGTTCCTGCCCAGTAGGCTTCCGGTAAGGGAGCAGAACCTGTCAAGGAAGGGGGCGGAAGGATGCTGATGGCGAACGGACGTCGCGGATATTAATTGTGCGGGCGTTGCCGATGCCGTCATATCCTGTCCGATGGACGGATGGGATTAGCCGGTCCTCCCCTTCCCTGGGCGTAGACGGAATTAATTTTCGTCGAAGAGTGGGCGACATTTTCACCGTGTTTTTCGGGTATATTCGTTAGAGCTTTCGTAATTTTCGGGCGTTCTGACGGAGTCTTCGGATTGGCTTCCGAAAAAAGCGAAGGCCTCGTCACGATGAGACAAGTGCACGGGAGCCCTCAGGTGGCCGGGAGTTGGTCGTTCGGAGCGCGCGGGGTGGCGACTATGGCGGGACGTGCCATAAAACTGCAGGGTGAACTGTAGCTGTGTCGCGGGTCCCGGCGTTTCCGGCAGGCTAGTTGTAGGCGATGGACGGGACTTCAACACTATTTCGGCAATGGACAGATCTGACAATTTCGGAAAGACACGATCGCACGAAGACGTGTGGGTGTGCAGTTGTGTGGGAGCATCTAAGATTAACGACCTTGGTTATATTCACCACGACGGCCATCTGGAGGTGATCACGCTGTGCTTGAGTGAGTGTACTGAGGGAGGGCGACTTCCCTCGTGGGGAGGCGTTTTTTCGTGGACCAGTGATTCATAACCCCATGATCAACGGAAACAGAGGCCACTACCCGTGGGTATGTATTATGTATTTTTCCACCGGTCACAGAAAGCGTTAAGCTGCCAGGAGTTGAAGCAGTGGGAGAAGAACGACAGGAGTACTGGAGCAGACGGGTTAGCGGCGTTCGGGCTGCTGCTCGCTCAGCTACGTCGCCCGGAAATCACCATCCCCACCAAGTAGCAGTGTCAACTTATTAATCGACAACTTCTGGCTGAATAAGGGGGGTGAACCTGCAAACTACACTGTGCTGATGGAGTGTCCCCGAAAATTCAGGAGTTACTGTTGCAGTGGAGCTGAGGGTTTCATCTGGTGCAGCAGAAAGAGGTTCCGACTTTTGCGGGTGTAGTTTGACGAGTTTCCGACAAAGGAGGGAGCTGTCCAGCGGTTAGTAGGCGAGCTCGTTAAAGCTCCTCTGACTAGAAGCGTGCGCACTCCTATCTTTGCGGTTTCTCCTAGTTAGTTAGGCAGCAGCGAAGTGGTTTTGGGTAACCTGCAGCAACCGCGAGATGGGTGAACGTCTGCATGGCCAGCTGGAAGATGTACCAGAGTATTTTAACATTGGGTAACAGCTGGGCGGAAATCGACGGTGTATGATGCGCATTGACCCTGATCGACGGCCAAAACATCATGCCGAGTCGGTGGACTCCGGTAAACCCTAATATAAAGGGTTCAGTTTATGCGTACAGCTGGTGGAGCAACCATGGGGACGCTGCTAAAGGACGCCGTGACGCCTGGGCATTTTCACGGGTAGCTGTGACGTGGAGCTAGGTATTTGCTAAGTACCGTGTGGTTCCGGCATTTTCGCTGGAGCAGTTCAACGTTTTGCAGCTGGAGGTGTGCCCGCTATCTTCAAGGGTACGAGGGACATCGACCGATATTCTCGGAATATTTTGGGTGCATGGAGGAGGAGAAGCGCAGCAACATTTTCGGTTGTTCCAGAATACTTCGCCGTGTACGGACAAAGAAGCTGATGCAGCTGGCGTCAGTCGACCCCGGGTTCCGTTTGAGGGTTTTAATATGGAGTGATTCAGTACAGCTTACATGTCACCGCCATTGTCGTCTTCCTCTCTCCACCACCCGCTACCGACTCTAGCATCAATTCGCCCGATTCGCCCGACAATGTGAAAAAGACACGGACGCGTGCTCTCGAACGACCTCGCGTTTGACTCGAACGACCTCGCGTTTGATGAACGGGTGCTTCATTTCATCGACCATCACGATATTCACCAGCCATCATTCCAAGAGGTTCATGTGCCACGAGTCATCATCAATCAACAACGTTACTGTTTACTGTCCAAGATGAGTTTTCGCCGGTACCCGTTCGGTCAGCTGAATTATTCGACCATCTTCGACAGCTACGATTAAAAGCGATCGTTTCGACGCTTTCTGGCCCTTGATTTGAGTTCGACCTCAAGACCTCGTCAGGTCGGCGTAATCATTACGCTGGTTACAGGGCTGAGGACTTACAGTCACATCGGGGATTACTTGTAATGATTGTTGTTCGGCCTCGATAAAGGGGGTGCCTTCCTTTCGAAGGCGGGAGAGTGTAAGGAATTATGATTCCTTACAGGGGCTCGCCACAGCGAGTACACGCGAACCTCTCGGTTCTGCAGGCTCGACCCTCAATTCACGCGCCAAACAAGCCCCCACCGACCTCGACGGCCCCAACCTGATCCCGAGTCGACCCGAACCCATTTTGACCTCGTCACACTCGGGACTTTCGAGCCCTTGACTGGTCCAACCCTCGACATTCAACCTGTTCAACTAGCACTATATAAGCCATAGGTCTCATTTGGATAGGACATTCTGTACAATTCTTTAATCACGTTCCCCTATAGTATTATGCGCTAATTCATAACAGACGAGGTGCAATTTCCATCTGCAAAGTTACGCTGTAATCCGCTCCCAAATGTTTATAATTTGAAAAAAAACAGAGAATGTGTACCGCGGCTTTAAGGTAACGAGTCCTAAACAATGCAATAGTCGCGGCTAGTCGTTGGGGACCCCACGTTACCACACCTCGTTGGCGAGGTTGACGAGGCTCGTGGTTTTGTGCGGAGCATTTCGGGTGCCCTGCTCCTCGCCTGCCAATCAGGGGGTTCCCTTCCAACTTACCTTCCTACCCTTGCTCTTCTAGCGCTGGACCTTGAAATCCGCCCACGTGCTTACACCTGCACTTACGCGCATCCGCGCACTCCCCCTTCCCCCATGCCTCTCCACACGCCACCGCCAGTCGCTGCGCATGCCTGTCTGCGCGGCTGCATTTCTCCCCTCATCCCCTCCTCCCGTCATCCCCTCCTCCCCTCATCCCCTCACCCGTCTGCGCTCCCCTCTCTCTCTCCAGCTTTCACGGCGCGCATCGGCCAGTCGTCGGCGCACCGTGCGCCATCGCCTCCGCATTCGTCTGTGAAACAAAGTCCTGGTCTGGCGAAAAGCCCTCGACTCGCGAGGTTCTTCCATCCTGATGACGCCACGTGGCAGGATACTAATGGGCAGGTTTCCCGCAACGGCGGGGGAAGGTCCGCATGTGCGAGTCGGCAACAGCGGGACCGGCGGCGGCGGCGGCGCGTAGGCGATCGACTGCAGCAGCAGTGCCAGTGCTTTTTGGATGCCTCGTTAAATGACGAAGCTTCATCTGCTGGTTCCTCTTTTGACGCGACTCGCCATCAACCCGCTTCCACCCACATTGCCTCTTCCGCTTCCTCCCCTCACGTCTCCGCTTCCTCCGCTTCCTCCGCTTCCTCCGCCTCACCCAGTTCCTCCCCTTCGTCGCTGCCCCCCACTCCATCCCTGTCGTCCGCCCACACCCCTTCCCCCCACATTGCCTCCTCCGTCTCGTCCCATCACCTCCCCGCTTCCTCCGCTTCTCCCCCCTCCTTTCCCCCAACCGCCCCCCTTGCGCCCATCCTCCTCCCCCTGCTCTCCGCCTCCCCTCCCCCGCCCTCCTCCCCTGCGCCCTCCACTCTCCCCTCTGCGCCGCTCCCCTTAGGGCCAGGTACGTGGATTGGGGGGAGGGGGGGGTGGGGCAGGGGGGGGGGGGGGGGGTGGTGGTATGCATGCGGAAGCATAGAAGGCGTGGGGGGCTTAGGGGGAGGGAGGTTGGGATGGGAGGATGGGATGGGTACGATAGGGGGGATTACACTCTCGCCTAATGCAAGGGAGCCAGGTGCGATGCGATCATCATATAGTTTGAGATGTCTAGGGTTTAGGGGGATAAAATAATTGGGTACAATAGGGGGATAAAATAATTGGGTACAATAGGGGGATAAAATAATTGGGTACAATAGGGGGATAAAATCATTCACAGGGGGAACAATAGGGGGAATCCACTTTCGCCTCTTTCATGGGAGCCAGTTGTTACATTGAGCAAAAGAAGGTGATTTAGTCAATTCTCATATAGTTTTAGTTTCTCACATCATTTTGTTTCCTTTTTACAAAAAAAGGAAATGAAGAGGAAGAAGCTTAGAAAATCCCTTTCTCCATCCCCCCTGCCCGTTGACTGTCAGGTCACTTTGAGTATCTGCCGCTGAAGGCTCCTTTCCGCATGGCCATGGGGGTTGAGCCCATGCACATGCAAGACTGGATAGAGGTGCGTTGACTCGCGTTGACTCGCGTTGATTGGCGTTGACCTAAACAAATGAACATCTCGCCCTATCTCCTGGTTCCCCGTTCTCCTTCCTCTTCTGCTTCCTTTTCTGACGAGCGCCACTTCAAAAAACCTCTTGTGCAGCTGACAAGTCCACCAGCTGACACACTCCAGTGCTAGTCCTGCAGTCCTGCAGTCCTGCTTTCACCCCTTTCCTTCCACTTGGCCGCCCACAGATCGACCCATTTCCACCGGTACGAAATGGCCCTGAGGAAAGCAATACTAGCGAGTTGCCTTTCCACCTTTCCCCCCGCCCTTTCCCCCTTTTCCTCCCACCCCACGCCACCCCCGGTTGACCCTGGCCTCACAGATCGACCCCTTCTACCGGCAAGACATGGCCCTGAGGAAGGCAATACTAGCAAAGCACCAGAGCAACTTGCCATATTTCTCTTTCTCCCTCTCTCCCGTTTCTCCTTCCTGCTCTGCTCCCCTCTCCCCTGCAGATCGACCCCTTTTACCGGCAGGAAATGGCTTTAAGAAAGGCAATTCTAGCGAATCACCGGAGCACCGTCATTGGAAGGGTTGGGGGGGAGAGAAAGAGGGGGGAGAGTGCGGAGGGCAGGGGGGGGATGCAGGGGAGTGGGAGGGGAGCGAGTGAGGGAGGGAGAGGGGGAGTGGGAGGGGGAGAGAGTGAGGGAGGGAGAGGGGGATTGGGAGGGGGCGAGAGTGAGGGAGGCGGAATGGGAGTTGCTTCACATGCTGGCTAATTTCCTGCCCTCGAGATATCCAGATATGTATGTGGTAAGGGCGTCTGTTCAGGTAGTGCTAGGTTGCCCTCACTTGAATGCCTCTCTGTTAACAAAGGGCGTCTCGTTGTTGCCATTTACCATTCTCCCTCTCCCTTCCCCTCCTTCCCCCTCCCCCTCCCCAGCTTCTCCCTCTCTCACTGTCGTCTGCACAACCACGCCACGGGTGATTCGTTCGACCTGTCGGATACATCCCAGGACCCCCTAGAGATCATCTCGCAACTGATACAGGTGATGATCCGATATAGAGTGAACTTGTACTGGTAATCCGTTCGACCTGTCGGATTCATCCCAGGACCGCCTAGATTCCATTGCACAAATCATACAGCTACTAATCAAAGTTGGTTTGTTCAAGCCACTAGGTGATTTTTTAGTCAATTCAAAATTTCTCTTTGACAAGCTTCTTCCCAATGCACAAATTTTGTCAAGCTCTTTGAGTCAAAAGAGCTTGACAAAATTTGTGCAATGGGAAGAAGCTTGTCAAAGAGAAATTTTGAACCACCCGAGAGCATTTGTGGCACTTTTCTTTGACACGCTTCTTCCCATGTTTCCTTGCACTCCCCTGCCCTCTTCTCCTTCCCCTCCTCGCTTCCTCTTTGAATGTGCTTCTTCTTGCAGGAAGATGTGTGCCTGATGATCCCTTGCTCGACCTCCTCCACTTCCCCTTCCTCCTCCTCCCATCCCTCCACTTCGTCCCCTTCCACCACTCCTCCCCTCTATCTAGTCTCTGGTGCTGTTCTTTTCCCAAACGGCTGGATTCTGCCCGAAAAACTCGGGCTGCCCACAGCTCAAATCCATGGGCCCGTGCCTCTCTACGAGTCGACGATCTCTCGAGCAGTCAACAAATTTCTGAACAATTTGCAGCCGGGCAGCCCGTTTTCTCGCTCCAATTGGACTATAACCGACGACCCGCGCCTCTTCCGCCCGATTTCAGAGGTTTGTTTTGTGACCGTCGAGTATGTTTTCTTCAAGCAAATGCATGTCAGAGGTTTGATTTGTGACCGTTGAGTATGTTTTCTTCAAGCAAATGCATTTCAGAGGTTTGTCTTGCGGACCGTTGAGTTTGCGCTCTTCAGTCACAAGTTCTTCAGCTGTGTGCTTGAGTCACTGGCTGGTGTGACGCAATCACTCGCGTTGCTGCTCTGAACCGCACCGTACCATAGCCTTTCACATATTCTTTAACTTGTTTTGTGTTTGTTTCCTCACCCTGTTGTGCACACTACTGCTGCCTCTGCCCCTGCTGTCACCGCTGCCGCTGCTGTCACCGCTGCCGCTGCTGTGTGCACACTACAGGCTTCATACGCCTCTCTGGTGCAGCTCAGGGCCAACATGGGAGAGAGCAGTCAGCAGACGCTGGAGCAGGGGCATCCAGCAGAGGGTCAGGCGCAGGAGCAGCCGCAAAGCGATGAGGAGGATCCAATAACCGTGGAGAATGCGGGATGGAAGCTGTTCACTCGGAGTGAAAGGGAGACGTTCGTGCGCCTGCCTGAGTGAGTGTGCTTAAGCGAGTGAGTGTGCTTAAGCGAGTGAGTGTGAAATCCCCCTTCATCCCCCCCTCCCCCCTCCCCCCCCCCCCTTCCCCCCCCCTCCCCCCCCCCCCCCCCCCCCCACACACAGCTTCCAGGACCAGGACCGGAGCGGTACTGTTCACCATCCGCACACAGGTTCTCCCAACACACATTCCTCAAGCACCCTCCCCTACACCCCCACTCCGCCCCCCCTCCCCTCCCTTCCCCACCAAGTCATGCGCTGCCACCAGGACCAGAGAGGTACTGTTCATGCACCATCCGTACACACGTGAAGGCACAGTGCCATGAAGCCACAGTGCCACAGTGCATGAGTCTCCTCCCTAGCTGGAAAGGCTCACACCCTTCAACCCCCCCAACTTCATCCCCTTCCTCCACTCCCCCCCCCTTCCTCCCCCCCCCCCCCCACACACACCTCCACCAGGACCGGAGCAGTACTGTTCACCATCCGCACACACATGAAGCCACTGCGTGTCTTCTCCGGGCGGCGCCAGCTGGCTGCTGATGTGGCGCAGGCCATGGACGCGCTGCCAAGCGAGATGAGGCGGTACAAGATGATTGGAGGGCGGCTTGCTGATGTGGCACGGGAGTATCTGCTGCGATGCTCCCAGGGGATTGTGTAGTGGTTTACATTCCAGCTAACTCAGCCTGAGGACTTGTAGTGTGGAAGGGCTGCTTGTACACCAGCTGCGCTTTCTTGTCTTTTTTACAGCGCCTCATTGTATGTACAGTGCGATGAAATGGCTTTGTACATAAACCAACTTGCTTTTGAAGCGATTTGTGGTGCAAGTTGCAAAATGCATTAAAGCGAGGATCTCGAAGCCCCTTCAACTTAAAACCTAAGGTTTTGGTCCCCATCCCAGCCAAAATGCCCCGGGATCAAAACCTAAGTTTTTGAGTTGGGGGGGTTTCAAGGTCCTCGCTTTAAGATGCCTCATTACAAGCCTGAAGGATGTGCATGAAGTCTGCCAATGCCAAGCCTACCACTGATCATTGTGATTGGAAACAAAGAAGCTGTCATATCATCAAAGTTGGCGGGGCTGGTTGGCAGAATTTGCCGAATTGCATCAATCACAACCCTGGTACCTTGACGCGATACATGGTGGCATTTGGGGGAGAAGCCATGCACGCATTGCACCACACCACACGCTTTGAAACATGTCCTTAGCATGCGAGCACGAGAGCGTCGTTAGCATGCAAGCCACGATTACACTGCTGCTCATCTCTATCATGAAATGTGTCGTTAGCTTGCGAGCACGAGAGAGCCTTCAGCAGCGGTCGGAGGAGGGATCGTTGATAGTCTCCATCATCGGGCGATACTTCTCCTGATGGGAGATGGGGGGGCGCAAACCACATTCAGCCATTCAGAGCAGCGTGATAGGAGTCTAGTGTTGTAGAGCAGCGCCTCAAAACTAGACTCCTATGGCGCAAACCCCATTCAGCCATTCAGAGCACGCAGCAAGCACGGGTTTACGCATGGGGGGTTAGGGGGGGGGGGGGAGGGGGGTCATGTGAGGAAGTACAAGAGACTTCAGCAGCGGTGGGCAGACGCAGTCGTTGATTGCCTCCATCATCGGGCGATACTCTCCTAATCGGGGGATGCACGCACCCAGGCATTCAGTGCACGCAGTACACACGGGGTTTGGCATGGCAGTGTACACAGGGTTCGGCATGAGGGGTGCATGGCATGTTAGCAAGTACAAGAGACATCAGCAGCGGTCAGAGGAGGGGTCGTTGATTGCCTCCATCATCGGGCGATACTTCTCCTGATGGGAGATGGGGGGACGCACACCCACCCAGCCATGCATCAGTCAGCCACAGCAACGAGGAGGCAAACCACAGCAAATCGAGAGCATTAGGTTCTGTCATGGTGCCTGAATACATACATAAATATGTACATATATACACGTACGTTTAAATCTACACTCACCAGCAGTTCAGTGTACTTCTCCCGGGCATATTCAGTGAGCTCCAAGTCGAGAGCATTGAGCTCCTTGATGCGCTTCATGACATTGGCTGGAATGTGGGCCCTCTCCTATTGGGATGGATGAGAGAGAGAGTAGCATGAGAGGATGATAGAGGGGAATGGGAATGGCAGGGGTGGATGAGTTGAGCTGAGGGAGCGATGGAGAGAGAGTGTGTGTTCAGTTGTGTGATTCTACTCATGACGCTGGCTGGTCTGTGGGCCTGTCATCTCAGTGAGCTGTCCTTTGAGTGGCCTCAAAACAGCACTGAGTTTAGCTCCAAGGCAGCACAGCAGCTCTGGGGCCACTGCATCAAACCGCAGCGCACCTTCCTGGAGAACTTGAGCAGGCCCATGTGGCGGAAGGCGATCATCTCATTGAGCTGTGTTTCAAGGAACGCCAAAACAGGACCGAGTTCAGGGGAAAAGCCCCACACAGCAGCGCACCTTCCTGGAGAACTTGAGTGGGCCCATGTGCCTGAAGGCGATCATCTCATTCAGCTGCGTGAGCTCCATCTGGTCCTTGAGGCACTCCATGTACTGCTCCCGGATGCTCTTCCACTGGGGGGGGATAGGGGGAGGAGTCAAGAAGACGAGGATTTTAACGATGGCGGGGTGAGACAATACAAGAGTCATTGTGGTCCTTGAGGAACTCCGTGTACTGCTCCCGAATGCTCTACCACTGGGGGGGGATAGGGGGAGGAGTCTAGAAGACGAGGATTTTTACGATGGTGGGGTGAGACAATACGAGAATCATTGTGGTCCTTGAGGCACTCCGTGTACTGCTCCCGGATGCTCTTCCACTAGATTGGAATCAAGGGGGCAAGGGGGTGAAGAGGATGGGGTGAGAGCAATGGCACATAGCTATCCTTGAGCCACTCAGCCTACCACAGAGTGTTTTTGACAACTCTCGAAAAGACCACGGCAGATACCTATCCTTGAGCCACCGCAGGGTGTTTTTGACAACGCTCGAAAACACCAAAGCAGATAGCTATCCTTGAGCTGAGCCACTCTGCCTACTGCTCCCGAATGCTCGTGAAGGGGGAGAGTAAGGGGTCAAGGGGGTCAAGAGAAGAGAGTCAACAGGTTCAAGGAGACAGATAGGTGAGCTCTATGGGGTCGTGAGCTCTCTGGGGTCGTTGCGGGACTCCGCCGACTGCTCCCATTATCTCCCCTTCCTCCTCATTCTTCCTTGCCCCTCTTAGCCTCCTTGCCCCCCTTAGCCTCCTTGCCCCCCTTAGCCTCCTTGCCCCCCTTAGCCTCCTTGCCCCCTTTAGCCTCCTTGACCTTCTCTAGAGTCTGCACTGCCCCCTCAGGTTCTTTTGAGTCGGCTCAGAAGTCATCGCCTAAAAAGTCACCTCCCCTTTCCCAAGCAAAGCTCTCACCGGCATCTCGCCTGCCTTGTCCTTCTTGGACTTCTTGGGCTTCTTGCACCGCCCCCTGGGGTTCTTGCCTGCACACGTGGGGGATGTGAGGGCATGTGGGGGGTCAGAGCGTAAGGAGGATGAGGGATAGGGACGAGTGGGGTACAAGATAGGGGCAGGAGGCGTCTTGCACCGCCCACTGGGGTTATTGCCAGCACACGTGGGGGTAGACATGAGCAAAATGCGATGCGATATTCAATCCCATCGCATTTTATTTTATCGCATGCGATAAAATATTGCATCACGCGATTAATTTTCCTGATTTTGGGATATCTCATATCGCATTTTGGGTGCGATAATTAACAATATCGCAAATGTTAGTGCGATATATCACGCGATGCGATAATATATCGCATCGCATTTACTGCATGTGGAAAAAAACTAAGTATTTGACCAGGAGGAAAAAAAGAGTGCGGAAATTCGACACAACCCTGGCGAAATTTAGCGCTGCAATTTTTTATATTGCATGCGATATGATAATATCGCATATCGCATTTTTATCGCACTACACATGGCGCGGAAAAAATGCGATGAAAAATATCGCGCGATAAATATCGCAACACATGGCGCGATATAATTTTCAGGGAAAAAAATATCGCAGTCGCAAAAATGCGATATTTGCGATGCGACAATGCGATATGTGATGCGATATGCTCATGTCTATGTGGGGGATGTGAGGGCATTGGGGTGCATGGCGTAAGGAGGGAGAGGCATACGGACATGAGAGGTACATGGAACGTTGGTCGCATGGCACATGGGTATGGGCAACGGGGTATGGGCAATGAGGCATGGGCAATGGGGCATGGGCAATGAGGCATGGACAATGAGGCATGGGCAATGGGGCATGTGCAATGGGGCATGGGCAATGAGGCATTGGCAATGGGGCATGGGCGATGGGGCATGGGCGATGGGGCATGGACAATGGAGCATGGGCAATGGGGCATGGGCAATGGGGCATGGGCAATGGGGCATGGGCGATGGGGCATGGGCAATGGGGCATGGGCGATGGGGCATGGGCAATGGGGCATGGGCGATGGGGCATGGACAATGGGGCATGGACAGTGGGCCATGGACCACGGGGCATGGGCATTGGGGCATGGGGGCATAGCTGCGTAGGGGCAAGGGGGCACAGGGGTACGGGGCCAAGCTAACATGTAGCAGTTAGACGGGATGAAAGTCAAGGCGTACCTGGGAGGGTCAAAGACTGAGGTGACTCAAGGCGTACCTGGGAGGGTCAAAGACTGAGGTGACTCAAGGCGTACCTGGGAGGGTCAAAGACTGAGGTGACTCAAGGCGTACCTGGGAGGGTCAAAGACTGAGGTGACTCAAGGCGTACCTGGGAGGGTCAAAGACTGAGGTGACTCAAGGCGTACCTGGGAGGGTCAAAGACTGAGGTGACTCAAGGCGTACCTGGGAGGGTCAAAGACTGAGGTGACTCAAGGCGTACCTGGGAGGGTCAAAGACTGAGGTGACTCAAGGCGTACCTGGGAGGGTCAAAGACTGAGGTGACTCAAGGCGTACCTGGGAGGGTCAAAGACTGAGGTGACTCAAGGCGTACCTGGGAGGGTCAAAGACTGAGGTGACTCAAGGCGTACCTGGGAGGGTCAAAGACTGAGGTGACTCAAGGCGTACCTGGGAGGGTCAAAGACTGAGGTGACTCAAGGCGTACCTGGGAGGGTCAAAGACTGAGGTGACTCAAGGCGTACCTGGGAGGGTCAAAGACTGAGGTGACTCAAGGCGTACCTGGGAGGGTGAAGGCCTGGGAGGAGAAGGAGCGGTCAAGCACAGCCAGCAGCAACTCAATGGACTCCTCCATGCGGTCAGTGAAGCCCAGGTGGATGAGAGAGTCCACTCGGGCCTGAATGGATTGGTACGGTTGGGAGACAAGGTAGCAGGAAGAACAGAAGATACTGAGAACTTGAACAGCCAGCAGCAACTCAATGCACTCCTCCATGCGGTCAGTGGAACCCAGGTGGATGAGAGAGCCCACTCGGGCCTGCATGTCTAGTTTTGAGGCGCCTCAAATGGATGTGAGAGTCCACGCGCGCCTGCATGTACGAGAAGGTGGTCGCGTGGAAAATAGTTGAAGACGGTTGACAGTACCATGAAACACAGGAGGATGACTGAGCACCCATGCTTGCTCGCCAGCCCTACCTAGGCTGCCCATTGCTTGCTTGTACCTTGGCCATATCGATCATGCTCTCAAAACTCCATCCCACCCCTCGGCATACTCCCATCCCACTCGTACCTTGGCCACTTTGAGCATCTCCTCTCCCAGGTCCGGGTGCTGCAGCACGCACTGCCTCACCCACCTCCCTCCCGTGCTGTCCATGCCACAACCCACACACTACTGTGCTTGCATGACCCACCTTGGCCAGTTTGAG